GAGGTGCAGGCTGATGGTATTAATCACTAAAGCTCACACCACTGAGAGGGTGACAGATTATCCTGCAGTGAACAAAGGACAGCCACAGTCACTTCAAGTAGAGATAGTACAGTTTGCAGATGTGTTTAAAGCAGGTGTTTTATGCAGCTTTTCTCCTTAATGTCCAAAATACACAAGGTTTACGTACGCTGTGAACCTTTTTGAGATATTGAGGAAAAAAAATGTTATCATCAAACCAACTTTACTGATGAGGCCGTTTTTCCCTTTCCTTTGTCTCAAAGGCTCTTTCCCCTCCCTATCTCTTATCTTTGCTGAGATAATTAGGTATCTCTCCATCCCCTTTGTGCGCGGAAGCTGTCGCGCTCTGCCCTGACATCCTGGGCAGGGCTGGGTGTCTGCTTGTTTTCCCAGGAGCCTCGGGGTGTTTTATCTGACCCAGTGGCTGCTAAAGACTCCACACATGCTTTGTATGCACCGCCTGTTCTTTATTCTACAACTCCCACCATCACCTCGAGGCAGCTTTAACTCGACTGTTTGGAAACAGAGTCTCTTAAAACTTGATCTGTGTGACTAGACATTGGAATAAAGCTGAGTAAACAACAAGGTTGCGAAATTCCGCTGCAGCACAGATGTTGAGGTGTGTGTGAGAGCATGCTGATTGCACCAGAAAATCAATCCAGCTAAATTTTAGGGTTATTAATCGGTCTGAATGCCAGATACTGTAGCTGCGGATTAACTTCAAGGATGTGTGTACGTGAATCTTTCCTTTCCCTCCGCAGATTGAACCCTGAAAATGACCTTCTTCTGTCCATTAAGCAGCTTAATTAGCAGTGAAGCTGATGGAAAGCTGATTTGCACCTGCAGCCTTCCAGCTGTTTGTGAGATCTTTCATGCACGCACGACTCTCGATCTTTTTATGCGAGATGTTAGCCTGTTTGTCATGCACATGCATTCAAACATACTGTATACACAGGGGACTGCGATGGTGAGTCTCTCAGACAAAGCTTTAGAAGATGTCTGCATCAATTTTCTCTTTTAAGACTTCCGCACAGCCACTGTCGAGAGGAGAGACATTCTTTAGTTCTGTCTTCTTGTACACACCATCTCTTCAAATACAAGCAAACATCACTTGTCTTTTGTTTGTGCAACACATCCTGGGTAAATTAAAGAGAAGTCGGGAACTCTGTGTGTTGGCTGCCTTGTCTGACAGCGGCTCCAATCTGTAGAAAATGAACTAAGCTGACAGCAGGGGAGGCTGGCAGATAATAAAGATTTCACTGTATGGGTTGGCAGGATGAGGAGGCGGGGATGAAGAAATAGAGGATAGATGGAGGGAGGGATAACCTTTGTGTGATCTGAATGTCACAGAACATGAGAGACACATTTTTCAATATTTGTAACTGATTTTTGTAGATTTCTTTGTCACATCCAGGTTTGTAGGTGTGTGTTTGTTGGAAAAACCTTGATGCAAAAACAAACATCTGTCTGGGTGACTTGATATCAATACAATCTTAATCTTCGAATACATTTTCTTTAAGATAGTGTTTAAAAGCCTCCCCTAGTAGTTCAAATTTGGAGTGGGTTTGAGGATGGACACCACCCTCCAAACTAAAGACTCGAGTTGACCTTTCACCCTCACTTAAAGCATCCCAGCTTAAGTAAATTCCACCAGTCTACACCCCTAATTCTTCCAGCCGGTCATTCACAACAGTGACTGCATTCCCAGAACATGTTATTCAAATCCATGTTTCTGGGTGAGTCAGTATACTAATGTGTGCTAAAATGAGCAATTAAGATCAATTTATTTCCTCCCCATGGACGCTTTATTCACAAATTGCTGCAGACTGCGGTCCCCAGTGAGCTGGATAATCAATTGCATCAAACCATAAACGGCCTCCAGCTATGAGAGAGGCTCCATCATGCTGTTTATGAGGGAGACAAGAAATATTAGCATGCTGACTGAATACTCATCTTTCTTCCACTGACTTTCCCTCTCCATCCCATTCGTCAGGCTGGTCCCATAAGCATCGCTCAGCCAATATGAGTTTTTCATTATAAGTGATTTTTTTTGCAAGTAATCCTGTCATTTGAGGTAAAACGTAACATCATTTATGTATTTTGCTCAAAACGTATTATTCACATTGACAGTTTAGGTGTCTACATTTTCCAGTTTGAAACATAAATAGATGCATTTCTCTGTGCATTAAGAGCTAGGCACTTAGAGTTCAAATTCAGTGCTTTAATTTCATTCTAAAAAGCACAATCATGAACCATTTATTCATGCATACTAAGCTTATAAATGGGAAATATGGAAATGGACATTAGAGGGGCTCTTGTGTCCTTATTGAGCAGCTTTGATAGGAGATTAAGTAGGAAAGAGGGTTTGGAACATCATGTAGCAAAGGGCTGAGGGTTACATTTGAACCCCAGCAATTTAGCCGGGGTTCAAATTAGCCTGTACCCACCCCAAGCTCAAATTTAATGCCACTTTTTACATACACTGATTAATACCATTAAATCACATTCCATTATTAGTGTATGTGTCATATATTCTTGCCTGAAAAAATCCTGAAGACTTTGGACACAAATGTCTTTGGGGACATGATGTGAGCTACGATCGTAATTAGTTTTCTTAGGAGCATTGCAATCCACTAACACACACACACACACTTGTTCCACCATCTTCCTCTCTACTTTTCAGAGTCTGGCCTGCAGAGCGGGTTGCCGGGGGTGGAGCTTGGACTTGTGATGTAGAAAATCCCACTGTGTCAGAACCATAGAATGTATATACTATGGACAGCTTGGCTCCGCCTTCCGTCATTATATGAATTTAGATGCAGATCGATATAATCTTTCATCAGTTTTTTTGCTGATATCGGACCGTTATCCCATATCAATATTGTATCGGGACATCTCATTCCTACTTTAAATAGGCTTCAGATTTAAGCAACATTTTGTTGTCTGTCAGTGACTGAAAATCAGCTGCTTTGTATGGAGGATCCTGTACTGTTCTAAGTCTTTAAAATGAGGCCTATGCAAACAAACAAAATTTTGTTCTGTATACACCTGCTGCAGACTAAATGAGAATAAAAGTCTGTCTTAGTCCTTCAGTCTAAATCTCTTAGTCTAAAGTGTTTAAATTGAAGTGGAGTCATCTGACAATGTCCCTCTCTGTGCAGTTCAATTAAGTTTTCATTCTTGTGTTTAATATTTTAAATAATAATTTAAATATCCATCAAACACCAAAGTTTTGTAGTTCGAGCGCCCCAGCCTCTCTACATTAACATACACAGATCATGTAGGAGTGGGCGGGCAGACTTGTAATTTATTTATGTTTGCATTGATCTGGCACAAAGGTGAGTTTTCTAAAATGTAAATGAAAAGCAGTTTTAACTCATCATTTGACGTTTCTTAATGAAATCAAATATAGAAAAAGAAGCTGATTGTTGTGGAGGGACTAGTCAAGAGTCTGGCTGACAGGTGGCGCTTGTGCAAACTCTTGGTTTTTGCCAGACTGACATTATTAGTGAGAGTGATAGAAAGGCCATCGGGGTTCATCTTAATCTCTGTATCAGTTGGCATTACTTGGTGTTTGAAAGCCTTGTCCAAAAGCAAAGCTCTTCTTATCAACTCTCTGAAACCTGTGTCAGCACACATACAACAGTGGTGGTCCAGATTTCCTCAAAATGAGACACGCCTTTCCCTTTTCCTTGTATTTCCTGCCCTGGTCTTGGTTTCTCCTGGATAAGGCACACACATGGGTTTTGCAGTTGAAGAGGTGTGAAAGGAATCAGTTTGAGATGTGGATCTAAGTCAGAGGCTGAGCGCTTGACTCTGGATGGATTTCATTTGACTCTGGAGAGCCTGTTTGGGCTTTAATTGATCTTAATTAGAGGTCAGTCTTTTTGGCCGTGAGGAATTAGACCAACACCTGCTCTGTATGAATATGCATCACAGCAGTCCCCCTTGCTTTCTTTTTCCTCTTTCAGTGCTTCACTCTTTTCACTCTATGTTGTTGACTAACCTTTTAGCTGCCTCCATCTATAGGCGGACAAAGGGCTTTGAGGAGGGCTCAGACTGGGCCACTGGCACTATTGTGTTGTTAACAATGTTGCTTAGCCCCAGAAGAATGCTGCTAATATTGTGTCCCGAAGCTGATGGCTCTGTCAAACAGCAGGCTGATGGAAGGCTATTTCCCAGCTGCTCAGACAGCGTGGCGGGCTCATGACTTTGAATAGCTATTTAGGCCGATATGACTTTCCGGAGAAGAAGTCGCTGACCTTTCTTCTTACTTTGGCGTTCTTGTTTTCTCTTTGCAGGAATGGTATGATATGTCCCTGCATAACTCTAAAATTAAGGTCCTCTGGAATAAACAACTGGAGCAGTTTTGGGAACACTCTGGCGCTCTTCGTCCAGATTTGATGTAGATCTGGTGTGGCTTTCGGGACACGTCCAGTTTGACTTTGTGACCACAGTTATGTGAACCATGGACAAATGGAGGCATGTGAGTGTTTTTAGACCAGCAGCCTCGAGTTTGTCTCTGCTGGAATAAGCCTTAGTCACCAACACTTTGGGTTTTATTCTAGAAGTTTTTAATTCCAAAGAATGTTTTCACTCACCCCTTTCTCGTGTTTTAATTAGCCTCTTAGAAATAAGATGCATATTTGGCCCCTCTGCCCCACAGAGATTTTCAAAACAGCTTAGCCATGTTTTTAACTCTGTAATTTCCTCTCTGGCCAAGCTCTTTTTCACACCGCTAAACTCAATGGCCTTTTTCTTATTCTCTGGCCCGTACTCAGTCATGCAGACACGCACATCTACAGTAGACACACTCTTTCTTCTGTCTCTTGTCGCTAAATGCCTCCCCTGCCTCCTCCTGGGGTCATTGTGGTATTTAGGGTCAGACAAGAGCTCCAGTCATTTCACCCTCCTCAGTGCCTCCCAGGCAGCGCTGCAGTCAACTTACGCCAGCTTGTCTGCCTCAATTGCCTCAAACAGCTATGGAAAACCGCCTCAGCTGTAACAAGCCCTGCATCCTTCTCCCAGCCAATGGAAAAGCAGGATATGGGAAAAACAACACTGTGGAGTAGTGGAGACTCAAAATGGATAAGAGCTATAAAACATCCTCGCTTTTCTTTTTGAGAGAGCTCTTCTATGTTGAGAACTTTTCACTTTTTCCTCTCTGCTCCTGCTTTTCCTCTTGGCGCTCTGTTACCCAGAGTTACCCTCAGAGGGTTGTGATTCGCTGCTGCTTCGAAGCCGGGAGGGAGTTTCCACGTGTCCTTCAGTGCGCCTGGGTGTGTGAGTCAGATTCAGTGTGTGTGTGTGTTGCTTTAAGACTCAACAAGCCTCCACTTTGGGATCAGACAACACCACTGAGGTTCTTCTTTTGCAAGCTGTTCAAAGAGCTCTTAGATTAAAGCCCGGGCCATAGAGGTAAGGGATGTTCTGGGCTCTGCGTTTTATCTTTCACTGCCTTTGTTTCTCCTATTTAGTGGATTAAGAGAGGGCTGGGGTGAAGAGGTTGGATTGTGTTTCCTATTGTCCAGATCCACAGGTGTGGGCTACACTTTGTGTTTGCATGTGTGAGTGCTGTGTAGTTTTAGTTTCCTCATGTATTTTTCAGGCAGTAGTTTGTATTTTAGTTTTTGTTTCTTTTTATCTCTTACCTTGTAAATGAAGATACAGCTAAATGACCTTTTTACAATCTCAGCCTTGCACACTCCTGCTGCTGAGTGTTTCAGGGTTGTCAGACTTGCTCATGTTGACTCATGGAAATAACTGAGTCTGACAAAACTTACCACGTTGTCTAAACTTTGACTGTTTGCTCGCTCACGTTGTACGAAAAAGTTTGAATATGTTATCATTTTTGTGGCAGTACTCTCGTAAAGCGGTGGCATCTGTGTATATAAATCATTCTGAAGACTGCCATGTCATTTTTGGTCTGGAGCCAGGCGCAGAGCTTCTAAATGTGTAATGAAAAAGTCCAAAAGACACTTAACAAGCACAGTGATGGATGTCCAGTGGCTTGGGCTGAATCCACTACACAGTAATATGAGCTTTCAGCAAGTGATTCATAGATAGACATTTCTCCTCGCGAACAAACAACTGCAAGATACTTTAAGTCTTGTTCACATGACAAAAATTCAGCAGAGGACTTAAATCCAAATATTTTCTTTTCTTCACTTCCTCTTGTTGTTGTTTTACTACTTGAAGAACTTCGGTTTTGCATAAGTTTGAATGAAAGCTGTGTCTACGAGAGTGATGCTCTGTGCACACCATGCCTTTAAGAGATCAGCTGTAATAGAGCCAGAGGAAAGTGATAAGAGACAGGTCCCATGGGCTGTGATTTGACAGGAGGAAGGTAGTACGATGGTGTTAACAGTCACTTGCAATAACAAATGACCTCATAGTTCCTACTCTCCTGCATTATAATGGAAAAGGCTAGAGACCTTTGAGGTACTACACTCTATTAGATGACATTTGGACTATTTGATATGCAATTAGTTTGGCTGATTTATGATATCTACATGTAAACTCAGCATTGTGCTTTATTGTCTATTTTGAGGAACATGTCTGCACTGAACCTACTTCAAAAAAAAGAACCGACCACTTTTCTGCATCTCCAGGGCTTTCGAGCGAACTAGGTGAAAAAAAAAACAACTGCTCCAACAGCATCTTAATTCGATTCTTAGCTCTCTGTGTTTCATTCTGCTGTGTCAGGAGTTGTTCCTCAAGTTTAAATTCAAGGACGTGAAGGTCAGGTTTGCAAACACGGTTACCCAGACTCCGGGTTCACACAGGAGAGGGAGGAAGCCTGTTAAACAAACGCAAGGTGGTCTTCACGTAGGAAAATGACACTTCCTTAACACACTGCCTGCATGCACCTACTGTGTTTATACTTAAGCTGAGGTGTGGCCCGTTCTTCACTGTTCCCCCGAACTCCAGACCAAAGACATACACAGTGCCAGACTAAACACAGCGCCTATGTGGGAGTCACCCAGGGGCAGCCTGAGAAGAATGCCAGGTCATGGGGTGTGTCGAGGAACGTTAGGGTGGCAGTGGTCCCTTGGCCCCTGAACAGATGGCCTGTAGGAAGCCTATTGACAAGGACAGAGAGGTGAAGGGTAAAAGGAGGGAGAGTTCAGAGCGGGTCCTGGGGTTTGCAGAAAGAGGAAGACTTGTCTTGTTGTTCTCCCAAAACAGCCACACAATGCTGTGGTTCAAGTCGCAGCAGAAGGCAAACGTATGTGTCTTTAGGTTTGTGTGTTGGCACGCCTTTAAGTCTTTCATACCCCACAACCCTGCTCTGTGTGAATAAACTCTGCAAGGAAAGTGTCAGTAGTAGTGTTGAAAGAAAGCAGTCATTGTGACAAGTTCCACATCCAGCTTTCTGCTGACTCCGAGTGCTGTTGGCAGCTGCTTTCTTGCTCTTGTCTCCACAGAGAAGGCGGTTGAGATACTCTTCATTCATAAACAGTGACTTCAAATCATTCAATCTTTTATTTGTGAGCCTTTGGATACAAAAAAAGATCAGACGCTTTCAAGAACTTGAGATGCTAACAGATACAAAGACTGGGGTGTTCTTTGCAGAGTTAGTTTGAAGCATGGATGTGAAGAAACCGTGCTGGTTTCCCACTGGTTTCCAGTGAATTGCTCTGATGCTCAGTTCAATCAGTCATGTGCGATTGACCATGCTTCTTTAACCAGTATAAGCCTGACTTTGCCTATAGCGTCCTAGTGAACCGGTGCACTGGTTTAACATTAAGCATGTCAAATCTGGAAATAATTGGTGTGTAGCTGTTAGAAAAGCTGCTTGGAAAGACCAAGGTCATCATGCTTGGAGTAATTCTCTCAGTGCGAATTTTTCTTTTAATGCATTCAATCGTCTTGTCCTCTTAATAGATTGTTTAACTCCTGACTTGTTTGGTTAATCCCCTGATTAGTGCAGAGCAATGGTTCAAGTTCATTACCTTGCCTACATTTCTACAGCTAAGTTTCCATTGTGCTACGTTTTCACAAAGGACAGACAATGGTGTCTTGTGTGGCCTCATTCGTGGCTTATTTGATACTTTGAAACCTGAGCTTACATTTTTGCCTCCTCTGTAGACTTTTGAGCTTGTACCATATGTGCTTTACATTTAAAACATCCAAGTTCCTTTGTATTTTCCCTCTAACGTCATACATTAAACACGTGCTTTTGCTGTGGTTCTTTTCGCTCAGTTGCTCAACACTGTAATCTCACCTCACTGTCAAGGTGCATCCAAGCAGGAGCAGATCAACTCTTAATACTACAGATCACTTAATCCTGAAGGTTAAAGCTTTTGGCAGGAGGGTGTTTACACTGTAACCTTACACACGCTGTACGTGTGTTGTGAGGCTTAGCAGAGTTAGCACTATTTGAAAGCCTTCCTGGAGTGTGTGTGCCACATGCATGTTACCAGGTTATATTACACACACCTGACATGAGTCGAACTGCTCCTCAGAACATGCCTGGTGCCTCAGCGAAGAGTGCTCCTCAGCCGTTTCTGGTTTTGGACCCTGCCCGCGGACAAATTTGGCAGTGACGAGTGAAAAAAAAAAAAAAAAACAGGAAGCAAGGAGTCCAAGATTTAAAAATAAACAGGCGGGCTAACTGTAGCCGGCTTTCAAAAGTTTTCCGACGACATCATATACTTGCAGGGAGGTGGAAAAATGCTACCAATGTTTGGTTTTGATGACTGGTTGGGGTGAGTAAGATTCAGAGGGAGGTTTTTTTTTTTTTTCCTGATTGGTCATGCTGTTATGCCAGAGTGGCAACACTTTTCTGTGTTGTCTTATAGCTTTGTTGTTCCCTCTGTGAACTTGGCTGTAAATATGTTGATGTATCGTTTCCAGGGGTATTTACTGAGCTGTGTTTTTGCAATTCACCCACCAAGAATAACGCTGGATTTAAATAGAACTATCACAAGTTTGACAATGTCAGAAGCTGTTTTAGATCAGTGTTGCACTGACTTTATTTATCGCAGTGAGTGCAGCCTACCAAACACTGTCCTCTCCCAAATCTCAGGGATTAGGTGTCCTCTTTAACTGGCCCACCTGTTATTGAACGGGGGGCTCATTGCACTTGGGAAATTACAGTCCTCCCAAAGAAACTAAGCACTAAGTCAACTTCCCTCTCTGTGTTTCAGATGAGCTGGATGACGAAGGAATGAGTTTATTTTGAGACATGAGGTGGAGGGAACTGTGTGGATAGGAACTCCAATCTGAGAAGAAACGTCAATAACGGGTAAGTCTAAGAACTGTGGTAATTTTTTTCATATTATTATGGTTGATTTATATTGAACACTGCAAGTAAAATGTGTCCGTTATACACTTTTATTCAAATGTATGTGAGAACTTACCGATAAGTCATTTCTTAGGCTATAATTGTTAATTGTTGCAACTTCCTGTGATTAAAAAAGACATATCATGTCAATATGTTGATGAGACGCTTGTTTTAGTTCTAATCCACTTGGACAAATTCAAAGACCTGAAGCAGTCTCACCTAGTCTTACCTATTATGTAACCACATCACAGACAGTAACAGATACACTTCTGTCACTGACAGTCCAAGCTGTGAGAGACAGAATGCGCTTTAGCTTCTGCCATGTAATGAAGTGTCTGTCTGGTCACGGCTCTCCATCACTAATGTAATAGTGTTGTGAGCAGTCTGGAAGTGATTTTTTTTATCATCCTGAACCCTGTCACACATAACAAGCCTGACAGCCTAAAGCCTGTTTATCCCAACTTTCCTATAGAGGGAATGTAAGAATGTAGTGAAGTGGGAGGGAGAAAGGCCCAAAGACAGGTTAGTGTCCTCAGATAAGAGACACATGAAGAACTGTTGTCTTCGAAAGACATGAGGAAGATATTAGCTGCTGCTGGTTTGCTTTGAAAACAGCCACTGCAAGATAAATGACACAGTGTGTATGTTATGGTTTTATAGCAGGGGTTCCCAACCTTTTGACTAGAGAGCAGACAGCAGCTGTTATGTTTCTGACAGGGGGAATATACATCACATTATTAAAATGCTTGACTAGTATCATGTTAAGATATATAAAGTAATGTAAAAGCATAATGAAACCTGAACTGCAGGGGAAAACACTCAAAAATCAAATCATAACACCCCCCCCCCCATCAGTGTGAGCCTGAGCCTGGTGGTTGTAATGTTGTGTAATGTATATGAGTGACAGGCGCAGCACGTTTCAATCGCAAACATCCAGTCTGCCGCAGAGCTATGACACTGAATTTTATGTTACAACTTCGCACTTTCCCCCCCTAGTTCCTGATATCCTCATTGTCTGTGGGGCTTTTCTTTAGCAACTGCAGTAGCTAGTCTCTCAAAGTCATCTTTTCTTCTACTTCTGATTTTTTTTATTAGAGATTGTCCATGAATAATAAACAACATAATCAGTGCATTATATATGTATCGATTAATCTGTCGATTAATCGAGTAATCGGATAAGAAATGTTTTGCTCTCACTGTAATACTTTGCATTGAATCACGTTTGCCTCATTAAAAACCATCAGTAACACACAAAACTGAAATAGGCCAGGTCTTTCAAATGAATATTTTTACTGCATAAATCAGGAACCAAAAGTTTTACATTTTACCATGTAGTTCACATGAAACTACTGAAGGCAAGGTCTGCAGATGGTCTTTTAATTGCTATGGTAATGATCTTTGCAGTTTTCACTAAACCAGTCACAACTATTTCCAGGCTTTGGATCTAATTTTACTTGTTTAATTAATAGGCTGAAATAATATAATTCTTGGATACTAACATAATTTGACAAGCAAATGTACATTTATTCAATATATAAAAGTGTTACATTTTTATTTACATGTTGTTGTGTGTTGGTCATTTTGCAGCCCTCTGCTGCTCATCACACGCCTAGCAGGTGGTGTATAGCATTATCACCATGGATACACGGATGTTTGTGTGATTTTTTTCATCCACTGCCGCCCGGTTTGTGTCGTGTAGATGTTGATTATGAAAACACTTCGCAATAATTTGGAAACGTGAAGGGGGAGCTGCTGCTGCCCGGTGTTTACGGTAAATAGACGCAAACACCGACCAAGTGGACGCTTCGGTCTCCGAAAACGCCGAGACAAATTTACAAACAGTCACTATTTCAAACAACTGGGCTCATAATCGTGATGTAAACACTTACTTTCTCGCTAGAAAAAATATTATTATTGAATGAATTTATATAATTTGTCCGGTATGCAGTCGTTCTATGTAGCTTGTGGTAGGACTATTTAAATTTTCCCGGCGCTGCGTCCGGCCGGCACGAAATGCATTCTGGGGTATTTAGTATGTATGTGTGTAAACGCTCGGGCAGCCGCGGCATACTCAAATCATCTTTGAGTAGTCAGTAGGCAGTAGCTACTGCTTGAGTAGGTAAGTAGATAGCAGGCAGTATGCCATTTCGGACACAGCTTCTGTCTGTCCTCGTTTCCCTCCATGATTGAACCAAACGCGCGGCAGCGGAAGGAGCGGAAAGAGCACGCTTCTGCGCAACAGAAATAACCGTCCGTGTCAAACACCGTGCGCTGCACATGGTTCCGGATTTAAACGATTCCTCGAGGCATATAATTTGCCTCGAGGAATTTTATTAATCGAGTTACTCGAGTTACTCGAGTAATCGTTTCAGCCCTACATTATATATGTGGCAGTTATATCCACCCTCATGGTTCAGTCTGGGTTTTTGCTTTCAAATAACCAACCCTGGTACCAGTCTAAGACCTTTCGGTTGGGTATAAGACTGAAGTTATTATTTCCTATGAGTAAAAGGTTAACTGACTCATTATTTTTGCTTCCTTTTTTCACAGACGGCCATGGGAAATTCTGAGAGCCAGTACAGTATCCAGGGCCCCAAAGGCACCAATTTTGCCTTCCCAGGGAAACAGAAGCCATACTCACTGAAGTTCCGCTCAGGCAAAGACGATGCTCTCTCACCTCATTCCTGGTGGAAAAATGCCCCACTAGGCTCTGCGTACAAGACCAGGTGTGTCGGACGTGGCTGCTTATCTCCTCCAAAAAGCCGGCAGTCCTTCACTGCCAGGCACTATGACTACGTCTCAAAGGAGATAAGGGGCAGCCCTGGTGCTCACCACTGGCATAGATCAGCTGGGTGCGGTGTAAGAAGGCGGCACTTGTCAGATGAGTATGATGGTAATCCGTATGGAGCTGAGCTGAATGGGTGCACCCTTAATGGACACATTGAGAAGCACGAGGCTTTAGAGGAACAGAGCAGCCCACGGGTGGTAATCAAGAAGGATGGCAGTCTCAGGGTGGAGTTCACCAACACCTCTGGCCACCCTCTCCTCCTGGAGGAGGCTTCTGGCCCTGTACAGCTCCTCAAGTTCTCCCCAAACCTGGAGTCTGCCTCAACTCCAAGTCTGCCTGGTTCCAGTGGTAGCGCACAAGAGGGTCACTGTAGTGGTCCACCTCCTGCCTCCACCTCCTCCACTGCCAGAACTAGCAAAGGGAGCTCACTGAGCTCTGATGGTTCCTGGTATGATTCGCCATGGGGGCCCAACACAGATCTGTGTGAGCCAGACCAACACTGCCCTGCCAGTAGGACTTTGGTCCACTCCCCAATCCACCAGCTTGACTCCTTCACTGAGCAGTCCCCCCCTGTGTCCATTACAGACCTCTACAAGGACTCAACAATGGCTGCAACTTTCCCCATAACGAAGGACCTGTCCTCTGAGTTCCAAGGGCCGCCACCTGGTCGAAGGACTCACCGAGCCTCTTTCGCATCAGTCCTGGATGTTCCACTGGAGGAGGAATGTCCCGAGGCCCACCAGTACACATCCTTCACCCTGCCCTGTCGCAGGCCCAAAGCCCACACCATTAGTGAGGATCTTGGCCAGTATCCTGATCAGCAACAGCACCAGGGGCAAACAGGACTAGGTTTTATTTTCCATAAAAAAGACTCCATAAAAACCCGAATAAGACGCCTCAGTGACTGGACGGGCAGCCTTGGCAGGAAAAAGAGGAAGTCTCAGGTGAGTTTAAAAGTGATGACACTTGGGGATTACATGGATTTACTTCGGTAACTCTACGTTCCTGAGTTACTGGTACAAATTTATCGATTGCAGCATGCATATAGAAATCTTGGTTCTTGGTCATTTCACTATGTGGCCCTCAAAGTACTCATTTAAGCTAACAGTAGATGAGTTTATCACCCTCTTAATGTTATATTGGAGCTACTGCTAATTAGACCCTGAGAGAGCATCAGTAAAAGCCATGCACAGTAAGTTTTCTGTCTGGCAAGGTTTATTTGATTATGAGCCCCAGTGGTGGTCTTGGCATTGCTGAAGGATAACCACAGTCCTCTGGTCCTGTGCACCACAACACCAGCTGTCTGAGGACAGGACACAGTGGGGCGGCACAAAATGAAGTTTGTAAGGCAGCCAGCACTTGGTCTTGTTATTTTTTGTGAGGATGTAAGGAGGAAGAGAGGTACTCCCAATAACAATGTACGACATGGAGGATCCTCGGGGGAAGAGATGTTTGGGGCTGATGTGCAGAATTTATGATGACTGTATCTGGGCGGGTGCATCCGAGGTATTGTTGCATACTGATTATCAGTGCTCAGTTTTTGCATGTGAATGTTTGACGTCTTTAACTTGGCTGTACTGCGAACATGTGGACTGCGAGTGTGTTTAGGTAACTGCATTGTGTAAGGTTATTGTTTCGCTCACCTGGTCATTATCCTCAGATTCTCATGGTGTTAGGTAAGATTTGGCGGAGTCAGAGGAAGTGCATGGAAATCTGGGAGGTACGTGAGACACAGAACAGACAGCTGATGTATTTTCCCAGTAGTAAAATGATACAAGTACCATACAGACATGGGTCAGAGGAAAGGGTTGGAAATAACCACAGCTCGTTGGCATGCACATGACTGTAAAACCACGTGATTTAGCCCTACTGAGACTGCATTAATAGCTTTAATTTGACAGAAAGCATTGGTAGAAACTCAGCCTGAACTCATGTCTCTCTTTGTCTTTGAGGTTTAAAGCGATTGTTTCTGCATTAATTCATTTAGCTTCGCCTTGTAAAAGTTTTAAGAATGCTGTTTGGGCGCTGCCAAGAGAATAGCTGTAAGCCTCTGAGAAGCTCTGTTCGAGTGAAACTAAATCCTAGCTGGAGATTTAACCCCACCCTTCCTCTTAATGTTAATGAATCACTTTTGGGTGTTTGGGCTGTTGTGTGGTACTGATTTTCTAAGCATCTGAGGTTGTAAATCTGCTAATAGGGATTGGTGTTCACTCAGTTGGTGGGTGATGACAAACCATAGAACAAAACAGAACTCTCTCCTTTGATTCAAAGGACTTTTTTCGTTTTTTTTTTGCTGAGTAGGAATTCTTCTCCTTACTCAAAAGATGATGCAAAGTGAGGAGCATGAGATATTTTGCCTTGATACTGTCACCCTACCTTGTGGTGACAAACATGCAGTGCATTTACAATATCCATTACAATCTTTACACAGCGTTCCCTTTAAATTAGTCAAGACTTGCTCTAAATCAAATTGCTATGCTTGCCAAACATCATGCTAATTCTTAGCTTTAGTCTTTGTTATGCTAAAAAAAAGCTTGATAGGTGGCTGTTTTTGCCTACAGCCATCCAGAAGAACTTTTAAATGAGATGCTGTTGCTTCAGTACACTGATAAACTGTCACAGTTTGAGCTCTGTTTTCAAAGATAAGTCCTAAAAGAAATACATTTACTCTGAAACTTGACATGGCTGAACTAGAGGTGTTTAATGCCAGAAAAATAGCATAAATAATTAAGGGTTAAAATTTGTCCTTCTTTAGGGCCACAAAATACAGCAACGTGTTTGTGCTTAGGTCTCCAAAATACTTAAATCTGGTCTTAAGACTGTGTCCTTTTGGGGCCGTTTGTGGACTGCCAAACCTCCATGGCATAAACCTCAAAGGGCCCTCACAAAATTAGGAGCACCTCCAACTCTGGGTTTCTTCCACCTGGTCTCCGTGACTCTGTGGTGGGATTAAAGGTCAAATTGCAAACTTGATGCCAAAAGGCCAAGAACCTGTTCTTAATGAAAAGCAGCTGGGAGGAGGGGGTTAGAAAGGGTGAACAAACTTGTGCTGTGGTGGCTAAAGGAGAAAAGAAGATGCTGAAAAAGATCATACAAACTTTCCTCTGGCTGTTTAATACAAATACTGTGTATTTCATGGTGGCAGGTGAAGTGAAGGTTATTCAGAGGCTGTTCCTTAGGGATTCAAAGGGTTCATAGCTGCCCTGTAGCTAAACATGGTCTCAGTTTGTCAGTTAGTGACAGGAAGTGAGAAACCCCCACCCTGCAGCGCTGAATAAGGGATTTCTTTGCTCTTCATTTCCATATAAATAAAGAATTTGTTTATGCCTCTTTAAATTATTCCAGTCCCTTGGCAATGATTTGGGCAAATTTAAATAGTTTGCTAAATATCAACAATGGCAGTAGCATAAATGAGAATGGAGAGGACATGGATAGAGCTGAGTAAGAGACAGGAGGAAACAAAGACAGTGGATGAGCTTGATATGACGACTCATACTGTGCTTCTGCATGCTGAGAGCTCTTAGGTCTGTTGCCAGGGGCAGAATCAATGCTGCAATCTAGTCAAGTGTAGGTAGACTATCATTAGGCATGAAAAGTGCAATTCCATCAAGTGTTCATTTGGGAGATTGGGAAGCCACAGCGGCCCTCAAATGACGTGAAATTGTCTGAGCCTGGAGGGTTCCAACCTCCCAGGTGCCATCACAGGAAATTTGTCCCACTTTCTCAGCCTAGCGAAAGATTTAGGGACTCTAATGTAGACTTTGAAGTAGGTTGAAGTGGCTTTCACTGGATTTTTTCAAAAGTTTCTCCTCCAATCTTTTAGCAGCTTCAGGCTAATTGAAAGTAGCACAGTTAGATTTTTTTTGTCCTAATATAAGCTTTTCAATGCCTACTAAGGTATACATAAAGTGCAGTTGTGGTGCATTAAAGAAGGGGAATAATTTTGTTAACTAATCTGTAAACCTCCAAACACAGCCCCCGAAAATAAGAGACATTAACTTTAGAAAATATAGATGTAGTTACACAGATGTCATCCATTGGTTAATGAAAACATCCAAAGATAGAATTACCCATGTAAATCTAAGCTAGACACAGGCAAAAGGATGGAAATGAGGTACTGGCTTTGCTGCCTAGCCTTAACCTACAATATGCTTACCTTTGGGTCAAACCAGTCCTAAATTTCAAAATTGATGTTAAAGAACAAAAACCCTGTGGACTTCTTTAAAAAATACAAAAAATGTGTTTTTTTTCTTGCTATGTTTGCACCAAGAATTCTGCTGGAAAAGTTAGCAATTCAAAATGGGCTCTGATTGGGTTTCCTTGACTTTTGGACAGCCCCAAGTGGACGCTCAAGGAACCGTCATGCTTCATTTTTCCTCACCAAAGGTTGTTGCACTGTGATTGATTGTTAAAAGTCCTGGAGGGTTATTGTTCATAAATCTCATCTTTCACCTCTCTTTATCATTTGGCCTTCATGCTTTCCTCATTTGTAATCTCTCTGTTTTACCTCACAGGAAACCAGGTATAAGGACCTCACTGATGCCTTTGACAGTGGAGTAGATGGTCTGACCGCAGACACCAGCTCCCCCTCCCAGGTCTCCAGCCTCCTCTGGTTCCCGGGAGCTTCCAGGGCCCAGTCGTCAGGAGCCATTCATCAAACCACCAGTGATGCTGTACGCCAGAATATCTATGAAAACTTCATGAGGGAGCTGGAGACTGGCACCGGGCAGGGAGGAGTGGGAGGCGGTGAGAGGAGAGACCCATCCACAGGGACGGAGGAGGGGGACAGCGGCAGTGAGTCAGCGGAGGGTTCATTGGAGCAAATGGACCTGCTGTTTGAGAAAGAGCAGGGAGTGGTCAGGCGGGCTGGCTGGCTTTCTTTTAAACCTCTGGTTACCTTGCACAAGGACAGGAAGCTGGAGCTGGTGACCCGCCGCAAGTGGAAGCAGTACTGGGTGACCCTGAAAGGTGAGGTTGACCCCAAGAGGGGGAGCCTGGAGGAGGGGGACACAATTATGCACCTTAAAATTGAGTCAAAGATTGTGCTGACATGTAAGTTTAAAATAATTCAAAGTTAAGTAGATTACCCAAATTTGAGTTCTGTAATTCAATCTCAAGGAGCACGTGGGTTCTTCTTTCTTCTTCTAGTTTCTCCTCTCAACAGCATACATGTCCTTGACAGTGGCATTAAACTTGACATTGACTGATCGTTCTCCCCCTTCTGCTCTAAAAGCCTGAAGGGGATTATGCCGTTGCCTCGAACTAGATAGGAAAAAAGCAGACTTTGCTTTTGTACGAACATATGCTACTTTTTTACCTCTCTGCTTTGAAGTCTGTGCTGATGAACATCTCTTGGAAGTTAGAAAAATAGAAGGTAGAAGCAATGACAGTCGTTTGTGGCCTATTGGGGAAACTTAAAAGTTTTTGTGCTTCTTTGTACTTTATTCGTTTTTACAAGGACTGTGTGTCTTTTTGACAGTATTTGAATTCCAAACTCTGACAGTCCAGAAAAAGCCAGCTTAGTAATGCATACTATTTCTTATGCGTATTTCTAAGTCATTCCTGTTTGTCCCCATCTTTGTGTTTCAGGATGTACATTGCTCTTCTATGAGACTTACGGCAAAGGCTCTCCAGAGCAAGATGCGTCACCTCGCTATGCTCTCCTGGCTGAGGACAGCATTGTCCAGGCTGTTCCTGAGCATCCCAAAAAGGAGAATGTCTTCTGTCTTAGCAACTCATATGGAGACGTCTACCTCTTCCAGGTAAACAACATCAGTCAATATAAAACTACAAGTGATGCTGTTTGAGATTTTACTACACCTGTTTTACATAGTTTTTAGCTTAAAGTTTCCAAACTTTCAGGTTATATCCTATTTGCCTGTTGTGCTGAGTGACCTACATATCCACACTGAATTCAGGCCTATACTCGCCTCTGTCCCCATAACTTTGCCCACTTGAAATTACAAGCTTCCCAGACTGCAGCATGTCGTGGTGTCTAGACCTAAATCTAATAAAATAGTTCTGTACGGAGCTGACATGGCCCCAGAGGCAAACAGAGTGAGAGAAAATCGTCTCGGTAACACGAGGAAAGCCTGGGTTTCCTCCTTTTGTTTCCACTCCAATGGCATGAGTCATTCTTAATCTAGGGGGGGTCAACTGATTTCTTAACCCACATGCTGCTTCCTCTGTCTTAAGGCAAGAATGACAATCATAAAAATGGCATATAAACATTCAAAATGTGTGTTTGATACAAGCAATATTTCATAAACCTTCTAATCTAAGCAGCATTAATCACTTTTTCTGTTATTGATTCAGCAAAGCCTGGTTAACCACTGAATGATCGAAGTGTGATAAATGATTAAAAACACTGTAGTAGTAGTCGAGCATGGGCAACTCCAGCAGATTTATCAGTCAAAGCATCTTTGAATCCAGCTTGTAGCAGGAATCTGACCTCGCTACTTCATCAAATCAATCTCTCTGTCCCCTCTCTGCCCTGCCAGGCCAGCAACCAGACCGACCTGGAGAACTGGGTGACAGCCATCCATTCTGCAAGCGCCTCACTGCTGGCCAAGCGCCAGGGTAAGGAGGACACTGTGCGCCTGCTGCGGAGCCAAGTCCGTGGCCTGCTGCAGAAGATTGACATGGACGGAAAGATGAAGAAGATGGCTGAGCTGCAGCTGACAGTGGTCAGTGACCCCAAGAACCGCAAGGCTATAGAGAACCAGGTGAGGGTTAGTCATTTTATCCAAGAGACATTTATAAAAGCTGCAAGTAACACTGCTGTCACAGAGAATACAGAAGACCTTCGAGACATTTTACACACCATTGCATGTTTCCTGCCACTTTTACAAGTAATCTGGAAACTCAACAACACAGATAGATCATGAGGTGTGACATATGCTCTTTTCATGCCAAATTAATATTTCCACATTACCATGTTTGTTGTCTCTCAGCGTGATATGTGTCGCAGGCCTACGATGTGCCCTACTTAATACTTCAGATTTTGTGACTGCGGGGACAAGCCTGTGCTTTATTTTTGTCTGTGGGTGGGTGAAGTGGCCTAAATGCATCAGTCCCCAAACGCATTGCGATGGGCCCAGGGGAGCCACTCGCTCCCCGAGCATCAGATTGGGATTCCAGATGTTTCCTAGTAATGGGCTCTCAACGTGCATTATCCTCTTCTTCCTCCTCACAGCCTGGGGGAGAATCCAGAGCACCCAGCACTGCGCTGTAGCCTACATACAGCAGATTACTGATAGATATAAAAAGCCTATAACCTATGGCTTATTTAGAACCAAAGTACCTTAAGAAATCACATTTGATGTAGTAAATAAAAATGTCTGGCTGCTTTATTCACCACCTACACCTATAGTTTCTAACCTAAAGCTGAACTTTTGACTTACTTTAGTTTTGTGTGAGCTGCTCACGTTATAGAAAAACGGGCAGTGCTGTCTCTTACTGATCGGTGGCGATGTCACTGCCTGACTGTGCAAAGGCTGACTCTGTGCTTGTATCTGTTTCCAATTAGCCAGTATGCCACCTCAGAGTAGACAAAGAGACAGACGGCGAAGGAGTCAATGATAGGGTCAGGGGAGTACGGGACAGGACTCTGATACAGGCGCCCCAGGGCTGATGATAGATTTAAGGTTTCGTTGGGGTTTTCTTGCACCAAAAGGGCACTACTTTGATGTCCAGCCCCCACCCCTGTCTACTGAAATCAGTGCCAGTAGACCTCTTTTGAAGAAACACACACACACACAAGCTGACGCACTCACGCACACACAGCGATCAAGTTGCATTGAGAGACTTTTTATGTACTTGGGCTTTTACAGAAGGTCAGGAGCAGATGTTAAAGAGGGGAAATAAGAAAAGATGAGAATCTGTTAAGAGAACAGCTTAATAGCTTTTAAATGAATGTGAATAAACTGTGCACGCAGGACAGATGGGTCCAAACATGCCTTTACTTTGCTCTGCACTGGTTAATGCCTCCTAGATACAAGAGGCTGTAGACTTAGTAAATGCTTTTAATAAAGACTGTTCATCAGTTCTGTATCCAGGCATGATTCATCAAATCAAATTTTATGCAGAGGACTATTTTAGAACATCCCTGAATGACTGTGCTCATATTTGACTGCTCACAAACACATCCAAAAGGGACATGCTGGTGTATCAGAAGCATGACAGGATAATATGTGACAGTTGTACATGGACAAGAGTTTTTCCAAAGCAGCTACTCCTCTAAATTCTTTGCTTTTGAGGAAAGGGGCTTATCTGATTTTCTCAGTAATACCTCCTTTTCCATCTAAAGTCATCTTCAAACTACTCCGTGGAATTAAATCTCAGCTCTGCCTCAGAAGAGCCTGTAAAATTAAACGGACCCAGGAATAGCACTCCAAAAAAACGGTGCTTTGATAACTTAGTTAGCATCTCATAAAAGTTTTTTTGAGTTAAAATTGGACTCAACAGAGAGGTCTTAAGATATGTTAGAATGACTCTGTGGGCATCAGTTTGTCCCAGTTAATCATTAACTTAAAAGTTCCATTAAAAGTGTCCCATCTAGCTTTACTATAGATAGATATACGTTAAAATCACTTTTCACATGAACATAGTCACCAGTTATTTCTGGAGAGTTCTTAGCATTACAAGACTTTAACTTCTGCTGTTTTACCCGAGGTGACAGTTACAGGATAATCATATAATATAAAACAGTGTCATAGCACAAGCTCAAAAAAGACAACTTATCTTGTTAACTTGATTAAACATTGGTGGTTAGAAACTGATTATAATGCCACTTAAGGTAAAACTGTAGATGCACGACCATTTTGATTTATTTAAAGTCATTCTGTCATATAGACTGGGCAACTGTGTTAATTGAGTCAAAGTAAAGATACTTCAGGTGAGATATTACTTCAATACAAATGCAAACACAAACCAGCTCAGCTAGATTACAGCTGGAGTTGCAGTCTGGAGAACTTGCTTTAAAATAGTTAAAGCTCCTGGAAGGAACTTTCTCTCTGCTTTGATTTTGGGGCCCCCCATGGACAATGTGGTAACTTTTACTTCATTGTTGTTTCATTTAGTCCTTGTAAAGTGGAATTAATTGTCAAGAAAATATACTCATTTTGTCCACTCACTGTGACTATTTGCTATGGAAGAGGTAACAAAGTTTGTTTCCTCAGTGTAACTACCCCACAAGAACTTCAATGATTGTCTATCAGATTTTAGAAAAGAAAAGGAAATATCTCAGCCGACTTATTTTACAAATGTGGTGGAGTAAAAATAAAAGATTCTTCAAAAATAGTACTCAAGAACAAAAAGATGCTGAAAAAAATATACTTAAGAATGACTCAGCAGTTATCAGCATACTGTCGAATGTTTCTCCTATGAAATTTCAGAGGTTAATCTTACTTGGAGAAGGACTAATTCTTTGTGTTTGAGCACTTAAAATTATTAAAATAGCCAACATGCCCCATGTAGGATTATTGTCTTATCAAACCATTGGGATTCCCGGGACTCATCCTTGTGGTTCAGGTCTGGAATGAGAATAATGGGATGAATGTCATTGACTGCAGGCTTGTTAACCGAGGACACCTGCTCAGCTGTGTACACAGGCGTTTTCATGGCTTTTAGTGCACAGCATAGCTCAGGTTGGTCCCATGGTGATTTCTGTGTAAGTTTTTTTTTGTTCGAGATGTTCATAAAACCTCACCCTCCTGTACCCTCACAGCGTGTTACTAATTCTAAAGAATGCTGTCAGTGTGAATGAGTCCTAATGGGACAACGCTGTGGGGCGCGTTATTGTAAATGAACTCACAGTGCAGACGAGACCTATAAAAGTCGGTTGTTATGGAGGGTTGTTTAACTTGAGTGTTCTCATTAAAAACAGTCTCCAGCCAACAAAATAAGTATTTTCTCAAAGCATACATCATGCAATCAGGCACAGGGGGAAGGTGACTGTAAACTGTGTGTATAAGAGTTGTGTGTGTGTGTGCACGCGCGCATTTGGTAGAGGTTTAATGGGTGGTCTGTGCAGCATCACCTCTCTCCCTAAACTTACATGAGCATAAGGATTTACTGTGTAAAGTCACTCCTCTGCTAGATACGAAGTCCCTACTTTATTATTAAACCCCCAACATGTGCCCTCACCCTCCACCTACATCTGCAAGCAATTGCTTCTTGATGAAGAGCACCTTTCTGACCCTCGCCTCTTTCTTTGACTCTCTATCTTCTCCCCCCTCTTTCCCTTGTCCTTGCCCCCTCCCTAACAACCCTTCTGCTTTCCTTTTTCAGCCACCACCCAAACTCTACTCACAAGTTTACCATCTAACAAGGTCTCAATTGTTCCTGATTCTCAGATCCAGCAGTGGGAGCAGAACCTGGAGAGGTTTAACATGGACCTGTTCAGAATGCGCTGCTACCTGGCCAGTCTTCAGGGTGGAGAACTTCCCAACCCAAAGAGCCTCTTGGCAATTGCCAGCCGCCCCACCAAAACCACTCTGGGACGTCTGGGGATCTTCTCTGTCTCCTCTTTTCATGCGCTGGTGAGGATGCCTCGAGCAGGCACTGGATAGCTGTATAATGCAAACATGCAATGTAAAGTCAGGCCATAAGTGCTCATTTTAGATTCCTCTCTGTGTGGGATACTTCACTTTTCATTTACTTGATATTTAACAAGAAGGCTTTAAAGTCTTGTAATCATTTGAAACCTAAAAGCCTCCTCCTGAAGACTTTCTATATGCATCACTGGAGGAAATTGTGGGTACTTAAGATAGTCTGATTAACTGGAATACTCTGTTCAGATAAATGACTACAAATCTGATAGTTTGTATCTGTTCAGATCTGTTCCAGAGACGAGGCCACTCTCCGACGGCGCTCACTGTCCCTGACTCATAGAGAACGTAAGAGGGGCCTTTTCTCCTCGATCAAAGGTCTTGATAACCTTACAAGGAGAGGCAAGAGGCCTTCTGCGTCACAGGTATGACTTATCACACAACAAAAACGAAACCATGTTACAACTGCAACATCTTTCTTTATTTTTTGAATATACAAAATCAAACACAGAATGGCTCTTTCCATGTTTAAATTAGTGTCTAGACTTACTTCACATCTGCTTAAAGCAATGCTTCACTTATGTTTAATAAATTCAGATTTATATAAGCAGCAAGGGAGAGACAAGCAAGCTCATTAGTAATCTTTGAAATCAAAAAGAGATATGGTAATATGATAAAAGCTTACATAATGGAGTTTTATCAGCCTTCTTGCATTTTTGTCTGATAGAAGCATTTAGACCTGAAATGACACTAAATTACTTTTATGAATCCAAGACTAATGAAATCAGTGTCTTAGGCAGATCAGTATGCAGTTCTGTCATCTCTACATTTAATCCCTCAGTGTACCAAGTTGCCTTTACCCTTTCCTGTCCCTTTACAGTAGTTTCTCTTGGGGATTCATAAAAGCACCCTAAATACTTTGCTCTTGACTTTCTATGTGGCAATCCCATCCCTTTTGTGGGCATTACATATCATTCTCTTGTCTGTTTTTCACCTGAGAATAATGACGAGTTAACCTGAAGCAGCAGCAGCTCTCTACAGTGTTAGAAATAATGTAATAATGAATACATGAATAATGTAAATTTTATAATTACATATATGTTATGTAGGGCTGTTATCAACCAAAGAAATTTTGGTCGACTAAAACCCTGAAATTTTTTACCAAACATTGACTAATCGGGTGGGATTTTCCGACTTTGATGGCGAGTGATGAAGCTGCTCGGCAGAGCGCGGTTTGGCGGGGGTGAAAATAAACTGATGTCAGCACAAGAAGGCAATTAAACACAAATATTATATTCAGCAATCCACCGGACATTGGTCAAGGTGGACGCTCTTCAATCTTCCTGTCTCCATTCGGTCTCCAGGGGGTTGGGAGAATCCCAAATGGCGAAAACAGGGGTGGTGTTCTGAGACAGGCTGTTACCTGTAAAACAGGGGTGCTCTGGGAACACCTTCATCAGCACTTGGTACTTTCCTCCTAATGAAATTAACCATAGACTGTAAATTGAGGTGGGAAAAAAATCAAATCCAGTCGAATTTTGGTTGACTCAGCATGTATCGACCAATAAGTTAAACAGTTGACTAGGACTTTACAGCCCTAATGTTTTGTAAATCAGCATTTCCTTTTTGAGGTTTCAGTAAAAAGAATTTCATAGCATAAAACAAAAGATTTACTTATAGTAACCACACAATACTTAAGTAAATACGAGGAGAACCTGCACTTACTTATTCTGCTTCAGGTACTGAGTGAAACTCTTAGCAGATCGTTTATATGCAGGATTATGCATTCAGAAAACAGAACTAACCACCATACACGTAACATCAGCATGCAGAATTTATAACCATGTATGTACACAGTGCAAATGTACACCGCACACGTATGTCTGTGAGCTCATACCCAGTCTCTGGGGATGGAGTGCTAAGAGGAGCTGTGTCTTACTTGCACCGTAAGAACACAGTGTGTGTGTATTGTTAATGAAACAACGTGGAAAACATTGGGCTTTATTGCTGACTTGCATGTAAAATGCCTGTGCTGACATGAAAGAAGCCAGGGATTGGTACAGCCATGCAGCAGCCCTTTCAGCACATTTTCCCCCTGAGGAGATTTTATTAATTAGAAGCACACTATCTCCCATCACCCCCTTCTTCTTCTTCCTGCTAAGTTTGACTGTGCACCTCCCATCAACATAAACACAGAGGGGCATTCCTCACCCAGGTGCAAAGGGGGAAGTCTAAATCCTCTCTGGTTAGTAATTAGACTTCAACAAGCTGGTTATTTATTAATACAGAAATCTTCTGCTCTCAATCCTGAAGGTACGGCCCTGGAGAATATTCTCCTCTTGGTGGTCTATTTTCAGAATCGCCACACAGGAATCACTCATTTGCCGAAGTCTTTTCTAGACCTCTGATCATTAATTCAGAGTCATGCAGAGAAGAGGCTGGGGTTTTGATTAGCAGCAGTCTACCTTCATTTTTCTTGATGCTGTGAAGCCAATATGGAGCCTCATTGTTGTTGAGCTCACACAGCTAAGAGCCAATCATGTTCTTCACTTGCAGCTCTTACTCGGGACTGCCTCCAAAATGTTCCCTGTCCTGTTTCACTCCTCTTATCTCGCTCACCCATGCCACCACCTGCCCTGTGATATTTATGTTTGGGCATTTGGGCACGTCTCTCAGCGACTAGGTATGCCTGTGTGTGTGTGTTATTATTTTTCAGGGGAACTCCAGCCGGCTGCTCTAATGAGGCCCGGTTACATTTTGCAGTGCAGAAGGCCGAGGTGGCGCTGCAGCTCACACATGAATTATTGAAAGCCATATGTGGTAGATGGCATTCTCCACTGTTTCCTCAGTCCCACAGACTCTAGCAGATGGTTGGTGTAAAGACACTAAATATTCAACAGCCTCCCTTTATTCCCCCATGTCCTTCTTCCGTTACAAGCTCATTTTAAAGCTTTTTTGGCATTTTCGTCACTAAAGGAGTCATGGGGAGCAAAAATGCTGGTGAACGCTGAGGTTCCCTGCTTTCCTGCTGTTGTCGTGTTGCTTTTTGAGTAGAAGAAGGGTAAGTGTGATATAACTTACAGGTTTCAGGTGCCTTCTTCGCTCACTCGAGATTACATCATGGGCTCTTTGGCTCTACCGATGAAACACATGTTCACTTGAGCAGGATTTGGAAAGCAATCCAGTCTGAGGAGCCAAACTCTCCTCCATGCACTTAAATCTGACTGCTGCTTCTCCAAGATTTGGGGTATCTTCTTTGAGGTCTTTCCCCATTCCTCCAACTCAAACACCCACCTCAATCCCTCTCACTTAAAACCCAAATTTAAACCCAGTCCTTTCTACAGTTTCTCCCACAGTTTGTCTTCCCCTTTCCCCTTTCGTGTTGTGCCGTCTCCCAATCCCCCTCGTCTCTCAGAACATAAACATAAGAGAGTCAGAAGGCGGCTCTTCTCCCACAGTTTCCACACTGACTCATCTGTGTTGACTAAGACTAAATCTCATTTGCCGCTGCAACTCTGGTCCTGACAACCTTACCCCTAAGTCTTTTTTCTCCTCCCTACTCCTTTCCTCCCGTTTTTCTCATCTGTCATCCGTCTTAAGAGAGCTCTGTGTATACAGTAAGGAAGGAGCTGGCCGGCGGTCGGCTGTGGGAAGTAGGCCAGGAAGGTCCGAGGATTTGTGGGAGAGATGGTAAAGCTTTCTAAAATTAGTCAGTTTATGGTGAAGCAGCACTGTTTACAGCCACTTTATAAATGCACCCGTGTTTTGGAGGGAGAGTTACTGCGCCCTTCTGATCAGAGGTCAGATGAGGGTTCTCACTACCATAACAGGAGTGGTTTTTCTGATTTGTGAGGAAAAGTCATCGGAGAAAAGTAATCTTCATCCTCAGGATAAAGGATTGTGTTTTCTTTTTTTTTCTATACACCCCTTTGCAAGTGTGTTGTGCATAAAAGAAGGGGAAATTCAGCTTCAGTTCTGTTAATTTCATGGGAAAACAAACACTTCTCATACAAAATGCCCCGTTTCTGTCACCAGCCTTGCCACCTATCATGCCACTCCTGCCTGGTGACAAAGTATCACAGCCAAAGCTGTTAACTGCCCCTTTCTGAGTGAGGATCAGAGTTACGCCCTCACATAACAGATGACTCTGTGTCAGCGCTGTATTATGGAGTTGTTAAAGCCCTCTGGGGCGGCAGAGTCACCTCCAGTTCTGGGCTTAGCCAGACACAACACGCCGTACAATCGTGAGCAGGTGGAGGAAGATAGGATGGATTAAGAACAGAGAGGTTCAACTCTGGGTGGTGGATGTGGAGATGGAGGGGAGGAAGGGGGGTGTCCACCTCTCATCTGTAACCGGACTGTGTCCCCCTTTCATCTCTCTGCGACAGAGAAACCACAGAGTGTCCCAACACACCCCCTTTACTTACACAAACCCACAACAGCACAGCACATTTCTGCCACTGCACCTTCAAAGGCCGAAGACGCGGTTTGGAAGCAGAATCAAAGTGCTGCACTCACCACATGTAGTTTTTAATTACCTCCATTATAGCACTGTGTGTGTCTAATATTGTGTTTCCGAAGCGGCTGGGCACTTAATCGCTCATGAGTCAATCAGTGTGGTTCCTCGCTGTCTGTACTTTGACACTTTTCTTTCTCTTGATTTCAGATTTTTGAGAGCGATGCTGGAGGTCAAGCGTATGTCCTCCCTCCCAGGAGCACCGAGGTGAGTCATAGTCTTCACTAACTTTGTCTGCTGCGGTTTCGGGATCTTTGATATATCTTTTAAAAATTCCTTTGCCATCTGTCATATCCATCCTGTGGTACCGTTTTATGTGCCGAATTATCTGTTTCAGCGTGAAGTAGCCGTGTCAGAAACGGACCCAGTGTTACTCTGACCTCCGCTGTCTCTCAGGGCTTTGATAGTGAGCTGTGTAAAGATATTTTTCACACACAGGGGATCAGAAAGTGTGTGTGAGTCTGCCTGTGCATATTACACGCCAAGGATCAAAGCAAAGAAGCCTTTCATGTTGATCTGCTGATGTCTGAAAGATAAATAGACACCATAGGGATTCTTACTGGACTTGAATGGTGGTTAGAGTACCACATGGACAGGGCTTCAGCTCTCAGCATAATTGAGTTAATGGAGGGTCTTGGGCTTGGATATAGACCAGAATCACTAATTAAAAGCCTGCGTTTGTGTGCTTGTATTTTTTTCAATATGTTAAAAGATTGATGTGTGTCAGTTTTGAACATCTGAGTTTACATTTGAACTGCAGCATTATCATGTGGTGATATAGTTGCATAAGGGAAAAAGTAAAATATCTGGAAATAAAAATCGAGCTGAAGCAAAGCAAGCTTTTGCTCGATTTAGCCTATACAATGGATACTTCTAGGTCAAATGTTTTGTTTACCTCGCATTCATGCTTGTGTGTTAAAAATTATGCCAAATTCAGAAGCTGCATACAAACTGAAATCAGGAAAAACATAAACTTGCTCTGAAAAAAGGTGACAAACACCATAAAAAAAAAAAATAATAATAATAAAAAATAAAATAATAATAATAATAATAATAATAAAATGGGCAGCTAAAACTAATAATATGAATAGCTGACAAGGTTAAACAAGAGGTATGCAGGCAATACAATAAATAAATCATGCATCATGTAAAGGCAAGTCTAAAAAAGTGAGTTTTTAAAATGTGATTTAAAAGATGTTAAAATGCTTAACTTCTATTTTGTTTTTTTGATTGGACGTCTTGAAGAATTCCCACCAATAATTTTAAATCAGTCTTTATTTATAGAGCACCAATTGACAACGAATGTTATCTCAAGATGCTTGGCAGAAAGAGCTGGTCTAGACCATACTCGTTAACAAAAAAAGATTGAGTACAAGATCAGACCCACTCCTGTCCCATCTTTACCTGCTTGAGTGTGACACTTTCAAGCATTAAGCGAGTTACAGCCGCAAGAAAAAACGTCCTTTAAACAGGCAGAACCAGAATCATGTAAGACAGTCATCTGACCCTCCTGTATTTAGAGAGTTTAGGGTTTAGATAGATAGATAGATAGATAGAGAACTTTATTAATCCCCGAGGGGAAATTCGGTTGTTGTAGTAGCCGATACAAGCAATACAGAGAAATACAAAAAATAGATAAAATATACAAGACTATACAAGACTATACAAGGTAATGAATGAATATGAGTACTTAAATAGTATGTACTAAGATGAATGAATCTGTAAGTGTAGATGTGCAAAGGAGAAATGTGCAAAAGTGATAAAAATATTGTACGATACTTATATGTGCTTAATATAACTTAATTACGACCTAAGCATGTGTACCCGTATTTATAACAACAATGTAGGAATGGCAGGCTAGTCCATGTAAGTGACTGTGGCTCTAACAGGGGTTAGAGGGAGGATAGAGAAAGAGAGAGATGGAAAGAATAACAACAATGCTCAGTACAAGAGCAAATAGCTCCTAAAAACCTCAGATGCTGTTTTTTTACACTTACATTTAGAATTTTAGGCCCATCACCCATCCTGATGAGGTCGAATCTACCATTTGACTGAGCTGATTTGAAGTAATACTGACCCAGACACTAATGTCATGAGTGTATGCTGCGTTTAGAAAATGTTCAGTATTTTACTTTGCCTTAAGAAATCCTCTTTTTGCACTATTCGCAGATGTGTTCCTCCTCTGTGTTAAACCCTTCCTGTGGCTTATCCTCAGGCAACTGTATGCCAGTCTTTGCTTCACATTTGACAAACATTCTCCCTGACTCTAGTGAAAGGAAAAAAATAGAGAATATCCCCCCAAATATTGAATTATTGCTTTATTTGGGGATGATTCTGGCTGCAGCCCACTTGTAGACAAGACTCTGCAGTATTATTTGACAACTGACTTAATGAATTAAAACATCAAATGAAGATTCTTGAAGTGTAGCTTCTGTTCTGTCTTCAAGTAAAGAGATTCGAGAGAATATTCTCGCAGCATTCTGTGACAGTCTGTTTTATTAATATCTTAGCCTGTTTGTTCCTTAAAATGAAAACATATCAAAGCTTTCTTGGATCAACGTATGAATTACCACACTGACACATGAGGAGAATGGACACATTAAGACAGAGCAGGGCGGATGTTATTTAGATGTCTGTTACACAGGAAGGAGTGATTCATAGTATGGGTCGGCGGTGAATGGGACAAGTGTTAAAACTGCCCCATCGAGGGCCTTGAAATGGACTCAGAACAGGAAGTGGCTCTGGGGAACAATAGTGGCCTTCACTGGGTTGACACTTTGATGTTTGTTAAAATGTGTCTGAGTGTTTCCAAGTGTCTCCTGGATTTGGACGTAGAAAACAGCTTGTCACTAGTATTGGTTTGATTTAGTGCGGATTAAGACTCTTCAGGGTGGAATCAAGGGAAAGAGAGAGGACTGGACAGTTGTATTGATTTTTGTCTGCACATACAGTTCTTCAGCTCAGTCTTGATTACTGTTGTCCTACTCGGGTCTTAAATCCAATGAATTACACCAATAAGCAGTCATCTTCCCCTTATCCTACACTGTGAAGTCCAAGGATGTGTTTGTTTGCATGTGTGTGCCCATACTGGGTTGGCGTGAAGCAAAGCTGGTTATGTTGCATAAAGCACAGAGACATATATCTATATAGGATGAACCTGTCAATAAAGTAGCAGCGTTGGAGTCCATAGAGGTTAAAGTAGATTTCACAGTGCCCGGCTTAGTTTTGCTCTTCAGGGCCTCCATCCACCCACTCTCTCTCGGTGGAGTGACTGAACATGTAAAAGTCCAGAAGTCATATCATTTTCTGTTTCTCACTCTGAGTTTCTTTTGAGAAAGTCGCATATAAAAAATACATATTCCAAAATTAATTCCAGCTCAGGGAAATGCAGGGAAAGATTCAGGTTTATCTCCTTCTCCGTTTCTGTTTCTGCATTACTACCTGACATGACTGTCAAATTTTACCACTCTTGTTCATGAAATACTGATCCCTCCTTCCGTATCACCACCTCTCACTGCACTCCAGTACCCACGCCTGCTCTAACTGTGAAGTAAATTCTGTGGAGCAGGCGGCAGTGCTCACCAATATGGGCAGAACAGAACAGAACAGAAAGGGCGTATTTCCTCAGCAGCCACTAACCGTCCGGTTTCTCCACATTCCATCTTTAGAAGCTCCAGGGTGGAGGACCACTTGCTTGGAAATAATTTCCACACGTGAGAGGAAAGATTGAAGTTTGGGGTTGAATTATTTAGCTGAATGCGAATGTAAATAGAGAAGACACTCCAACCACACAGAGGACACGTTCAGGCGCGGCGCGTGCCTGGACCAGACTCCTGGCAGCCCCTCATGGAACGTTGACCAGGCAACCGTCAGCCTCTTGTAGCCCTCCCTGACCATGAATGAGTGTTCAGTGTTACTCAGCTGCTGGTCAGGTCAGTACAGGCGACCAAATCTTCCTTTTCCAGTCACGCCATGTTGCTGGGACACAAACAGGACTGTTATGCAACCAGTTGCCATGACTGCTTGTTTTTCACCCTCTGTTTGTAAGCATGACCTCATCTGGTGGGGGCTGAAGTGGTACCTTGTGTTCCTCCATCCTTATAAATGAGTGGAAGAGTTTTGGAGGAATATAGGTGGCTTTTATTTTAAAGTGATTCACCAAGAAGTGAAGGTGACATCTTAATGAATAATGAGGCAAATGTTTGTGTTTATCTGAGTACATTAAGACTGGTTCTTCTGCCTTTCGTAGGTCTTTGCTAGTCTCTTTAGACCTCTTTTATGGCAGGAACAAAAAAGTCTTTCCCTCTCAAGGTGATGCATCAGCAGCAGGCAGCCAGAAAAGCTCACACACATGCTCAGTCTACAAGAAACCTCAACACGCACTCACCAATTTCCATTTTTATGATCCCGTAATGTTTTTTAAACATCACTTGATATCTACAGCGATTCAGTGATGCATTTATCCCGCTCAGTCCAATGTTTGAATTAAAGCAAGAAGTCATATCGTCTTTGCAAGAAGTGCTGAATCACTGAGTTTCAGAGCAGTTGGTGTGTTTGAGTCTTTCCTCACGATAGAGGGACTTGATAATTGCGGTTTAAGGCTTCACTGTGGTGTCTCCCACAGCCCCTAAACGCAGCTGTGGCACTTTTCCCTCCAGAGACACAGAGTCGCGACCAAAAACCCCCAAATGACTGCCTTTGAGGCAGAGCCGAGGGCTAACCCCCCACCATAATCCCCATCTCTAACCTCACTGTTAATGCCACCAAATAACAATCATTTTCAAATGACAGATCTGAAAGTTTGACTGATTTGAAAATTAGATATTTCTATTTACCACCTCAGTGGAAATAACATGTGTGGCTTTGAAAATCCAATAAGTCTCAGGGAACTGCATAGATCCCATCATCAGAGATGTCCAGCCCTGTAGGTCGACCGTTGACAATCATCTTGTGTACACGGTCGTTATAATGACTTTAATGTGGAGCAACTGCTGTCCATGTTGTCAAATGAATTTCTGAAAGGCTAATTGTATGACATCTTTGATCCGCTGCTTGATCCTCAGCCAAGCATTTAGACTAATGGAACTGTATTGATTCGGCACTGTTACTCAAAGTTTACCTCTCTCTCTCTCTCTCTCTCTTTCTGTATCTCTCTCTCTGGTTACCTCCTTCTTCCCCCTTTTCTCTTCATTATCTGCCTCTTACCTTCTCCTGTCTTCTCTCTCCTTTTCTACCCTGTTTTGCTTTCACACAGAGGCTAGACGTGTTGACCAGTATCTACTCTATGTCGCCCCCTGAGGGCGGTGCGTGGGACAGCAGCAGTGGAGGCAGGAATGTGCTGATGTGTGTCCACATGCCAGACCAGCTGACGGTCCAAGTTGCCATCAGAAGAGATCAGACAGTAGCTGACCTTCTCTCTGCGGCCTGCAAGGTCAGAGCAGAGAGTGATGACATGTCAACAATTGGGCTGTCAAAATGATGTTTGAATGTTGGTTTTTAAATATAACACATAGGTTTGAACAAATTCGAATATCTAGCTTACACAGCTTGCATATAACTTTATTTTGATCAGCATTTTTTCTGTCTACCGTGTCTGCCCAACATCCGAAGATTTTCCAAATGTAGCTTCTAAAGTTCGTTGGAGTCCAGACCACTCTTTCCGAGTTTGGCTCCGAACATCCCGACATCTCTTTCTGCATGTGCCATGGATGTTTTTTTTTGTTGAGTCTCACTGCAGGTGCAGCTCCTGTGACCTGTCCCTGGCCTGTCGTTACATTGTGCTCACTCGCAAAGTAGCTGCTGTTTTTTTTTTTTCTTTTTTTTTTCCCCACTCAGTTTTTTCCGTTTATTTAATATTTGAATATTAACTTTCACATTTGAATCTGTTTTTTTTTTAAATATTTGAATATATATTCAAATTTAAAATATTCGTTGACAGCCCCACTCAACACAACAGCATTTTCACATCCCCGACAGTTAAGCACATAAATTTATACAAGTGGTGATATGTCTGTTGGATTCAGTCGAGACTTTTCTAGGCTTAGATTTATTCGTTTTAGTGGGATTTTTCTTTTGTAATGCAAAGGAAACCTCAAAGTTAATTCAAGTTAGAGATTTTCAGCGATGTCAGGCAAGGTCTTGTAAATGTTTTAATAGTCTTTGTCTAAGCATCTCTAGCAGAAGCCGGTATCTGTTATGCTTCTAGGAACCAGGAGAAAAGCAAAACACACAAACACACTCTGTAGTCCCTCGTGTCAACCATCTGAGTTGACCACAGGTTTCTCATAGCTAAGTGTAAACTCTCTGAATAATTCAGGCCTTGACCATCCAGCAGATGTCAGACAAAGCGTTGGTGCGTGAAATATATCTGATGATTGTGTGGATCCAGGCTGCTGGACATTAAGGGGCTCTTGTTTAAACAGGTGAAACACTTGGACCCAAGTCTGCACTGCCTCCGGCTGCACAGGCAAGTTGAGGAGGAAGAGGATGTAGAGGTCCGATATGTGGCCCCTGAAGAGCGCGTATGTGATCTGGTGAGTGGGCAAAAATCACACACAAAAGTACACACTGAGCTTGATTATCTTCCACTTAATTACTGTGTGTTGATTTGTTTGGTATCCCCCTGTAGGTCAATGATCAGTTGGAGGTGGTCCCAGCTAATGTGTTTACGCTGCACATGAGCAGACAGAGCGGGAGTGGAGACTTTGGTGAGTCGGCCACATTAGGGGACTTATTAAGGTCAAGTGTTTAAAATTCTATATGTGTTACCTGAGTAGATGTGAACTTCAAGTTTGTCTCTGTCTTAGTGTTTATTTCTCTTCCTCCTGCCAGGTTTTGCAATAACAGGACACATAGACAGCCAGAGAAACAGCCGGATCTTTGTCAGTGAAGTGCTTCATGACGGACTGGCATTCAATGAAGGTGCTTCCTCCTTTGAGAGTGAAAAACAATGCTTCCTTAAAAAGGACCATCACATATGCTTGTTCCTGAAACACACACTTCTGTTCTCACAGGCCTGCGTCCAGGTGATGAGATCCTCGTCCTGAATGGCCAGTGTGTGTCCGGCCTGGACCTGGCACTGATCCAGACGCTGTTTGCTGAAGAAACCCTGCACCTGAGCCTGAGGCGGGATGGACCCCTGCCGACTACTCTGACCTCAAACCATACAGCTCCCGGTTTCAGACACTTCCAGGAGGTTCGCAGCAAGCACCACCGAGCGAAATCCTCCTCTGGTGAGTACAATCACACAGAACCTTTTTAGATCCAGATGAAGTGGAAATGCACTCATACTAAGAGGCACTTAAAGAACCGCTAGATAATAAAACTGATTATTAGCATCCCTTGTGTGTGGCAGATGGTGAGAGACACAAAAGGAGAAACATTTCAGATGCTGTGAAATGCTTGGCACTCCCATTGAGGTAGCACCTTCTCAGTTCTGTGTCCATATGAAGGCACCGCTTCACTTGTTTCTCTGTAAGCAAGCTGTGCCGTTCCCCCTGTGAAAGACCTACATTAACCTCTAAGTGAAAGCCCAGTTTAACTTTTGAATAACACATTGTTTAGGTAATCTGATGAGTTTTCCAGCCCTATCTCTTCAACCAGGCGACTGTTATTCAAATGTAAAAGTTGCTCAATGAGCAGTTACACACATAAGCAAATTTGTTGAAAGAGTTGGCAGTTTTTTTTTTTTTTTGCCTAACCCACAAACAGATACCACACTTCCTCCCCAGTTACGATCTTCTCAGATCTTTACTTCCTCTTAAGAAGCTGATCCGCTTCCTTTCCTGTCAAAAGTCTAAAGAAGAAACACAGCAGAAGAAGAAGAAGAAGAAGCCCTAGATGAATTCTCACAGCTCTGTGTGTCCTGGGGGAGAAGAGAGGCTGTGAGGGGTGTTTGACCGCGGAGGGCTCATTATCTCAGTCTTTGTATAGTATACTGTCAGTTCGATTTATTCTCAAAGCTGACAAGAGATGTCAGAGCTGAGCAGTAAGGTCGTCTGTGTCGCTGGACAAACACAGCTGATACCCAGCAGGTAGAGATGCATTTATTTGTTTTCTCAATCTACGCTCCAAAGGTAAGAAGGAAAAGATTAGATTAGATTAGATGCCATTTAGATGAAGTGACTGCATTTTCTTTCAACTGAGTGAAAATATATAGAGAAAGAAATACTGTTTGGCACCAGCAGGTAGTGCAGGATATGTAAAATGTAAAGTGAAAGTGTAAGTGAGAAATGCTTAAATTAAACAGCTGGAGGTATGTTGTAGATACAGTGTATACATCATGTACTACATCTGTAATCTGAGGTAAAATCAAGTGTAAGATTTGATACGGTTGTTGTTTCTTTGAGAGAATTTGACATGGTCTCAGATTAGATCAGATCAGAGGACTCAATTTGGAACCATGGAAATTCCTCTTATGTTGTCAGGAAAAATCGGATACATGACGTCAGACACAAAAACCTCCTGTTTAGTAACCCTCAACCACACAGGAAAAAAGTGGTGTGGCATGGTCTCAGGTTAAAGTAAAAGGGGGGATTTATTTTTAAAGTTTCATATGATATTTTTTAGACAGAGCAATCTAAATTAGAACAAACTGAGGTCTATGACAAACCTCCAGAATTTGGAAATGGAAACAGGTTGATGTACAGTGCTCAGCATAAATGAGTACATCCCTTCAGAGTTGTTAGAAAACCTTTGGTTTCCTTTCAAAATCAACAATTCTAATGTCAAACTATACATCAAAATACCCTCTCAAATGTAGGCCATTGATTGCAAACAAGATTTTTTACATTGCATACCAAAAAGGTATTTTTTCAGTTTAAAATCAGGATGCTAAAATGAGTACACCCCAATCAAAGTTCTGGGAGCAAAGCTAAATTTTTGTGACCATATCGCCCTTATTTTCATCCAATGGTAAATAAAATGTTATGTTAAACTCAGCTTTGTCAAAACTTTGGAAATTGTACTTTTGCTCTTCTACTGGACGTACTGACTTATGCTGGGCACTGTATATCTTTATTCTGCTTAATTTTTTAAATTAAAACACATGTAAATGCTCAGAATCCAATGCCAGCATTCACAATATGACTTCCTTGTTGAGCATTGACAACAGCCCCCCAAAAAATAAAACAATAGGTTTGAGAAAAATGGAGAGTGTCATTTTAATGATAGCAATTCATTAGCGTTTCCTCCACTACAGCCATAATTGAACACAAAGGAATTAATGACTTGAAGGCCTCATTACAGTAAGTGGTGTGATCAAAGAGCCTGCAGTTTTCCTCTCCGTCTCAAGAGGGCATATGATCCCAGGCAGGCTGATAAGGAGGCAGGGAGGTAAATGCCGACAGAGGGGGATTTACACTTGCATGACTTTCATGATAGCATTCCTCAAAGGACGACATCTGTCAAGTCAATTCATTCAGCCTGATGCAAACAAATCAGACAAGAGAATCGAATTCAAAAGACTGGATAACTGTAACTCTGCTCCTGCATCTTGACATTTAGTTGACAGGGATCATCAGAGGGAGAAGTTCCACGAGAGATTCTCAAGTTTTCCTGTTTTCTCTGTCAAGTTAATCAATTTGGGGAAGGGTTTTAAAAGGTAACTAAGATAATCTCAGGTTTCTAGGATGGTTCACATGGAGAATCAGATGTGAAGTTTTTTTTCCAGTCAAAGAGATAACAGAGTCTTGAACTGGTACTGTCTCACTCTGTTTCTTTTTAAAGGCTGAATGCCACTGCTATATTTGTACCAGAGACATATTTTAGTTCAGAGCGACTGGCAGGCATCCATGATGGTTTTTAGACCAAAACTGGTCAGCATTGTTTCGTCCTCTGTGGTCACAGTGGAAGAGTGAGTTTCAGCAAAAAAATAACCTTACAGTGCGGATGAAATTATGGGTGGTATGGGTGTGAAGCACGTAAACCCACAGAAACAACAAATGCATGAAGTGACATGTAAGCTGATATTCTACCTGTCCTTTCTGTCTGTCTCCAGATGTGTGCACTGCAGCAGAAAATGATGCGTCCCTGTGTGTAGGACTGGAGAATGCTCACTCGCACTGCACACGCAGGCCTGTTCAGCACAGCAAGGTAGGAAATGGAAGTGTGTGTCTGTGCGATACAGAGGAAGTTTATCTATTGTTTCTTGCGTTACACTTCTACCGACAGCGTTCTTCTTTCCTTCCTTTTGTGTGCGTGTTCGTGCCCACTCACTGTGGCAGCTGTGAGGCTGTCACAAACTAGACTGGCACCAATCCTTTGCATTACCATAATTAGGATACTCCATCATAGCCACGGGTGTAAACACAGCTTATTACTGTCATGCAGACTGAGAGATGAGGGTGTGTCACACTCCCACCGCATCCTACACAAACTCACACACATTCACATGAGTACATGCTGGCCCTGGGGCAAAGCCAAATCTCTCAGGAAAAAAAAAAAAAAAGGATTTCTTAGATGCTCCTGTCATCTTCAACTTACTGTCAGATCAGTTTTTTACATGTATGGCTTTAGATATGTTCCTGTTCGGGTGACATTTTCTTGCTTTTGACACTGCTGGTGTTTGTTTGTCCTGGCTCTGGTTCAAAAACACAAACTGTACCCTGCGATTGTTAAAACCCTTAATTTCCTCTCAAATCAGTTGTAAAATAAAAAGCCCCTCTATAAATATGCCAAATGCTCGTCCCTGAGGATTTATGGCAGATTGCATGCCTATTTCTGTCCTTTCTGTTGTTGAATATCCGGTCCGGTTTTTGATATGTAAACCAACTTTTATTGAAGTCATTAAACTGAGCGTGAGCAGATCCCGTTGGGAGTTATGCCTCAGCGCCGTAGTAATGTAATAGGAGAGTGTGTACGCTTGTGTTTATTGGGAGCGGTAATGAGTGTGTGTGGTCATCACAGAAAGCTGTGTGTTAATGATGTGGACATGGCTAGGTGCCTGAGAGGGGATGCGTGTGCGTCAATGCGTGTTCACCTTCTCTTGCCTGGCTCAGCTTATATTTTGTCCTTTGGAGATTGGAGTCTGCAGACGTTGTCAGCAAAGTGAGTGCATGTTTGGCACCAACCTCCTCATTATGTAATAAATGAAAAAGGAGGGGATAGGCAGTCATGTTTAGCTCGTTCCATTAATGATTCATTGATACTAAATCCAGGCCAAATATCCAGAAAGCATTGCTAATTGCTGTGGCTGCTATGACTTCAATCTAATTGCCTGTGTCAGAAGATGCCGTGCAGTGTCTGACCCCAGGTCAGCCAGGAGGTGGATTCGAGAGGACAACCGGCCTTCTTCTACTCTCTCTTTTCTGGCTCTATTCATCTCTCTTTTTGTTTGCCCGGCGACGTGAGTCAGTCCCCTGCGCTGAGATCTGCACTGCACCACTGCTGCTGATGCTCAGCTTTCAGCCGATTGTCATTTACAGAGGAATGAATGGGAGATAGGTGTGTGTGTATGTGTGTGTAAGGGAGGGAGCAAGGGAAGGTTTATGAATGTGTGTGCTTATGTCACTGCATACATGCACGTTTTGAGCCACAAAAGGGAGAAAAAAATCTGTCAGCCTCCACCGAGGAGAGTCAACCACTGTGAAAGCGATTAAAAAAACACAGGGAGAGATATTGGGGCTGGTAAATCAGATTTTTGCTGTCACGTAGAGCAGAATTTAATCACTGCAGGGCCATCAGTTTGTTCTCTGGGGCGGGGAGAGAGAAATATCGAGTCACCGGGTAGAAAATCAGCCATGTATCAGCATATAGGTGCACACATGCGCGCACACACAGCATAGTGAAAGTCAATGGAGATGGATGGAAGGGAGGCACTAATTTCAAGCTTCTTGTCGCACCCTGTAATCGGCTTCCTCACTACACGGAATACCTTTGATTAATTGGTCCGTTGCATTCCAATTTATGCTTATTACGCTGGAGAGATATGCATACGTGTGTGTCTGTGTGTGTGTGTGTTTGAGGTGAAGCGCTTGCTAGGCTCAGTAAACACAGTTTACCATAGAGGGTTGATTGTGCCTTTGAGATACCTTATGATACTTTGGTGCACTGTTGAAATTAGTTTAACACAATGTTGTGGTAAAATTATAAGCTTAACCAATCAATTATAGAGTCGGTTCAGGATAACCCCCATGAGTGAATTGGAATTGATTTGACATGCACTGCTTTTGTAAAGTAATTCATTCATAAGCGTTCATATAACCGAATAGAACAGCTTCTTCTCATTTGCTTATGCGTCACTTAATCTCCACTAGATCAGCCACTGAGGAGAGGCATGATAGGGATTTGTTGGCAGGCAGGTCATCATCACATTCTCACGCATACATGTGAACACACAAACCCATAGTGTACAGGCAGGAGACAGATGGAAGGACGTGGGAAGTAATCTGGCATGAGCTGGTGCCACCACATGGAGCCAGTCCACTGTTGGAAACACACACACACACACACACACACACACACACACACACACACACACACACACACACACACACACACACACACACACACACACACACACACACACACACACATATATATCCATGTCCAATAAACCCAGTATCTTTGGGACCATTTGATTATATAATAAGCCAGTGACTGGAACATTCAGGAAATTAAAAGTCAGATTTAACATCGATAGAAGGCGTTAGATACGACCGATTATGAGGGCCACATTAGGGGAAAAAAAATTGAGACTTTGAAATTAAAGTCGTTAACTTACAGGAATTTAGTGATTACTAACGAGAATAAAGTCATAATAAAATTATTAGTCACGAGAATAAATTCAGAATAAAATCATTACTTACGAGAATAAAGACATAATAAATTTATTACTTACAAAAATAAGGTCATAAAAAAATCATCCTAATGAGAATATAGTCGTAATAAAATCATTACTTACAAGGATAAAGTTGTGATGAAATCATTACTCACGAGAATAAAGTCCGAATAAAGTCCTTGTCTGCTAACCTGTTGTTTAAGATGATAGTTGTTAAAATGAGGGCCATGGAGCACTTTGTAAAAATATACTTTAATATATGTTTCTCAAACAAGGAGATACTTAATCTTTTGGCACATCAGCACCACATTATCATAAATATCATAATGATTTTACTACAACTTTTTCTTGTTGGTAATGACTTTATTCTCATTAATTAATTACTTGAATCTCAAAGTCTTGATTTCTTTCTAAATGGGGCCCTAATACTCCGTCATAGTTTTATGTGGCACCCCTATCATAAGAAATTCTTCAAATGAAGCTGAAACAGTTTAATAATTTACTGATGAGGTGATTCACAGAATGTTTTCCACTTAACCACAAAATGTCAACATTTTTCTGGTTTCAAGTAAAGTATTGATTGTAATAATCTGTAGTTGAGTACTTTAACCTAGTTAATTTGTGAAAAATGAATCAGCCTCAGTTTTATGTACTTTTTGAAAAGTTTCAGCTCCACAGCAGCACAGCTGTTCAATGAGCTCATGTCTGCCAGCGGACTTTTAAATTCAATTACTTTGTTAAAAATTATGAGACCCCTTTATCGCAGGAAATATATTTTACCTATTGTAAAATAGCCAGTCATGCATTGCATCAAACGAAAGGTTAAACATCCATCAAACCCATTAAGCCTCTTTCCTTTTGTCCAGGCCAGACATTTCACTAAGAGCATTTAAGTGGACTTATGAAGAGAGCAATGAGTGGAGTCATCCTCTGTCTGGCTGTCAGTACAGAGAGATTTGGCTTGAATTACTTGATTTTAAGTAGCAATGTTATTAGGCTTCTTCCCTGAATTAAACGAAAGCTTATGGCCTACATTAGTAGACTCATTTGTGCTCTTTCTCTTACCTCTTCCTCTTTTCCCCTAACCTAAATCTTCCTGTTTTTACTTGTCTCAGTGGACAGGAGGAGTCTGAGAGGTGTTAAAACATTTCTTTTAAAACTGTGCGACTAACAGAAAGTTGAATTATTCAGTTTCAATTCTCCTCTCTAATCACGGTGCCCTAGACATCAAAAAGATATGGAAGATGCCTGCGGATATTAGCTTCTGTCATCTTCTTCAAACATGATCCCGGCTTCCTTGGAGCTACAACCATCTCCTTCCCAAACTTTAGAGAATCTTCTTCCCCAGACTGTTTTGTGTGTGTTTGCGAGACGGGGGTTTTTGGGGGGTAATTTAAGGAGGTGTGTAAATGTGTGTGTGTGTGTTATGACTAAGCTCATCAGCAGCCATCTGGCCACAAGCAGACTAATAATCTGAGCTTACTGCTGTCAGCTCAGTCAATGCTGGTTTGCTCTTGTCAGTTCACTCCACTGTTAATAAGTTGAGTAAGACAGAGCTGTGGATAAAAAACTAAAAAGGAACTAACTTCAGAGAGACCAACAGAGACCTGGATGTACCATGACTCGGATCTGACTGGAGTGACCGCAGCAGGGGTGCCTTGTGCAGCCATGGCAGTTGCCATACCAATTATAGCCCCGGTGATGACAGAGGAGGCTCCTCGGCCGTGCCTCTGCCTCACCACCCTAATTGAGCTGTTTCTGCGGAGCCAGTCACCCGTCCAGGCCCTGTGCTCCCTCATCACCATGTGCTGGTTCTGGCCTTCAGGCTGCCAGGCTGAAGAGAAAGACCTATTCCTGTGCTCTGTGCTGCTGAGTTTGGGACGGCTCCTTAAAGACAAGCTGGCCTGCTTGGCTCAGGACATTGCTGCTTGTCTGTCCTGCCAGAGAGGCATCAAAGGGGACAAACAGCCGGTAAACAGTGGGTTTATTTCCTCCTTTTATGTGGAAGCTGGTAACTGTAGAAGCTCATACTATGACTCCTTACACTTAGAGCAGCAAACTTTCACACAACACCCACAACCTCCTGTGTGTATCTGATAAAAATATCTCGACATATGTAAGTCTGGACTAGTTTTACAGTCGGCGAATTCGTAATTCTCTCATTTGCATCATATTTGCATTCTAACCTTAATTCTAAAGAGCTAATTAGTTACAGCATGCATTGACAGTGTCATGTGCAGTGTATATGAATTATTCTCTACATTTTTATTCATGCTGGAGGGGCAGCTCTAGGGATGCTAGAGTGGTCCACCAGTTTGTTGTAGACTAAAAGATCTCGGGAAATATGTGATGAATTGCAGTAAAATTTGCTACATCTATAGACTTTATTTGGGTTCAAGACCAAATACCAGCTAAATTAATGATCAGCTGTGAAGTGTAAAGAGTGGATCATGAAATCATAAAACAAAGATTTTAATCAAAGTGAAGCTTATTTGAAAACATCAACATTTTAACTTGGTCATTGCTCACTGATTCATTTTTAGAGACGGTCAAGATTACTACTAAGGTCTTAACCTGCTTTTTTTAGGGAAACACATTGTTCATATGACAATATCAATGTAACTAGATAATAGCTTCAAGTAATTTCAAGTAGTTTTGTCTATTTAAGTGTTTTCTTAACATTTAAAAGATGTGTGCGTGGATTGGTAGAGGTATTAGTTTTGGCCAAAATGAGTTTGAAAACGTTAGCTGATCGGCTATCCTACTTTTTCGTTATCTGTACCTCTTTGATGTGCTTCTCCTTATCTTGCTTTCTACCTGTGTTTTCAAGACAGCTTACTCTGCTATCTCCATCCTGATTGTCTTTGAATGTAACCGTACTACAGTAAGATTTATTGCGTAGGTTGATGGGAGCAGGTCAAAAGGTCATGGTGTTACTTGTTACTATGTCTCCTCTCCCTTTATTGCTCTGAGGTTATCTCAGCAGTATTTGATAGGCCTCTTTTAAACCTAATTGTTTTGCTCAGGCCTGCAGAATCTTTATGGGCGTGTATTCCTCTTCAAACGGTCACCTTGTGGGTCCAGCGGGTCTGTTATCTGATCGTATGATGTGATGTCGGGCAGTTACCACATTGATAGCTAAAATAATCTGCGCTCAGATCGAGCGTTTCTAGGTCAGGGAAGGTAGAGGCGAGAGCACAGATTGCCATTTTTTTCATGAAGCCGAGTTAAATGCTGGCAACAGGCACCTCCATTTAACCTCACATTTAGTTTGAGGCATTTTGGTGGAGTGAGAATAGCATATAGTAGTTGCATTACTTTGCCTTTGTACTTGCAGTCATGGAGTGGAGTGGATTTGAATAGCCTAAGGGACTCAGTAGAATGGGTGCTTTAATCTGAAGCCTGGCGTCATTATTAAAACACACTCTTCCCCCAAAGTCCTCTGAGACTTGAAGGAATAATATTTGTTTAGGCTGAAGAATAAAAAGCGTAAATGCGCTTGAGTGGAGCGCAACTGTCCCAGCCCTCCCTCTCTCCACCCCTCTATTTATTTGATTTATGAGCATGCGTCTACTTTTATTGAGCTTTGAAAAGAAGATGGCATCATGGCACTATGGCCCTCTAACATGGCAAATGAATCATTGGGCTGCCGACCAGCCACTGGGCCTTCTCTCTCTCTCTCTCTCTCTCTCTCTCTCTCTCCCTCTTGCTCTTCCCTCTTCTCTCCCTTAGTCCTATGACAGGGCTGTTTCCAGTGAGGGATAGTCAAAGCCAACCCCAGGGACATGCCTGTATTTCATCCTCTGTTCTTGATCCTCTCCCTCCCCACATTTGTTTGTTTATTTAGCTAAGATAGAGCCTCTCCGCCGGTAAGTCATGAGGCTTCTCCTTTGATTCGAACGGCGTTTCATCTGCAAAGCAGGCTGAGCACTGTTCATAATGACTCCGTTGGAGCGTTTAAAGGAGATGGAGACAGTGTTTAGTGTTTATCTTGCTACCTTCCAGTCAGACAGAGCTGGACTGTGTTTTTTTTGTTGTTGTTGCACCCAGCTCTTGGAAACAAACATTACGAGAATATGACACTAATGAGACTTAGTAATGTTTAGTTATTCCAAAGAGGATACATGTATGATTTCAGATAACACTGAGAAGAGGGTACAGAAGGCTTAGTTTACATTAGTTTAAATGCTTGCTAGATCGTGAAACATCATCTGAAACTTTCCACCCTGCCTGTTCTACAAAGTGATGACCCAGTTATATGGATATGTAAAAACCTTTGAGGCTGGAACTTTTCTTTGGTGGAGTCTTTACGTACCAACTTTCAACAACTATCCCATACTGAAGACCATTTTTGATAAGAAACTGATAAAAAAGGTATGCTTTATTGTAATCTGTCTGATCTATCGAGTTGAGATCAGGAAGAAAAAGGCTTGCTTGTAAGTCTGGCTGGATAACATCGTCTCAGAGACAGTTTGTTTGTTCAGCCCTAAATGACCTTGCTTGGGGTCATGCCTTTCTGCTTTGAGGATGAGGCAACAGCGGCCTTGATCAACATCCAGCTGGGGACTATTGCGCATGTTACAAACAGTCTCTTTCCCTTGATTTCACTATCACCTGCAGAAGTAAGTGGCAAAGATTGAGAAACATGCAAAGAAACTTTGGCCAAAGGCAAATATGTAAAGAATAAAGCCAAAGTGTCGCTTGCTGTTGCCATTATTTGTCTGCCCACAGACAAGGGCTGGGCGATAAACCGAAAATCTACTGATACCGAAATGTACGATAATAACCAACGCCATTTTGCCCATATTGGTATATTCAGTGTCAAAATAAATAAATAAATAAAAGTTGGTTTTGGATGTGTATAGGCAGGCTCATGTCCCTTTAAGACGCTCTCCTACGTCAGAGACGTGACTCCACGCCATCCAGTCCGTAACAAAGAGGGAAAGACAGGTGAGGAGATGGAGGATGGTTCAAAAGTTGTAGCAGCTGAAGTTAAAGAAGTTAATGTGGGAGGAGGTGAGCAGCTTGTGGAGTAGTTATCGTCCATTTATTGTTATTGAGGTGAACTGCTCAATATAATGTGATATTGATTTGAGGCTGTATCGCCCAGCCCTACCACAGACATAAAAAGCTCTTATATTTGGGAAAGACCGAAAAATAAGTCTTTTTTTTCTCTGGGCAGAGAATCTGTTTGTTCACTTTGCATGACAATCTCTGTTGCAATAAATGATACATGTCACGTTTTATTTTTGTGCAAGGCCATCGTTAACATTCCTGCCCTGTTACCCCCATTGGCTTGCAGCCTCCCGTTTTTGAGTCAGCCATTCCTCTCTGTGTGGAGGTAACAAGCCAGAACAGTCCACATTGTACTGCACCTATTGAGAGACTGGACACTGATACAGCCCACAGCCCCCTCCATTCAGCCCTCTGGAAATTACATGGAGGTTGCATGGAGCCAAAAGCGAGGGGAAGAACCAGAGGAAGAGGAAGAAGTTACATGGAAACAAATGGAAACAGGGAAGTGGAAGAGATGGCAGGATGTGAAAATGGAGCCGTGAGACGACCAGCACTGATGGAAAGAGACAAACACTGAGAAGGGATACAGTTGCAGGGAGAAGAATTCACTCTATTTGCACAAACCAAGTGGTCAGACCATACACCACTGATTGATATGCAAAACAAGCCTGCAGCAAGCACTTTTTTTTCTCTGCCTACGCTCACAGAATGGCAGGACGCAGGATCAATGACTCAATCCAAATCAAAGATCACTCCACCTCAGAGGCATAGGTGTACTCCAGACTGGGGCTCCTGAACTAGGGCCTGGCAGAAAATTGGCACTAACAAGAGAGCAGAAGAGGAGGAAGTCAGTGGAAGAGATTGAAAAGGGTTTGACGACCATTAGAGGAAGATCTGAAGGTGGACTGAGTTTTACCTCTGAGACCCTTAAGACTCTAAGCCAGCTTTTAGATCGGTTGCTGCTTTTTCTGTTTTGAGATTGTTGTTAAACTGAATGCCATTTTTGGGGCCATCATGCCAACATCGAGGGGAGGCCGACTGCGCAGGAAGGGCTGCTCTCTTGCCCGAAGGACCCAACGACAGGCGACAGCAGCGTGGAGGCTCCTCTACAGATTGCTGTTCATGGTGAGCACAGGACTGGGAAAACACGTGGATATTTATAGATGTTTATGCTGTAATGGTTCGGGCAGTTTTTGAAGGGGCCTCATCAGAGGAGATGATAGAAAGTCATCAGCACTGCAGTGTGATTTTAAGTACCACTTCTCCTGAGAGTGAGGGGGTATAAAGGCTTTTTAGATAAATATTAGTGCAGAGATCGTTTTAGTTTTCTCTGTAGGTTGTTGAATTTTCCTTTGGGTATAAATAAAATTCTTCTTATTTTAAATTTGAGTTTCAAAAGGAAATTTCTCTCTTTTTTTATGAGCTACCGGATGTTTTAGATGTTCTGCTTTGTCACCTTAAGGATCAACAAACATACAGCAATTGCACCAATGGCTGTAACTCCTAAATCTGTCAAAGGGAACCCAGCGGACAGGGACAAAATGTTTCAACAGCCTCTCGGTTCATTCTTTTTTTTTTTAACCTGTAGGTTGACACAGCCGTCTCTTATAAGTTGACTAAAGGGCATTTATGGGAAGCCGAGGTAGAAACATGATCCAGTGCTGTCAGCTGTCAGGGAGGGACCTCAATAGGCATTCACAGCAGCACTGTCACATCCACTCAGTTTCCCCCCTGCTCTTGGGCTTTTTTCTCCGCTTCTGCTGGCTCCTGTCCTCTGCTCTTAATTGGTTATTTGGGCTAGCTGTCAGGCTGTGTTGCTGGGTTTGTTGTCAGGCAATTGCAATTCCTGAGTCATGATGGTGTAGCCCTCCTTCTCCTCCTCCTCCACCTGATTTTCTTCTCTTTTTTTCATACCCACCTCTTGTCACGCTCCAATGCAGGTGTCTGCCATTAAGTCTTGATGAAATCTCACTTTGTAAAAATCGGTGTTCAGAGTAAAAGTGGGTTCCTATGTGTGTGTGATCCCTGGCGTCCAATCAAGCAACTCTATGGCATCTTTCTATTTGTGGAAGACGACACACAAGCCTATATCCCTGTCAGTGCGTGGGTGTGATGAGAATTAACTCGGTGCTTGAGAAGCGGTGTGGTACTTTGCATACTCACGCACACACAAACATCTGTCTGGGAATCCCGCAGCTTCCTTCCTTTTTCTCTGGATGCCTGCAGCTAAAATAAATGGCAGATATGACTGTTATCAGTCTCCACAAGGCTGCTCTCCCCTGTCTGGAGCGACCAACCAGGCTATTTGATAAATACGTCGCCCTGATATCCTCCAAAATTTCTCGAGGCAGGCTCCCCATGTCTGCCTACCCTCAGCAACACGGAGCTTTCCCAGAGTGTGAAAGTAACGCCGACTGGTGCGGTGTGTGACGGCATCAATTGTGTCTGAAGAGAATTTTGTGATCTTCAGTGGAAAATCTCAGATGTTTTGAGGCTCTTGGTTTTTTTATGAATTCTTTTCAGCTGTGCAGAAGTGTGAATATGCTACATGAATATTGACGGACACATCTTTCGAGTGAATGTTTGGAAAAAAAAAAAAAACCTTGGCCGGATGTTCTTAAGTGCTCCAGAGAGAGCATTTTTTCTACTTATGTGCCAGTGTTCATTTGCAAATGTCAGTAAACACAGTAAGCTAAACTTAAAGATGTTTAACGTTTTATTTAGTTATTCAGACAAAAAATAGGATTAAAAATCTCTTTCCTAAGAATGTCCTCTCCAAGATAACCAGCAGAACCACACATTTCTGTAATAAAATAAGATCTAGTATCAATTTAAACTTCTAACCAGATCTTTAAAATGTGATGTAAAAGAAAGAGATTCACCCAGACAAATGTCAAGATCTCTGTACTTGGGGACCAATCTGTGTGTCCTGAGAAGTAAAGATTGAACGCAGGGTTGAAGACTTGGATTTTGCATTTCAAAAAAGCATGACTTTTGTTTTATCTGCATTTAAATAAAGTTTTAAATCATAAAAAGCTTTGTTAAACATTTCAAAGTAAGCTAGGTCTTGAGTAGATGCCGAGTAGCGCATCACAGTGCTGTCTGCATAAGAATAAAAGTTTGAATTAGACAAAATTAATTCATATAATTTATATAAAGAAAAAAAGCAGTGATCCCAACGCTGACCCTTGGGGAACTCCTTTTAATACTGCAAGAGAGCTGGAGGTGCAGACTTTTGTCTGCTCACTCTGAGCCTGTTGGACAGGTAATTATTAAACAAACTGACTGCTTGTTGAGATAACGCACTCTAACCAATCCTTGTAGGGGTCTTGCACGGTCCATGGGCTTAAATTATGAAGAAAGGTCAATAAATGCTGTAATAGTACTATGCTGTTTCCCAAAACCAGACTTGAAGCCAGATAAAAGTCAGTAAAAATTCCCTTCTTTCGATGACTGACAAAGGATTATAATGTCTTGACCAGGACAGACACCTTTAAGATGGGCCTATAGTTAATTAAAACTGGGTTCACCCTCTTAGTTAAATCAGAGGCTGATTTTCAAAGATGACAGAAAACATTTGTGAGGAAATAAAGATTAAAAATATGTGCGAGAGATGGGGAACAGAAATCTGCTGCTAGCCTTAAAAAGTAGGGCTTCAGTTCATCGGGACCTGTGGGATTGCTGAAGGGCTTTGTGTACTTCTGGAGATGCAACTGGAGTGAAATTAAAATTTAAAAAACCCCAAAGATGATGCTTAGCACATTAGCGCTGTAGTAATGGGTATGTAATAATGTTAATGTTAGCTTTTAACTGCCTGACTACAATATATAGCAGCTGTTAGCCTGGCTGTGTAGTTATTTTTGATTGTTAATTGAGCTCAAAGTTCAATGTCAACCCAGTTAGTGTGTTTTACATCCACAGGTATCCCCCTACACAATAAATCTGTGTGTGTGTGTCTCCAGCTCTTCAACGTCAGTCCCCTCCACCAGTGCAGAGGGAGACATTAAGTCCCTTTATAATTATCATCCCACATTCAAAGAGCTGCAAAGTGGAGCGCCGCTGTGGGCGGTGGATCACTTGAAAGAGGCTTAGCCCAGACGTACATAGAGGACACAGAGAGAAAGATTCCCCTTCTGTCTCTCTCCGTCTTCTCCCAGCCTGTCATTCACACACAGTCCATATATTGTAGCATTGGCGGGGCCGTCTCTGGAGTGACCATGCTATAATGAGCTAGCTGATGAGTTGCAGGCTTATTAATGGAAGCCTTGATTGTCTCTGGCCTCCCTGGATGTGGATGGGAGGGGGGGTTATGGGTGGTAACTCATAGTTTCAGAGCAGAATGACTCAGACAGGCTTTCACACACACTGCTTGGAGTGTGCAGTGTTAGAATGATGTGTGTATCGATCCATATGTGTAACTGTTCAGTTATGGGAGTTACCTGCTCTAGACTGCTTGCTTGTGTGCACAGAAATGCACACGGACAAACACAGTGGAGTGCTGAACAACTGTTTTGCTTGGCGTGGCATGGCAGCCTTCCCACCATGCTGTGTTGCTGCGCAGCAGTCTGGAACCTGCTATTACTTCTCACTTATCAGCCTGTACTGATTCTAGTGACCGACCTCAGATTATAATGCTACAGCATGCCATTTACTTGAAATAAGGAGGGCTAGTCATCGGGGGACTATTTTTAGCATAGACATTGCACCATAATTGATTGCTTGGGCACATTCTAGTAAAGTAGGCCTGGCGCAGTTGATGAAGTGTTGTACTAGTCGGATAACTTGTCATTTGAGAGGTTTAGACGGTCTTTGATTAAGAGTACATACATTTACCATTGTGCCTGAAAAGCATATACTCTCAGGCAGCCATGGTGTTATAAAGACAGGAGTTTTCTCTCTCTCTCTCAGGGGATAGAAAAGAGAGAGGCTGGTAAATGCTCTTTTTCTTCCTCAGCTGCTCACAGACTACAAAATGTTACCTGCCACAGGCAAAACTCTGCAGTGTTGTGCCTGCCACTGATGTTAATTTTCTCACCTCAGGCAATACAGTCCAATGTAAAGCAATGCAGATGATGTGTTCCAGTTGAACACTTCTGTAAATGATGCGATGCTGAGTTCTCCGTGGGGCTACAACTATAATAGCGATACAAAGCAGTGTGGAAGGAAATGTACTTTATCCTGAATGAACAGATAGTTACATAATGAGACTTCTCACTCCTCCCTTAGTGCTTCTAATACAAGCTAATACGTGACCTCTCGGGGTATTCTGACATGTCAAATTTTCTGGAATTGGTGTGACAAAAAGCTGCAGCTGTCCAGAATGGATTAAGAAGAATAATGAACATGTTATAATGCTATCAGTTTGGATAATAAATTAGTCCTTTGGATGCACCGTACAGTCTTTGATGCAAAGCCAATTAGCATAGAGTGCATAGCGAAAACTCTATAATGCCAGTCGAAAACCCAGCGGAATCACTGGCCATGCACAGAGTAGAATTACATACATCATTATTTTCTACAGCGTTAGAGCTGAAATCATTAGTGGTGGATGGTGAAATTACCGAGGTGAAAGAGAATTTGTATGCAAGGATATGTGTCTGGGCATCTACTTTTCTGTGTCAGTGTGTGTGGGGGGAAAGTTTCTCATCTGATACTAATTTAATTTAGCCGGCTGTCGCAATCCTCGCAATCCCTCACCCAAACCACCCCCCTTCCTCTCTGTCATTCTCCACAGAGTGTGGACACAGTGTGCACCCTCTACCAGTCTTTCCAAGAAGGACCAGGCTCAGGCCCAGGAGGTTTGATGGATGACTCTAAGGATCGTCCAGTGAGGCAAGGAGGTGGCCCCACAGGAGAGGCCACTCTACTCAAACCCTGCCCCAAGCATATGACTGCCACTGAGAGGTTACGCAAGGTCATCCAGGAGCTGGTGGACACAGAGAAGTCATATGTGAAAGTAAGACCACGAAGCCTCTGCCGTATGAGGTTTTTTTTTCTTAAAATAATCTCACATGAATATTTGATCAAACCTGTCCTCATATTTCCCCACGATTATGGAGCTGGTTCATTTCTTCACTTTTTACATCAAGTTATAAATTAATACACTTTTCTCTTTTTAAAAGAGGAAAATCACTTAAAAGATCATTTTGAAAGTAACTCTAGCTGACGACTCTGCATTATATTCTAGAGTAATGAGAACTATCACTGACAGAAGCTTAGGCCTACATCCAAATAATAAAAACAAAATCTTGTTAGATGATAAAATCCATTCCCTTCTCATGTCTGCGGAGTTAATATGTAGTTAGAAGGCTCAGACTCTCAGGAAGGTTTTATGCTGCGTTCCAATTACCTCAGAAGTCGGATGTCGGAACTAGGAATGACGTTACACCCGAGTTGACGACGTTCCAGTTAACAAGTCGGAAAACCAAGATGGACGCCTACTGTTACCCGTTGTTAGCTGTTGTTTACAAATGTCAGCTGTCGTTAGCCATTGTCAGTGCCAGCTGTTGTTAGCGGCCGTCAGCTGTTGTTACTTGTTAGTTATACCAGTTGTAAACAACACAGATTTTACTCTCACAAACACCACACAACATATACCACTTATTTGATTTCACAAAACTAAAACAGAAGTGCTAATAAATAATACATTAAAAGAGCTTTCACTGTTACTCTTTACTGTTGCTGCACTGCGCCGCCATCTTGGATTATGACATTGTCGTCAAGTCGGGGTTGTTGAGGATCGTCCGACTTTCTGAGTAGGAAATCCGTCCTCAGGGGGGCTCGGAAATTCCTACTTCCAGGTACAATTGGAACGCAGCATTACTAGAGACTGAATAGGGACAGGGCCGGCCTGCTTTGTCTGGGGTAACTACATCAAAAGCTCTTGAAAGACAAATATCAAGTTGGATAGTTTGAAACGTTTTTAATGCAAGGTTTCAAAGACAAAGTACTAAGTTCAGAAACAGGAAATACATTTTTTAAGCTGAAAAAAGGCCTTGCAAATAGAGTATTCCTCAATCGTTGCTCATATACCTTTGTTTTTGTTTTACAAAGAAAGAAAGAACCAGATATAAAATGTTATTGAGTATGTCTTCAAGGCGCAGATAGATATTTTCTTTGTCTTCAAAAAACTCAAGGCTGTCTGTTTTCTCTTATTTTCAGTCTAAATGAAAAGTAAACAGGCTGCTGGTGTCTGTTTGATATTAGGTATGCAGAAGGTAGATACATGGGTCTTTTTCAACTCTCAGCAAATAAGCATGTTGCTGTGTTATTTTTACCCAAAGTGTTGAATTCTGAGGGAATATGGGACATTAAGAAAAGCAATTCATGAAGAAGTTCCTGAAGTCACAGTCAGAGCTCCTCCTTCCCTCCCCCACCTCTTCCTCCTGTCTAGCCTTATTTATCTCCCTCCCACCCAATCATTTTGCCACCCTCGTGTTTTCCGATACGACCTTTTCCTCCCTGGCGCACATTAGGGAGACGCATTCATGATTATCTTGACTCCGTAACACTTGTCATTCCTGGCATTTCTCCCTTTCTTCTTCATCTCCCCATTTTTCATTAAGTCCCCTCACCCATGCGCCCCTCTCCTTCATACGGCCGTAAATTTGTAATTGAGGAAGGAGATTGTCTTCCCACAATGCCTTGATGCAGGCCCGCTCGCCTGTATCCATGCACCACTGGCGACTCAGGCAGCTTGGGGAGGGAAGAAGGAGGAGGAAGAAGCTCATAAATCAACCTAATGAGAATATCCCTACTGATACTGAGACAAGCTACAGCCACATTAAAGTAGTGAGAAGGGGGAGGGAGGGAAGATAGAGGGAAAGATGGAGGGACTGTGGGAGGGAGACGATGGGAGATAATAAAAGGTGAAATAAGCAGTAATCTGATGATGAAAGCACTTTTAAAAGACAGACAGATTGGGAGAGGAGGTTTACTTTTGCTCTTTGATTCACTGTCACTGACTAATCTGGATTTTATGCTTTCAGGACTTGACCTGTTTGTTTGAGATCTACCTAAAACCCCTGCAGAATGAGACCTTCCTCACACTGGATGAGGTAGGTAAAATGTGTGTTATGACACGGCTCTTTGTAATGTGTGCTGCAAACCTGATGAGATGCATAGTTTTCCAGAGGCGTGTCCTGGAAGGTGTGGTAGTCGTATGAAACATTGAATTCATGGAGTGTTCATCACCCAGAGGTGAAGTGGATGAACAGTGCTCGACCATATCTCCCTCATTACTACAGTGACTAGCTGGAGGACAAATTAGCATTCCCCCACACTGACCTTCTAGTGTCCCACAGGGATACACCGATAGAAGCTGGCTGAAGAGTAAACCCACCCCTTTAGCATTCACTGAAAATCCACACACACACCAGTGAAGCTAATTGTTGATTTGTCCGCACCATCAAGAAAACAGTTTTCCTTCATTTAGAAACGCTTCAGCTAGATGTCATGATGTATTTCTGCGACGCCATAGAACGGAAGCTAGAGCGTGCTTATTACCTCAGGACTTGCAGTTTCCAGTCCTGTGTGCAGCTCTAAGCAAGGCGTGACCTCGAACACAGGACGTCTCTCCCAAGATACACGAGTCGATAGACCACTGAGCACTGGGGCAAATTAAAAGACCATTAAGGGACAGCGAGACATGTCCAGACACAAAGTGGACAAGGGCATGTAAGCCCCCAAACAGCTTTTAATGAAGGCACTTTCCCCGTCTGTGTGTTGGACAGCAGAGGTTTGTATCTGCTGTGTTGGTTGCATTCCCTTGTGCCTTTGTCTGAGATGAAGCCATCAGAGTGGAGGCTTTAAAACACTCCTGGGCGTCTGCCTGACTGACTGTTATGAATTACAAGCTACCTTGGCTCTTCTTTATGTGTAGTAACCTCATATTGCTTTATTTTTCCCTCCATCTGGACCTGTTACTGCTATTCCAGCTATCCACTCTTAAACACACCCTTTGTGATGTTCTGGAGTTAAACAAATGAAAAGAGGACCCAAATGCAGAACAAAAAAAAGGGTTTATTAAAATAATTAAATAAATAAGAAGCAACAAAAACTTTAATTTAAATTATAATGTCCAAATAAAAGAACCGAAAAATCCAAAATCCACCAAAAGGCACTGGGGGAAACAATCACAAAGAGACACTGGGGACACTGGTATGTGCACACCTTGACAAACACAATGAACCACAAAGAAACAGGGAAAGACAAGGACTTTATATACACACAGGGAAGCGAGGAACAAGAGGCAGGTGAGACACTGAGACTCAGGTGAAGACCATTACAGAGGAGGCAAAACTGAGGAAGTAAAACAAGACTAGAAACACAGAGAAACACAAAATAAAACAGGAAAACACTGGAAACTGATATAAAGAATAAAACACTCAGTACGTTTTCATGACACTCAAGAAAACCTAATTATTGCCTTACTCTGATTAAGACTGGACAACTCAAGTGCATATAAACACCTTAGTCCGACAATAATCGGAGTTTGAAAACTCTGATTGGAGTTGGAGAACTCCGATTAAGAAACCCGGATAATTGCAATTCAATTTTCTCTACCATGTAACCAGCATAGTCGGTGTATGGTTGGACAATGCATGTGCGTGTGCAAAACGCCCCCGTAACCCCAGGACAAAAACACCAGAGAAGAGGAATAGTGTGCATCTCATCTGCAGAAAAAGTAGCATGTACATCATGTACGACAAAAACAACGCTGTACGATGCTCCATCTTCTTACTCGAAATGTCCAGCAGCAGTTGTAGACACTTCTGACATCTTGCACTTGATGTTGTTGTTGACAGTTGTATGGGGTCGAACATAGCGCAGCTGAGCGCAGGACACGTCCACGTCAATAATTCGGTTTTCTCAGCTGCATGTATACGCACACAAGGAGAGAAGTCCGATTCGGCGAAAAAAGCGAATTATGAGCTTAGTACGATTAAGCTGTGCATGTAAACGCACTGACTAAGAACATGAGGGAAATGGGGTCAGACACAAACTGAAAACTCTCAAGACAGGACTACAAGGGGACAGAAACAATAGGGAACAGAAACACTCGGGAAAATCACAAAGAAAATACACTCAAATAACAAAACCAGGGGAAAAGTTAATCAACAGAACATAACATGACACCCTTCCCATTTTTCCATACTGCTTCTCTTCCTACTACGCTTTGATGAATTAACATATACTCTGCTCTCCTCCTCCTCTTCCTCAGATGGAGAGTTTGTTTGGCAGCCTGCCAGAGATGTTAGACTTCCAGAGGGTATTTCTGCAGACCCTAGAAGAGAGGATCGCATCCTCACCTGATTTCAGCACCCTGGAGACCCCATCACAGTTCAAGGTGAGACACATACACAACAACATATTGATTAAATGTCCACAGTTTCATGAGCCTGAGTGTATAGAAAAAGCAGCTGTCTCAAATCAGAAGATTTCAGCAAGTCTGCCAAAGAGAAGAAAGGCGTTTTTGTGATGGTGAGGTTTATAAATATTTGAGGTGATGCAACAGGAGCAAGACTGACTTATAGGCATGACTTGACAAGGTGTGGGGTCTATTGATCGAGGTTGCGCTTCACTGGTTGGATTGTGAGCTGCTGAAAGCTAGTGTACTCAAGAGGTTAGGCTCTAGGTTAGGGAATGTATGAATAGTCTCCCAGGAGGAGGAGGGGGTGAGAGTGGTTTGGTCACGACTTCCATGTTCACACTCTTATCCTTTCTCTCTCTCTCTGGATTCCTTGGGTTTGGTGTAGCATCACTCGCTCTCCATCTGTGTGTGACACAGTCCTTGTCTTTGTTTATTCCTCACACCCTCTCTGTTTACAGAAGCTGCTGTTTTCCCTCGGGGGTTCTTTCCTCTACTACGCCGACCACTTCAAGCTCTACAGTGGCTTCTGCGCCAACCACATCAAGGTCCAGAAGGTCTTAGAGAGAGGTACGGCACACACCTGATCAAAAACATATATCAATACATATCTTCAAAACTGAGGTTGAGAGCAGGCATAGAATATCAATCCACACAAGTACAAATCCTGAGTCACAAGCTTTCTTGCACCAAGGTTGCATCAGTGATACCTCACAGCGACTCACTTCTGAGGGTTTGACCTTTCATTCGGAAGGAAATCAATTTCATACCAAAGGGAATGACCAAGAGGGAGATGGTGGCGAAAATGCAAAGAGAAATGCCTTTCCAGTTTTCTGAAAGCCTTGATTTTAGATAGATAGATAGATAGATAGATAGATAGATAGATAGATAGATAGATAGACAGACAGACAGACAGACAGACAGACAGACAGACAGATACATACATAAATACATAGATAGATAGACTTTATTGATCCCAAACTGGGAAATTCTTTCTCTCCAACATCACTTACAAAAAAAAGTGCAAACTATTAGCCCTATGTCACCATTTGTATCACATATGATACAAGAAAATACATGAGTTTTTCAGACCTCTACATCCTCACTGTGATTTTTTTTCACTGAAAGACCTAATGTATACAATCAGATACATGCAATGATCAGACAAACCACCAGGGTGCAGTTATTAATGCACCAGCAGGTCTTCACTTGGGATGTCCAATATAGCTGCTGTCAGTCAGAGACCCAAATGTGTTTTCTCAAAGATATTATTGCCAATTTTGAAAAAAGGATAACGTCAAAAAATAGTTACTGCATTGATGCAAAGTAAAACTACTTAATATTTCTTAACTTATTTTGTAGTAGAACCATGTTGAAAATGTGTGTATCAAATAAGATACAACAGGTATGTAAGGTAATTTTCAATGCAAATCTTCTATTCAAAAATATATATATACAGACTTGTATCTTTTTAAACACCTTTGTCAGAAGGTCCATTAAGGGGTCCAATTTCAAAATTTTAGAATTTCCTGACAATTATTTCATGGTTCAGGTTTTACAGGGTTAGAGTTAGAAGCATAAATCTCTGTGGTTCACTTTTGGGTGATAGTTTCTCAACATTCATCACTGTCACATGTTGTACGAGCACAACAAGTTAAAACAAATATGAAATCATTATTTCTCAGACTTTGGATAACCTTGTCCACAAGCAGCTGATATGTGACCATGACAGCCTGAGAGCTTTAATAATTCCTTGCGACTCCCTCAGCATGTGACAGAGTAGACAATTTTAAGTTGATTTATGCCTGCTAAGACGCCAGGCTTTCTGCCACTATTTGGGAGCGCTGCCCAGTACAGAGAGAAGTGTAAGGAGATTGGTTTCTTTGTAGACAAGGGTGGATTTGGGATGGGTAGATTGCCCCCTCCGTGCCTCTTAAATCTACCCCATTACCAAAATTGTGTGGGATATCCCTCGAAGTAAGCAGCAGGATGGATATTTAATAGGATTAGAGGGAGAAAAAACTCTGAAAAGTCTCTGATGGGTCAGAATCACCTGGAGGAAAATAAAATTACAAAAGCAAAGCTTGAGTTTTCTGCATTGTTGAATTTTTGGAAAGCCATAAAAATCATATTTGATGATGTATTATTCCACCACACTGCTATATTAAGATTCTCTGCAATAAGCTTTTGGGGATAACCTTTCCTTCACTTCTGTGACTGTTCCTGTAAACCAATATCAATCTGTAATTCAAAAAACACCATCCTGCCATAACTCTATTATTCTTAAATAGGTATATTCTTATGCACAAACTGAATACAAATTATGGATATTTTGACATTACTTTCCTTTTCAGACAGATCTAGGTACTGTCGGTCTGTGGGCAGAACTCGCTTTTTGCTAAATGGCTCAGAGTGTGTGGGTGAAGGGAAAAAGTGCCCGACTGAAAGTGCTCCTCTTGCAGGGTTCACACACACATCCTACTCTTTAAGTAAAGCTTTAAATGGTAGGGTGTACATTATTATAGCTGGTGCTCACAAACTATTATTTGAACAACATGCAGCTCAGTAATTGCATGATGCAGATAAATATTGTTAAGATTACCAGGGTAATAGTTGGCTCAGAATGATTCAGAACAAGCACTGCAGCCTGGTCACAACCAGCTCATCCAAGGACACACAGGAGAAATCTGCAGATATGTATAAACCCTTTAAATAATCATATACCCGTCTCTTCTCTGCCATCTTCATCATTACCTCCTCCCCTCACTGTCATGCTTAGGGCCCTGGGTTGCCTGAGTTTTGTTTATTTGTCGACTCGTTAATTGCCTGCCAATTACTCTGGGAGGTGTCGATGCTGCTGCCTGTCTGAGGCTGGGAGTGCTATAATTAATACTTTAATGGCCCCCCTCGGTAAGTGGCGCGGAAGCATACTGCTGGGAGAAATGTCATCACCTTTACAGAAGGCTTGTTCTTTGTTATACCTGCCGTTTTATGCCACGCTTTGGCTTCAGGGTCGACAAAGGGGTCCTGATTTGGCTGTTTTCACCCTATTTCTGCATCACCATACCACACGAAACCTTTGCTCTTGAAAATATCTTGTTTTCTATTTACTCCTTAAGCCTATTATTGATGTGCTCCATATAAAAGATCTATATCTACACTTAAATACTGTACTGGCAATGGTAGTTTGAGGAGAAGTCTACATCACCCCCTGCTGGAGACATCTTATTGCACCTGAATTCTGCACTGGAGGTTCATAAGAGATCCAGATGAGAGTTCAGTGAACACATTTCACACATTTGTACGCATTAGAGAACATTTAAGAAACAAACACATCAACTTGAGACAGTAAGCTGCTGAAGGGTTCGTATTAATTCAGTATGTGTGTATTTTATCAGCTAAGACGGATCAAGCCTTCAAGGAATTCCTGGATGCAAGGAACCCCACCAAGCAGCACTCATCCACCCTGGAGTCTTACCTGATTAAACCAGTGCAGAGGGTACTCAAGTACCCCCTGCTGCTCAGGGAGCTGGTCTCCCTCACAGACACTGACAGCGAGGAGCACTACCACCTCACAGGTAGGACTGAAAACAGCATCTACAGACCTACATCCACACCCACAAACACACAGGGGGGGAGTGTGCTAAAAATAAAAACCACGCTCCCTCTTGTCATTTCTGTCATGCTGTCATGAGTGACTACATAAAATAAAGGACACCTTGGCAAGGACTGACAGTTTTTCTGCATACACAGAATACACATCCTGAGCAAATCAAATCTGCTACAGTAATACAGAGCAACCTCATATACAGTCAAGAATTGATCTCTGTTAACACTTCCTCCTGTTCTCGTCCCTGCAGAGGCCCTCAAAGCCATGGAGAAGGTAGCCAGCCACATAAATGAGATGCAGAAGATTTACGAGGATTACGGCTCCGTGTTTGATCAGCTAGTCGCCGAGCAGAGCGGACATGAGAAAGAGGTAGATTATCATTTCAGAATCAGATTTCTCATCAGGCACTGAGAAGTGTTTAGAATAACCGTGGTGACAGCTGCACATGGAGTCTAAAGGTTACCTGCTATGACAGACAAATACTGGAGACATGTCACTTCCACTTTAAACTACTTCTGCCTGGTTAACTGTCTGTGCATCAGAGGGGATCTGTGCAGCTTATGTTGTTTACACTTCCTCTTGTGCACTACCCCCGGGGATTGAATGCATTTACAAATTGAAAAAAGATCGAGTTAGTAACCACGGCAATATCAATATTCAAAGTGAATGCCTAATAATGTTGTCTACTATCATGTGCGTGTTCGACATATTTATAAAGTCAGTAGATGAGAAATAACTCAAACTGTTAAATGCTGGCTTTAAAAGCTCTAGTTGCTTATGTCTGTGAAACTCCTTCGTCGACAGTAATTGCCATGAGTCTGGCTTGTCATTTATTCGCCTTGTGCTGCCTCCCTCTCATAAATCTTGTCTGGTGTGTGTCCTCCAGGTCACAGAGATCTCTATGGGAGAGTTTCTCATGCATTCTTCAACCATCTGGCTCAATCCGCATCCATCGCTCGGTCGCATGAGAAAAGACCCTGAAATGACCGTGTTTGGTGAGTCGCTGCCCCCTGCCACCATTGATTTTGGATTTTGTGAAAATGAGCCCCTGACATTTAACACCCCTACCCTGTCCTGTTTAATCTCAAAGCATTCAGGCACAGACAGGCCTTCAAAAAATGTGAATATTGAATCTTTTTTAACGCCCTACATTGATGTTTCAAGAGAAAATTCGTAATCGGTACATGCCGAGTGAATTGGGTTTACTGTACAGCCGGGAGGAACTGTGTCTGCAGCGGCACCAAACAGAGCTCAGTGAATTTCAATATCCGCCGCTGTAGCGCTGATATGTGCTTTAAGGGTTCAAGCTGGCATCTAAAACGCTTCTGTGGGGGTGCACTCCTTCAGTCGGCTTTCCCCAAGAGGCATTTGCAGTCAAAACTAAGACGCTGATGTACTCTCTCACCAGTGTTCAAGAAAGCGGTGATATTGGTCTACAGGGAAAACACCAAGCTGAAGAAAAAAATGGTGAGTATTTCGTCTGTTGCACTCATTTACACTCAAATGCCACAAACTCTGCCTGTGGGATTTCATATGTAACACTCTTTGTTATAACCAGACCAACCCGCGATCAGCACTTTCTCACGGAGATTCAGACCCCTTTAAATTCCGCTGGCTCATCCCACTCTCTGCGCTGCAGGTTAGACTGGGAAATACTGCAGGTAAGAGGCCGGCACACTTCCACATTATCCTCACTAAATCACTCACAAAGTACATCCACTAAATCTTTTTGTTCTTCCTCCCCTTTCAAATATCCCCACACACACTCCCCTAAGCTGATTCTCCTTGCCCACACAAACACCCACACCTCTTCTGGCATTTCTGTTCCACTTCTTCCCTCCTTATTGCCTCCTGAAACCATAAACCATATTTGGTCTGTGTGATTAAAAGCCTCTCCTTTATTTTCTGGCTCTCACAGGAACAGGCACAGAAAGCAGCTGCATCTGGGAGCTGGTTCACTCCAGGTCTGAGTTGGAAGGCAGACCAGAGACAGTCTTCCAGCTGTGTAGCAGGTCAGAGATTAAACTTTCAGGAGGAATCAGAAATGATTTATTATGGTGTGCATTTATGTATTTCATGGGTATAATTTCAATCCCCTCTGACATACAAGTAAACACACTCACCAGATTATTTCTCAAGGGATAATTCAAGATTCTTAGAAAATCTTTCATTTGAAGTTTATACCATCCTTTTTGAATCTAAAAAATAATATTAAATCATGTCTAATATTAGTTTTTTTTCAGTTTTTTAAGCAAGGTAGAGCTGAAAATGATGCTTAAGTAAATAAATAATGAAGCCTCTGATAATTCGTCCCGCAGGGCTCATTCCCACTTAATTATTGACGACACTTTGACATGAAGGGGGCATGAAATAAGACTCAAAACATTTTGTACACTTTCAGAGGAAGACATGATTTAAATTTGCGATCCATTTTTCATAAGGGTTTTAACAAGCTAAGTCTTCAGTTTTGACTCATCACACCTTAGCCCTGGTGTCACTCAGGTGTGCGTAAACCCAGTTATCTCTCCAAGGTGTCTCATTAGAATTTATTCCCTTGACCATGAGAATCAGGTAATTATTGTTTTTCCGCAGCGACTAGAAAAAAAAAAAATCACATGGTGCATCACTATTATTTTGGTGATGATAAGTTTGCACTCAGCAGAGACGTGGGCGAGATTTGAGTGCACAGCAATAACCAAAGTGTTAGAAAACGTAAAACACAAACAATGAGGCTGTTAAACAAACTGCTGACAGGTCAATAGTGTCAGACATCGTCTAAGCGGTGTTGTTTTACAAGATTATCATTGGCACAATGTTGGTAGTAATCTCATAGCCTTATTAGACTGTGCACATCACTATAGCTAATATAGGCCTGGCTAGCTCGAGCTACAAACATGACAGATGTTTGGATATTAAAGAGATATTCCGGCATAAAATTAAGTTTGGGTCAAACACACTGTAACACCGACTTAGACACCCCCTTGAGAGATGAATGTTGCCGACCGCTTGTCTCTCTAGTTATACCAACTTTAGTAATGACCGCAGGTAGCAATACACAACGGTCTATGTCTTCATTAACAAAACTCAACCAAAAAGCCACTCTATAGCCACAAATAATGCTCAGAACAGCACCTAACTTCATCAACAGTACATATAGGGTCCCAGCCATAGCACTAGCCACCAAACATCTTTTTAGCTTTGCCTGATTTCTTTAGCAAAGAGACTAAGCACAACTAAACCAATCTCCTCCAGCAGCCGCTTGTTTGTAGGGAGAGCTCGGACGAGTCCATCACCGACTGCAGCGGGGTGACGCAGCTCAAGGAAGAACAATTAGGATCATTACTTCATGGAAATGCAATCAGACCGAGATGCTAAGTCAGAAGAACTACTGCGTCTGCAGTGCTAAATGATATGATTATTACTTGAAGTTAGATGCTGCTCTGAGCATTATTTGTAGCTATAGAGTGGCGTTTTAATTGAGGTTTGTGTATTGCTATCATGCAGTCATTTCTAAAGTTGGTATAACTAGAGAAGCAAGTAGTCGGCAACATTCACCTCTCAAGGGGTTGTCTAACTCGGTGTTACAGTGTGTTTGACCCAAACTTAATTTTATGCCATAATATCCCTTTAATACTGGTAAATTATAATAACTCAAGTGTGTAAAAATTCTCACAGTTTTGGCCAGTTTCTGCTTTTTACAAGAAGTCTGTTTATCTAACTAACTGCATGTAATCCCAACTCAGTCACTGTGTTCTTTTTGGTGACACAACCGTAACAAGTCATGACCAAGTTCCACAATCAGGTGAACCACAATCAAAATGGTCCAGTATTGATCCTCCTTTTGCTAATAATACCCCCCCCCCCCCACCAACAGCCTTGTAGCTGATTCCAGTAATGAGATGAAAATGAGGCGAAAGCAGGAACCCTGGCTTAGAAACGCAACAACAGAACAGGGACTTCCAAAAATATCATTGACCCTCCATTAAATTTTGTCTTCGGTTCACAGTAAACAAACGAGATATCACGAGGAACAAACTTTAAAACCTAAGAAACTAATTGGTTCTGCCTCCCTAAAAACAAAAACACCAAAGAAGTTTCCAGCTTTTTTCCATTGCTGTTCACACAGGCTGATGTTGGCAGCATATTAAACAGACAAATGAGACTGTTGTCCATCTTTATCTTGTTTTCTCTCATATTTCCCACATAGGAAAATCTACCCATAGAAATAAAAATCCTTTGTAACAGTTGACATACAGTACAATGCACATTTCATTTTTTCACCATTCCTCAAGATAATTTTTAAAATTCTTTATTTCAACATTGTTAATTTTTTGTTTCTATATCATGGTCCATAAAGAAGCTGCTCAAGGTCAAAGTTTTCAGCCTGGTATGCCTTCTGTAGGCATTTATATGTTGTGTTTTAGCTCGGTAATATACAGGCTGTCTACAAAGGAGGAGTGATGAAACTGAAGCCTGTAACCAATTTGGTCATTCTCATAACTGCGTGAAATTGGGATCACTCCTAATGAATTTAATTTCCCTTTTCCACTGGGGACATGATGGAGCTCTCTCACCGGCAGCTTCTCTATATTTAGCCTCTGAATCAAGTTTACCTTACACAGTGCTCATGTTTCGATTGTACCTCTGCTTTGTCCTCCTCAGCGTGCCAGAGAGCAAGGTCAACATCATCAAGGTGATCCGCTCCCTCCTCAGAGAAAATGTGAGGAGGAACATGAGGAGTGAGGGCACACTGGAGAGGGGCTGTAAGGAGCGCCTGGCCCCACTGCGCAGTACCCTGCCCTCCTCAGCCAGGCTTGGTAAGCATTAAGAGGCATGCTTTGGAAAATATTTTGAAAGAATCAGCCTCTGATATTATTCCTGAGTACCAGGAACTGTTTTCTGGGAAAGTTTTTATAACCGTAGAGGGCATGGGAGTGATTTTTACTCACTGGTATTTAACCTTTTGGGTCATTTGGGGCTTTAAATGTCATAAACTGTGTAACTCTAAGAATGCATGAGAAAGGAGTTGATCGTATCTGTCTTTTTAGGTCGAAGAATGCTAAAGGGGCTTATATTGCAAGTGTTTCGTCAAGATAAGAGTTTCATTTCTGATTCCCATTCCCAAATTTGTTGCCAGGTTCCTCCAGGGCTTCCTGGTTGTGCAAGCAGCCACTTGGAGATCCCTCAGGACAGGCTGGTAATCCCAAAGCAGGGCCAGACTCAGATGAGGGAAGCCTCAGCAGCGGAACACATAGTTTGTCCGGCGCACCTCCAACCTGCACATCCGTTGATTCCAATACAGCCTCAGTCCAGCAGAACCCGTCTGAAACACCAGAATCGAACTCGCAACCCTGCGCCACCTCCACTGTAAAGGAATCTGATATTTTGAGCGATGAGGATGATGACGGTTTTAGCGAAGGGGGGACAAGAAGGGACAGTGGAGACAGCAGTTCCCCAACTAGTGCCATTGAGGCTCAGTTTCTCCAGCTTAAACTCTCAGAGGAGGCTTTGCCAAAATGTCAACCTGCTCCATGTGTTGAACCGGAGAGGGTGGGGGACACTCCAGAGACCCAACCCAAACTGACGAGAGGACACTTCAGTGCTATTAAGAGGAAACCCAGCAGTTTCAATAGGAGCCAGGGTGCATTGTTGAACATGAGGGCGCACAGCAGGTCACTGGACAGCCAGACAGACGCAGCACTGCCTTCAGGGACGGTGGACCTCAACATGTTACTAGAAAGAGAGTTCAGTGTCCAAAGTTTGACCTCTGTTGTGAATGAAGACTGTTTCTATGACCAAGATGAGAGCTGTGCCACAGACTCTGGAAATAAGACCTCCTCATAGGACAGAGCGGGACTAGACTGAACCACAGCCACAAGGAAATGGCGGCTTGAAGTCTCTTTGGGGTTTCTGTGAAGTTTTGCCTCATAAGTCGGTTAAGAAAGTGTAATACCTGATTACTAAAGGTCAGAAATAAATGTTCTGATCTTATGAAGCTTACCGGTTGACAAAGTTTTCCCCATTGCGAGGCGGATGGAAGTGACTTCTACCCCAGTGATAATGACTGCATGAATCTGCCAAGCACTGATGTGTTCCTCCAGTCTCGTCTCTCTGCGCTCCTGTCAACGAACCCTCTGAGTGACGTATTCCATCCCAGTTTACCCTGCAGCTCACGCTGATTGGCAGTTTATTACATTTTTGACCTTTTCTTTGAAGAAATGGAAAGAATACCCTTGGTCTGTCAGTCCAAAAGAAGGAGAGGGGTTACAATGCATTAAAAGCCACCGAATACCGACAAGAAATCCTTTTTTTAAAGTTGGTATTCGGCAACACAGCGCATGTTGTTACAGTTAGCGGGCAGTGAGCCCACACAAGAGGAGAGTCTGGGGTTCAGTCTTGGTGAAGAATTTATTTTTATTTGGTATTTTGGTATGCTTTGAGTCACCCCTTTATATAAACTGCATTTTGTTAAGAAATGACATGAAAGGAGGCTGCACTGAGTAAAGGCTTTCACACACTAACAGCATTGAGCCAAATGTTACCGGGGTCAAGGCAGACTTCTGAGGAGAGAGGACAGAAACCTAAACAAACAAGCAAACAAACAAGAAGGATGCTGACTGATGCAAACAAGCCTTTTTGCTGTATTTTGTGCACTGTTTGCCTATATATTTGAAACCATTTTTATCTGTACAGGTTTTAATGTAATTAATACTGGTTTTTATTTATTGATAGGTTTGATAATGTTTATTTTAAAAAAAACAAACTTTGGGTGAAAGCTTGAACATTTGATTAAAGATTTGGTCCAGTAGTAAATAAAATGCAATACAGCTCCATGTTTCCTCCACATTTTATATGTAGCATACCCGGGGTCAAGTGGGTTGCTTGTTTTTAAAAAATGTGGAAATATGGCTGCTGAACTGATTTTAATGGCGATCGATGTTTCAGTTCCTCTTTATATCTGTGTCACGTGTATAAAAAATTTTCTACCTTAAATGTTGATGTACAGTTATGCACACTTGACACTGCACAGGTTAGAAACAATGCAGAAACTTGCAATAAATGCAGCTGGTATTTTTGTACAAGTTTGTTTGCCACAGCATTAAGTAGTACATGTTTAGGTACTATAAAGAGGAGAACCGCGACTCCAGTCTCTACCTTCTCAGCTCAACTTTACAATGCCTTTAATGCTAGAATACCAATGAATGTGAATGCCTCATTCTTGTTTTATAAATAAAAGTTTTATCTGTGAATGACACCTTGGGAACCGTGCTTTCAAACTTCAATCCAGCTGTCAGCTGAGCTTCCTATATCCTTTATTTACTATTGACAGGTAAAACAGTAAAGGGAAGAAAGTGCCTTATCTCAGGCTTTGTCCCTTGGTTAGACTTGCCACCAGTTCCTGATTAGCTGTCATGAAAATCGCAGGATTCAATATCCTGGCATTGGAAGAAAAAGGTATATCCTCAATAGAATACACAATTATCTGACAGAAGTAGGGCACAGTAACATGAAGAAAGAGTAAGGAAAAAAGAGCTTTTCTGCTGCTCTTCCATTTATGTCCAGATATATGAAATTAAGTGAGCTCTATATTTGAAAATGTTCAATTTGGCGTAAGAGCAGCTCATTTTGTGGACAAAAATGTCTTAATTCAGTCACATCCGTTCATTTTTCGACCTCTCCAGAACTTCTTCAGGGCTAGACCATCTCCCTCGACCACAACAAGTCTTTGCATCACCATACAAAGCCTACAACCTTCACATTGTACTGCAAACACAACTGAAATGAGTGTGTGCTTAACTAATTTCATGTTAACATTGTAAAGACGTCTATATTCTTACATTTTGAAAATGCATGAAACCTGCTTTACAGAAAGCAGTGTGACATGAAGTAGCCTCAGTTGTAAGTCCTATACATTAACATGTTATCAAATTTATCGGGCATGAAACTTTCAAGTATTGTCTTGAAACCAAGAAGACCAAAACAATCAATTTCTGATGCAGTCTCAGTTTAGGCTAATGGCTAAAAGTAAAGACCTGTCTTCCTGCTCAAGATATGCGGAGGATTTTTATTCATAACATCTCGTCTTGACTGTTGTAATTTCTTGAATGTGGGTTTAGAGCAGTCATCCGTTCAGCACCTGCAGCTCATTCAAAATACCCCTGCTGACTGGAAATGAAGGGAGAAGACATCACACCTGTGCAGATCTCATCACTGGTTTCCAGTCTGTTTCAAAATGTCGAATTTTCAGGCCCTCAATGGATTGACGCCACCTAACTTTCTTTGTGTTCATACTCCAGCCAGATAACCAAAACATCTACCCCCACCATTAAATGTTTTGATCAAGTATTAGATACCCTTTTTGTTTTCTCCCCAGCCTTCGATTTGAGAAGAGTAGGTCATTAAAAAGGACCAATTTGACTACTTTCATAAACATGTGGCTTATTAGTGTTTTCTTTTTGTACTGTTACGCTTTAAAACACTTTTGTTAGTTGTTTTTAAATGTGTGACTTGTGACTTACTGTGAGGCTTTCTTTGGGGCTCTAGCAGCTTTGTGTTGGTTATCCCTCAGACTTAGATGCAAACAGCAAGAAAGTCTCCTTCAACAATAATTGATGCAGCCACAGAGGGATTTCAAGTGAATATGGATAAGAGTTTAAGGTTTAATAGACTTGTCCCACATCTTCTCAGAGACGCTGGAGGTTTATCTTCACAGCTCAGCAGGTATATCTCATATATGGCTAATTATTTTCCCATTGTGTGTTATGTCAGTTCTGCTGCCACAAGTACAATTACCAACCCAAGTCAAAGCTCATCATGCCACGCAACCGTATCATATTTCTCTGGAATAACTTTGCTTTTTGGGTAACGCACAGCATAGCATGTTATGTCAGCCTTGCAAACCTATTTGCCATGTGGATCTGATGATATCCTGATTGTGGTTGGAGATTAACTCCCACTGATCACTGAAACTGAGTGAATTCTCTCTTTGGCAAGTCAACCTTAGCGCACCATCTGCCACACTGGCAGGAAACAGCCTGTCCATGCTCTGTTGGTGATGATCCATTCTAGCATTCAAAGAGAGATATTTCAAACTGGTAACAACACTTTAATCGACACAGAACTTTAAAAAAAAAACATGGTGAGATTTATTTGACAAACATGTTATAGATGCTCTACTCTGTACTCTGTACTCATGAATGTTCTTTGGACAAAGGTGACATGAATTAAATAGATGAGTCAAAAGCCAATTATGTATTATTTAGATTTTTAAATTTAGAAATAAACTCTTGGTTCTTTTGTCTCATATAAAAGAAAAGAACTTTTTCAGACGCTAACAAATTCCCTGTAGGCTGTGTCTCCCAAGTGACGAAGCAATATAGTTCATAGTGGCAGGAAAAGTGGCCTGGAAATCGCACTGCCGTGTTGTTCCCACTCTCTGATTCACCCTGAAAACATTCTGACATTTCCTTCAGGTCCCACAGGATAAGGTGTTATGCAAGTTGGGTCAGGGAAGAAGAACTGGAACACAAAAAAATACTCCTTTCTTAAAAGCTTGTATGGGTTTAAATCAAGAGTATGAATTCTTTACCTCCTCCAAAACATATGACTCTGCTTTCAGTCCTCCAAGTTTGGAGCACAGTCTTGGAGCTGATCCAGCACACTCAGGACCCTAATAAGCCTTGCGGGTCTTATCTCAGTCCAAGGATTTCACATATAGCCGGTTACCTATTACTCACTGAGTGCAGAGAACAACATTTAAAAAATTCATGCTTGTGCCAGGTGGAAATGGCACAGCTAAGAGCAGACTGTTGTTTCCTTGTGCTAACAGGAGCTATTAGTGGGTTACTCTTGCTTTTCTTGCTTTATCTTACTTCAGCAGGGCTGTTGAGGACTCGCTGGTGTGCCAGTTGTTGGGTCGCTAAATATGTCTGTTGGTGTGCCTCTCTGCTTGGCAAGGTGCTTCAGTCTGAGCTGCTCTCTGTACTCATAGTTGGCGAGACCAGGCTCATGGGTGCAGAGGCTAGCGTAGGCGTCCACTAGCGCCCTAATCTGAGGTATGGAGAGTTCTGTTGGGCGTAGAATGGGGTCCACATCTGCCTCCTGCATCATCTTCTGTGTCAGCTCACCACGGCGTGCCTCGGGGAACAACTTTCTAAAAGGGGAATAAAATACAGGAAGTCGAGATATGGCAGTACGCACAGTCCTACATTCAGGTTGCTTTGATATCTTCATCATCGTGCAAGTTTAATGGCATTGTAAAGTTCAAACAGAAAGAAATTATCCCTCAGCAATTGTCTCAAATCTGTGAAGTTAATTGAAATTACACAAAGGGCTGGAACTGCTCATGAATTGTTAATTTGTTCCGCTGCCATGCTCCAGAATCAAGGGATGTAGACACTGACACTCAGACAAACTTCTGTGACATAAAGAAAAAAGGCTCCTATAATTTAAATACTCAATTCGGATTAATTTCGCTGGTTCTTACCTGAAAAGATCTACTTCGAACATCAAATACAAGGAAGGAGTCGTTCATTTCTGAGGAAATTTCTCTGCCTTAAAGGTCTTTCAGTATTTTGTCTCTTTAGCCAATTCCACACACTCTGCAGAACAGATGCTTTTTAGGCGCTTCAGTGCTGGTGCCTCCCCTCCAATTTGGTGCCTCTGCCACCAACACACTTCAGTTACATAAAATATTCTGCCTCGTCTTCCTATGCCACCTCAATGACTCATAATTGCTGCTCTCTTTCACACAGCCAGTGTGTTCTTTTGTTATCCGGGCCTACACACACTTCCCTAACAAGCGCAGGGGTGATGGGCTGCGTGCACATGCGTGTGGGCGTGTTGGTATGCTGCTAGTGGGTTTGAACCGAGCTCTGAGGATGCTCTGATTTTCAGATTCTAGAAACAAAAAGTTATGTTTTTGTCAGAGTGGTGGTGTGTGACAAAAGCTAATCAAAAGCTCTTCTAATTAATGATGAAGTGACGACGTGGCTGTCAGAAAACACAGAATGAAAAATGTAGGGAGAGGATGATAGATGAGGATGAGATGAGATTAAAAAGTAAAAATGGAGAAAGAGGGAAGAGAGGGTATAAGCTTTACATGAAACAGCGAGTTGTGTTTATACTGCTTACTCTAGGCCTTTATAGCAGTGCTTCCTGCGAAATTGGAAAATGTTCCTGACGACTTTCTCCACCAGTTTGAAAGGCTGCTGGATCTGAGGCTGAATCAGAGGGGTGAAGTGAACCACCCCCACATCCACCTACACACATACAGAGAGAGGAAAGAAGAATCCAAACAACAGGGGTTACTATAGTCCTTGAAAAATACTCTAATATGTGTCCATGGGAATGAAGAAAAACACATGGAAAAAATGAGTGCAGGTGCATAGAGAAAGGAAACTGAAAAGGGTGGAGGAAAATGCTGGAGATAGAGGCTTGCTGACAAATGGTGAGTGAGAAACAAAGCTGGACAAAACAAGAGAGAAAGAGGGAGAGAGAGGTAGACGGGTCCACACTCTGGGAAAAAGAAAAGAGGAAAAGCAGAAAATAAGATGACGCAGCATGGCTGACTGGCAAGCCAGTTCCAGTTGCCACAGTAACACCTGTGCGATGGACCATAGAGACTGAGGCTCTCTCACTATCCTGTCTCTCTTCCTCTCCCTGCATCACAACAGAGTTTCTTTATACCGAAGAGCCTCAGTCAGTGTAGCTGTCTTTGTCTGTCTCAATCAGCCTTTACACTGAGCATGAAGCCAATGGAGCATAAAAATATTGATCAAGAAATGGGCATGGTAAGCAGCCACAGAGCTCATGTTGTTCTTTATGGGTGGGGACCCTGCTGACACAGGTATCCTGATCAACAGACATATCTGCTTTTCACTCCCAAGGAAAACATGTCAAAGGAAATTCGTGTTTAAACTAATGTTACAAGGATCCTGGATTTGTACAGCTCAGCGCTTTTTTATCCAAACTTCCTGAGGTCTAGGTGCTTAGTTGAGTCATCATTTTTTAATCACTTTAAGTCTTACAATTCAACTGTTAATCCTTTAGTCTTAGCTATTTCAACTGTGAAATACATTTGACCTACTGTGCAACTATGCTAGCCTTTTATCCATTACTTCCAGCTGTCTGTTGTCCAATTTTTAATTTTTGCTACAGTATTTACTAGAGAAAGATTTCAACCACATATTCACAATTCAACACGTATTAATTATTTTCACCTGACTATTTCATATCAACCAAATATTTAAAGCTGGAGAAGAAACCAAAAATTGTCAATTCAAACTGTCAATGCATACTCAAATTTAAGAGATTTCAGAGGTTTCATCCTTAAGCTAACCAATTTAACTGTCCAATTATTAGTTTAGGCCATAAATTATGATCATTTGCAAAACTTTTAGCTGACAATTTCAAGTCTTTTTGTTTTAAGCAATTTTAACTATTATTTGAAATATTTTACCTCGCTTTGAAAGTCTTTACTTGTGGCTCAGTATTTCAACTGGATTTTTTAAAAGTTATTCCTACAGCCCATTTAGTTGTTTCAGTTATGAATTTCACCCAATTACATTAAACAAAGCCATATGCTAACTGCTTCGACAAACCACTCTTCTTGTTTTCACCCTCTGCACCTGCACAGTCATCTGTGTTGACTCGGTACGACACTTTTTTTTTTTTTTTTTTGCTCTAATGAATGCGCAGTTTTTGGTTTCAGTTCAGGTCACACAAATCAACCCCTTTTCACAGCTACTATTTATATATCCACTAGTAACAACCAAGGTCTGGAGGACTGGACTGGCAGTGGTTGTAACCTTAGCTCTCGTTCCTTACTAGCTGCTGTCTCCTTATTCCTGCGTGTCAGCCCTAAGCTGACATGACATACTGTTGAAGTAATCATGCCAGACTCATCAGAGCCTTCCTCCTGCTCTCAGATCGCTCCCTCTTTAACTCTTCAGCACGTATACATCCACTCATTCTCTTTTCACTGGATTGCTTGTTCTCTTATTATAAAGGATTATCTGCTGTCTTCATCATCTGAACGTTCTGATGAGATCAAAAGAACAGAAATACATTAAAGTCGATTCCTCAATCTCTGGATCTGTGCATTTGATGCACTTCATTTTTCAAGGATCTTTCACATGATGCTGTTCAGTCCTGCAAGTTATAGCTTGAGGGGCAGCAGCGCAAGGAGAGAGATACTTCTTTGTGTGTGTGTGTGTGTGTGTGGACTAGTGGCACAGCCAGACAGTGGGCAGCCAAGCAGAGCAGTCATATGTCTGTCTTCCATAGTTGGTAATAGTCTTACAGCGCCGAGAGAAACTGCTCTCTGACTGGCTGAGCAGACTGACAATGAGGCTTAGAAGAAGAACATCATAAATGAATGAGAATAATAAAACATTTTATTTCCTTTGTGTGCCTGTCTGCTTCTAGTGCTTAGATAAGAAAGGAGTCTTAAAATAGAAAACAATAAAGCAAATATAATCAACTGAAGTGTTATGTTAAGGAGAACATATGTACATGGAAATTGTGTGGACTCAGACATTATATGCTGAACATGTGCAGCAATGAGTCTTCATGTGTTTGTACATGTATTTGAACCGGAAGACATGCTACTTGTGAAGTAAGGTGTGAAATAGGGGTGGGAATCACTTGTGGCCCCACGACACGATACAGGGAAAGATATGATGTTATCATGATAGTTGGGCCACGATACGACATCATCACGATACTTGGGCCATGATACAATATTATTGCATTTTTTAACATTTTGCCATAGAGTGAGTATTGCGATACAATATACTGGATTTATACATTTTTTTCAACTGTTCAGCTAATTTAGCATTTGTCTTTCCTTTGTTTGTCTCATTTATGCTGTATTTTATTTTCATGTTGCACATCTTGCAAACCGTATATTTATTTGTTGTACTAACTTTCTCCTGCTCTATGATGTCACCTCACTGAACAATCAGTTGAATTTACTTTTCCATCATCATAGATTTGACTTCATATGAGCAATTAATTTGAAAAATCGATACCTGGTAAATAAGATAATATGATATATCACCAGACAAAATATCAGGATACTATGCTGTATCTGTTTTTTCTCCCACACCTAGTGTATAAATAGATAAATACACAAAGCATATTAGAACAGGAATCACATTAAAACCTACAAAATAAAGATGATAGGAAAAATAAACCAGATTAGAGTATATGCCCTGCAGAGCTCCACATGCATCCTTTTATTTCTAGATTGTGTGAGTCACTGTTGTTCACAGCTGCCTTCGCTTTCTTGGGACTGTTGTCGTTAATTAGGGGAGGAAAACAAAAGTGATCCAAAGACATGCAAAGGATTTCCCAGGAGCATCTTAGATTTCCCCATTAACAGTGAACAATCGAGGTAGTGAACGGAAGCACCTGTAAACTGCAGCACTATCATTCTTATCAGATCTCCACATCCCAGTGTCCGGAGACGCCGGGCTGTTGTTGCAGTGGTGTTTTAATGGGACAGAGCAGTGGAAGTCTTAACAGCCCCCAAGGAAACAGTGTAGAGAAAGCATCAAACTCTTGGGTTCAAGATTTGACAGTTTGTCAGGCAAGAAGAAAGAAAGGATGCCATGAGCTGCAGCTGTAAGTGCATGTAGTGTACAGCTGTTGAGTGAATCTCATGTTGAATTTTTCATGTTTAGTTTTGTCTTGTTTAACACAGTTGGACATTGAATGATGACTGTGGCTTATTTGAAGTGTCAGTAATGGCTTTGGTTTCCTCTTGATGAGTCTATTATTAATATTCAAACTCTTTAAGTATATTTCAAATACATAAGGCCGCCTGGTATGTGTTAGACGTGTATGATAAGAGTCAGTTGCTCAGAGTGTCTCATCAACATGCAAGAGTTTGGGATTTCATCTGGATTGCAAAAGATTCTTCTTTCTGAATTTTGGTGATGCACGAACAGACTACCATCTGTTTGGTAGATTGAGTTAAATGAAATGTCTTTAATTTCACTCTCTGCTGGAATAATTAGGCTATTTATATTCCACACTTCATGATTTAAGAGAGGAGCAAGGGGAAAAGTCGATATTGGGACTATACAGGCAGCAGCATTTCAGCCATCAGCTTGTCCAAGTCACTTTGCTGCTATGATTTATGTATGGCCTTGCTACATGACTTCGCTGGGTAGCACTGCCGGAATATATCCTGCCCCGTGCCATTAATCCTCCCCCGGATAACCTCAACATGCAAGGAAACTCTGTCTTAAATCACCCACCGTCACCTGGGCCCTTCATTGAGGTGCTATGAACATGCCTGAAACCCACAGCTCCCCCTCCCCAGACCCCTAAAATACTTTGCATCTGCTGAGAGATCCTGGACTGAAGAAGCAGACTGACTTATTGACCTAATCTGACAAGCATAGTACCTCTTCGTTGCGCAGGATCTCCTATCTCTCAACCCCCTCTTTTATTTATATTGACGGCAGCAGGAATCATACAGAGGAAGATAATGGCTGACAGAGTATGGAAATGTTTGGACGATAATGATCCCTTTTTACACTTGAGCGGACTGCCACAAGGGAATCATGGCCCCTAATTTGATGTCTAAATTAAATAGTTATGCAAGGATCTATACTCCAGCTTATGGAAATCCCTATGCTATAAAGGACTTCTTAACTCTGACTCTGAACCTGCTTCTTCTTTTACATGTGCCATACTTAATAATCTGGCCCTGGCTTCCCTCCAGAAAAAAAAGGTATCTCTTATATGTCTGATTCCCCTGGGAGGATGCTTGAAAAGGGCAAAATATGAGAGATCATTATCCCAGAGTCACATGTCCACTTTTTCTGCAGTTCTAGACCTTTGTTGCCCCACTTAAGAACAAAAGACATCTACTATATATTAACATACTTTTGCGTCACTATATGCCAGATGTGTGACCTTTCCAAAGCTTAGGAGGAACCTTATTACTCCAGCTCTGCCCTGTGGTTCTCCAGTTCCCCCTTCCCTGTTTCCACCTTTGATGTCTCTTTCATGGTGTGTTCTTGTCCAATGGTGTGTGAGCAGTAATTTGTCATGTCCCTTTAAGCGTATCCAAGATGAGATGGCAGAGACCCTTGGGCATCAGCCACCGTGCTACCTAAACCACCAACACCTCCGCTTACATAATGGCAGGTTTTGAAACAGAGCAGGGGGATGGAAGAAAGCTATATACGGCCAGAGAATATGCAAGCGAGAAGGCTCAGTGAGATCCTGCAACCAAGGGGGAAGAGCTGCATTAATCATGACAATACTTTAGGAAGACACCCTCCATTACATCAGTGGAGAGAGACAGCCACTCAGAGGGGAGAAGGCAGCAGTCAATGCTGCTGAATGTACGGGGCTGATGTTGCTTGAGGGGTTTCAGGAGGAAGGGCTTTGGCTTCCTGTGCAGGCAGCCCAGCGTACTTCCCATGAAATCGCCCATGGCATGCACACAGGACATACAAGACTGCAGCCCTGGAAAAAAAAGAACAGCTCCATGGAGAGATGCTTTCGTCACAGAAAAGCTTGAACTTTGCCCAAAAATGTGAAATATACTGGCCCGGCAGAAAAACAAAAGAGAACATGGGAAAATAGTTTTGTTGGGATATTTAAAAATTCGTGAATGCCATTCCATTTTGATCTCTTGGGAGCCAGATGTCAAAAGCTGAAGAGACTAATTATTCAACCCAGTGTTGGTCATTTCGCATCATGTCACAAGTCTTTTGTCCAACACAGGTTTACACATATTATCTATACTCAAACAGGTCTGTTCCTACGAGATTGTACCGACAGCAACATCACTGCTATCACACAACACCTTGCATCTTTGCAGTGTACAAACCGTTTTTGTTCGGCGATGAGCAAGAAAACCAATTACGCAAGGGAAGACATAAAAGAGGAAAATGCAAATTGACCGATAAAAGCCCTTCGTGTGGGCAAAAGCGAGTGCGGCTGGTCCGGCTGTGCCTCAGAGCTATGCTGCGGAAAGGCTTGAGAGCTCTGCTGTGAGGTGATAAAATAAAGGGGACCACGCTCATAATAGTCCGCAATATCTTCACACATCACAGCGTCACACATCTGCACTCACAAGGAGTATGTTAACCACGATTTGCTCTTCTCTCCTTCTATCTTTTTCTTCCCTTTCATCCACCACTTCCCTACCCCTATAGTCTTTTTATTTATTTATCTCACTCCCCATAGAACAACACCGGCATCAGCACTTAAAATCTCATCGGTTACAAGGAGACAGGTCACACGGCACACTCTAGTGTGTGAGTGTGGAAAGCTGAAAATTTTTCTTCCTGCTGCAGTGGTATCCCACAAGGAGCATAGAGAATGTAGTGCTGAAGGTCGACACCAACATCACACCGCAGGTAATGTGGCATGCAGCATTCCTGCATCCTAGCGAAGTCTCATTTTGAGAAATGGGTCTCTTGAAGGTGATTTATGGGAAAAACAATGTTGAATGGAGAGAGTAGTGGGCCATAATAAACAAAGAGATCAATATCTAAACTAATCAATTGCCACGAACCAATCTGCACATCACTGTTGTCAATGCCCTGCCTTTTCATTGCAAAAAAAAGAATTCTCACAGCTGGCTGTTTTTGCGAATTTGCCCATGCAGCAAAATACCAGTGATACACATCTGCGTTTTCAAGGGTATCAGCTCTATTAGTCCTGGGTGATTTTTTTCACTCCATCATTTTGTCCTTTTTGTCATTCATGAACCAAGGCCGCCCTAGCCACTCCCACCTCTGTGGTACGTCCTCTACAGAGAGAAGAGGAGAGAGAGGCTAAGATAGGGGAGCAGCTGTGAGTTTTGGGCTCCTGCTGACTGATGTCTAATGAAGATGACGCCCCAGGGAGGGTCAGATTTGGCGTGGTGGGGTGCACATGCTCCTCCGGCCTCTGGACCAACACATAAACAAACAAACAAAGCTTTTACAGACCACAAGTCTGATCAGCTTGTCTGGTCAAAAAGATAGTGGAATTTTTTCCCTCTGTCTTACCTAGATTACCCTTCCCAGTTGTGTAGCGAGGCTCTTTGAAAATGTAATCTTTATGAAGCATCTTGGCTCTGTCTTATCTTTTAACAACAGCAGGGTAATAGTGGGATAGTGAGCATATGCATGAATGGGATGTGTTTTATATGTTTTGGTGATTGATAGTCATCACACTGCAAGGAAGGGCATTGTATTTTAATTGTATTGTATACCACTGACTGTCAATACAGAGTGGTTTAGAGAGTTAAAATGAAAATGATACCTATTTCTTTTGAGCTCTTAACCTCACACCCCCCAAACATGTGAACAAATGTCAAAGGACTACTTCCAAAGAAATTTGAGATGCTATAAGCAGCCTGATTTAAACATGTCAGCCATCCAGAGCATGTAAATACAGCCAACAATGAGGCTGCATTCACAGAAATGGACAGGATAGCAGACTGTGTAAAAATAGAACAGATGCTTTTAACAAAACAGATAAGGTAACTATAAAGAAAACAAAAATGTTACATTGATGTACTGGAAAAGCCGTGACATCTAGCTAATTAAATGGATATTCTGGCGTAAAATTAAGTTAGGGTCAAACACACCGTAACGCCGAGTTAGACACAGAGAGATGAATGTTGCCGACCGCTTGCTCGTCTAATTATACAAACTTTAGTAACGACCACAGATAGCAATACAGAGCCACACGCACAACCAAAACGCCACTCCATCGCCACAAATAATGCTCAGAACAGCACCTAACTTTATCAACAGTACATATAGGGTCCCAGCCATAGCACTAGCCACCGAACATCTTTTTAGCCTTGCCTAATTCCTTTAGCAAAGAGACCAAACACAACTCACCCACTCTCTTCCAGCAGCCTCTTGTTTGTATGGAGACCTCAGGGCGAGTCCATCGACTGCAGCGGGGGACACAGCTCAAGGAAGAACATTTATAATCAATTCTTTATCTTTTTTTTTTTTAAAGTAATAATCCTCATATTAATCTTTTTGCACTGCATACGTGGTAGTTCTTCTGCCTTAGCGTCTCGGTCTGATTGTCCATGAGGAAATTATCATAAATGTTCCTCCTTGAACTGCAGCACCCCGCTGCAGTCGATGGACTCGCCTGGAGGTCTCCGTACAGAAAGGGCTACCGGAAGAGAGTAGGTGAGTTCTGTTTAGACTCTTTGCTAAAGCAGGCAAAGCTAAAAAGATATTTGGTGGCTAGTTTATGGCTGGGACCCTGTATGTACTGTTGATGAAGTTAGGTGCTGTTCTGAGCATTATTTGTGGCTATAGAGTGGCTTTTTGGTTGAGCGTGTGGCTCTGTGTATTGCTATCTGCAGTTACTAAAGTTGGTGTCTGGTGTTACAGTGTGTTTGACCCTAAATTAATTTTACGCCGGAATATCCCTTTAACCCTTTTTTACAGGTTACCCCTCAAACTTTTCCAGTGGTGTTTCGATAAGTGAAAGTATGATAAATAGGAATTTTGGGTTGAAATAAACACTATTCGACAAAAACAAGAAACGAACGAGGTTTTATAACTATTTCAATGCTCGGTATCTGACGGAAGAAGTGATGCGTGACTGTTTGAGTTACGGTCCGGTGGTTGGTTGAAGTAAAGGCAGCGGCTGACAGACGAACCGTAATTCAGCCGTCTGAAGCAGTGCTATGGTGAGGTATAACCATATATTAAGTTGTTGTTGTGAGGCAGAGGCTCTTCTCCAGCACACACACTCATACACACAAACCGAGAGAGAGAGAGAGAGAGAGAGAGAGAGAGAGAGAGAGAGAGAGAGAGAGAGAGAGAGAGAGAGAGAGAGAGAGAGAGAGAGAGAGAGAGCACGCATTGAGGGTGAGAAAGAGAAAGAGGGAGACAGTCGGAGCGCTACGGTTATTTCTCCCAGGCTCCGGCCAAGCCTGTGTGGTCCACGGCGCTGGGATGTCCTTTGATACGCTGTTGCTAAGGAAATGGATGGCTTCAATGGGTCCGCGGTCCGGGCTGTGTTCTCCTGCTCGCCCCCTCAGCAGCAGACTGTCTTTCAATGTGTGACTGAGTGTGTTTACAGGAACCACTGCGAACAACGTGACGCGACAGCGCCAGCTCTGCACCAGCCGGGGTATGGGATTATTTATTTCACCCTGAGAAAAACAGTTTGTAATTGTCAAACTATTTGAAAACTGTGGGTTACCGATTTATTAGATAAGAAAGACCACAACGCGCTGCCAAGAAGTAGGACTGAATTGCAGTAAAAAGATGAGGTACATTGACAAAGTTTAATTCTCATAGAACTAATTTGGATTGAGTGTTATTTCACCCTGAGAAAATGTTGTGTAATTGTCAACTACTGAAAACTGTGGGTTAATTTGTTAAGTAAACAGCATTGAAATCAAAGTGGTAAAATATATGTAGTAATGTGAGGGGGTAAGGGCACTGCAGCTTTAAGTCCACATAGCAATTGAGCATTGCAAATACCACAAATTCATTTCTCCCTCTCCAATAACAGCTCTATGGGGCTCCAGTAAGGACCAGGAGCAGACAGCCCATAGAAAATGCACACATAGACAACAACCCCCAGTGTTTTGCTTACTTACTGTATCAGCCAGAGCCAGCTCTTATCGCTTTTGCTTCACGCTGCCCTTTGTTTCCAGCCAGAAAAGTATGTGCTTGTGTGAGTTGAATGAGGGGGGTAAAGAAAGGAGAAGAGTGAGAGGACTCACTCAGTTCAATTTCTCTTTCACATCTCTCTCCTCCAGCACAGAGGAGCCACAGCTTGGGAGCTGAGGAGCTGGAGATTTGACTGGCAGCTGGTACACCACCAAGGGAGGGGAGAGAGGCGGCTGGGCAGAGGGGTCAAGCAGCCTGGCTGGCGCAGGGTGAATGCTGCCTGGCGAGGACAACGGCTGAGGCGGCGGCAGTATTGTCTGGAGAAGAAGCATGGCATCCACGGGCATGCAGATATTTGGATTTGTCCTAGCGCTGCTGGGCATCATGGGTGCTATGGTTGCCACTCTGCTGCCCAACTGGAAGGTCAGTGCAGATGTGGGCTCCAACATCATCACAGCTATCTCCCAGATGCAGGGCCTGTGGATGGACTGTACATGGTACAGCACAGGCATGTTTAGTTGCACACTTAAGTATTCAGTGCTTTCACTACCTGCGTACTTGCAGACTGCCCGAACCACTATGGTGCTCTGCTGCGTACTGGCTGCGATGGGTCTTTGCCTTGCATCCTTGGGACTAAAATGCACACGTTGGGGAGGTGGACGGCGCTCCAAGCGGCACGCTGCGATTGCCAGTGGTGCCTGCTTTGTTGCTGCAGGCTTTCTATGTCTGGTGCCCGCTTCCTGGTTTACCAACGAGGTCATCACCAACTTCCTGGACTCCAGTGTGCCAGAGAGCAATAAGTTTGAGCCTGGGGGAGCAGTGTACGTGGCCTTTGTTTCAGCGGGATTCCTCTTTGTTGGGGGGTCCATATTCTGTATGTCGTGCTCAGGGAAGAGGCATGGCCCCCAGGATCTGGTCCTGCTCCCTCCCCCTGACAAATTGCTGCTCCAGCAGCAGCAACAGCAACAACTGCTTCAGCAGCAGGAGCTGCAGCATCAGTACTGCTCTCTCTCCCCATTAGACAATAAGACTGGCTACAGCCTGCAGGACTATGTGTAATAAAACAGTACTGTGTATGCTACGGCTAAAAGGAGACGAGCCTGAGGGGAAACCATCACGGCTTATGTTACACTCTAGGCTGTACTCCAGATGGAGGAGGAGAACAAAATGAAAAAAGGAGGGCAACAACTTTGAATTCATTTTCTCTTCTCCTCTATCTTGCTCTTCTACCTTTTTCTGTTTTGCAAGCACAAGCAGTGGAGGTATTCCCTGAGCAGCGCCTTGGAACAAACAGTGTGAATGTGTAAGGAACCAGGATAAGGTGCTGCAGCATCGAAGGGAGCCGCTAACCAAATGCAGACATCCTTCATCAGTAAATCACAGAAAGAGTTCCCTGGGGAATGGATTAAGCAAATAAGGAAGGCTTCCATGTAGATTTTTTCCCTCGCCAAAGGATGGAATTGAAAGGAGGAAAAAAAGCAATCATTTAGCTGCTATTTACAATCGTTTGGAACCCTTCCCAATTGTCAAAATAGGCAATATATCGCCTGAGTGCAGTAGGTGGAAACCTTTTCATAGCAAGCCATTGTAGATTTTCGTATACTTATCCACTAGAATGCTACGTGGAATTGATTGAAACAAATGGTCATATTTTTGTTAGCTACTAGAATGATGTTGATATTTTGCCTCTAAAGCATGCTGTGTGGAGCCTGTCTGTGTATTAATACAGAGGAATGCCTGGTAATAGACTGAGACATAGCCACAAAATGCCTGTGCCTGAAAAGCTGTAGTAACATTACCCTGCTGTAACTGTTCAAAGAGGTCTGTCAGGAGAGGATGTGGGCTGCTGGGCTGGATTTGAGACAGAAAAGGCAGACAAACAGTTGCCTGCTTCTCTCTGCAGGTGGAAATAAACGAGACTTGAAGAGAAATAAATGGGAAGATATTCAATCCCTCAACACGGAGTGGACTAACTGATACGCTGTTTTTATACTTACATGCAGATTATGCCTGTAAGTAGCAGCTACTTGTCTCAATTCATCCATGCATTACTGCTCCCCCCCTCAGACATGCACATACACACCCTTGCGCTTTTGTGTATTTGTACACAGTAAACACTCAGACATGCCGGCATTTTGCATGTGCTTTTCACTCCTGTCATCCTCCTCCACACTGCCATGGAAACAGAATTCGGCATTCAAGTATCTTTATTGTCTTGGGGTATGCGTGTGTCACTCAGTGATGTGGAGTTGTTTGGAAAGGGGCGCTTCTTGTCTCCAGCCATGGCTCCATAAGCTTTAATCAGCACCTCTGCTCGCACTACTTTCTTTAATCCCCCTTATTAGCCTCCAACGTGATCCTGCATCCCTGTTACATAGACAGAGGTTGTGGAAGACGCTCTTCCTTGCTGCCCACTGCTATGGGGTCTACACCATGCAAGTAGACTCACAGGGATGAACAGATGTCTAATGGTGCAGTGGCAGAGAGGCAAAAAAAGAAGCAGAAAAGGAGAAGCTTTTGTAGTCATGGTCCACTGGGTAGCTGGGTGGCAGGCGGCTAAAAAAGGCTTGAGTCATTCTCCATATGTGACTTGTTTTCCAAGTGCGTCAGCAGTGCGCATATGCTACCAGTCTGCACGTGCAGACCATCTTCGTGTCTTAAATTGCAGCCCCTTGACGAAGTAACCATTCCTCTTTTGCTACATTTCATTCACCACTTTTTCTGCACCCCCATCTGTCCTGCTCGAATCACACTTCACATGGATGTGGTCATTGACATGAGAGAGCATGGTAAAAGCATGGGCATCCAACATACATTTACATGTATACTAAACTCCACTCTACTCGTGTGTCAGTTTTACACTGTCACAGTTATGTTCCAAAGCGTGTCTGCTCTTTATAGGGAATGGATATTGGAGGGAAATTGTTTTTTTTTTTGTTTGAGACAGGCCTTGGCAGTGATGTATAGAACTGCACGTTCTCTCCCTCTCTCTCAGAATCATGCAGCTTCTTAGGGGAGAGCAGATGGCTAGGCCCAGCTCGCCACCTACAGGCTGCAGCTGGCACACCACGGGCATCTCTGTGGGCATCACTGCCGGCCCGGGCAGCCCTTGAGGGCCAAGTTTTTTCACCCCACCCTGACTTCGCCATCTTGCCCAGCACAGACAGAACTGGCCTCCTGACAATAACTCACTGCCCAGGCACCATAACCAATGCAATAAACAAAGTAAAGAATGTGCCATGTCATCAACTAATACCGACACTATACGTGTTTTGAGAATGTGCCAAATTGTCTCATGATGACACGTTTTAATACTAAGCGGAGTTCTGTCTTTTTATTTTTTTATTGCGTTGTTTGTACATGAATTATACATTAGCAAATGTTTTATGGATTTGTGATTTGTTCTGCCAGACTAAGTCTCAAGTCAACTAGATGCTTGTGTACAGACCAGTGCAGCTTTCGAGGGTTATTTTAAATCCTCTTTATTCCTCATTTCCCAAAGCACAGCAGGACTTCACTGGGCATGAGAGTCTCAGTAGGACAGACTCGAGGGCGGTATTTTCTAAATGAAAAAAAAAACAAAAAAAACAAAGAAATATATTTGCTTCAGGAATTCTGGTTCACTTTAAGTCTGTGACAACTGTACACAAGTATCTGACCTTTGTTCTTACCGAGGGACCAGAATTCCCTCTGATTGTGTCAATATAAAATACAATATCATGTTCATACCATATCTTCTTTATAAGAAGAATACGCAGAGCACCTTTACTCGTCTTACTTTGACAGCAGTTTGTTTCAAATGGCTGAGCATTCCAGGCTTCCTGGACCAGTATGAATACACAACACCACTGGCACTCTGGAAAAAAAGGGAACAATTTCTGTCTGATAGGATTCAGGTGGAAAATAGAAGCTGAATATGTCTCTTTTTCGTGGCTGTGCAGCTTGATCATCAGCACGCAATGTCATTAGCTTATAAATTGCCAGAGTGCAAAGTGACGACTAGGTCCTAAAAGTCTCAAGAGTTTCAACTCTCCTGCATATACTGTATCAAACAGTGATTTATGGTTTTGATAATAGCAGCTTATTTTTGTGGATGCTTTAGCACTTCTTACTTTGCTGGAGCATATTTGTGATGATGAACAATTCAAAGGTTCTGATACAGTTGTCTCAATGTGCTTGTGCAAGTAGTTCTATTTTTTACCAATAAAACTATTTTGTGAAAGCAACATGCCAGCTGTGTGTAGTCTATTGTCTGCCCCCATACGTTTGGCTGATAAGGATAAGTAACAGTATGAATCTTCCTGCCGTATCTGCAGATTGCTGGATGGTGCAGGCTGTGCTGTGTGAAGGCAGATTGTCTGCTCAAACAGCACGCAGGACCCAGGAATACAACACTCAATACAACAGCAGTCCAGCTGCTATATTCATAACACATGCCTATGTGCAAATAGGTTTGGGAATTGACTTCTTGCCGTAATATCACACCTTTCCTCTTCCCATGATTGCATCTCTTCAGATGATAGCATAGGCTTACACATATATAGCATTATGGCAACACTTCTGCATGATTAAGGAAATGAGGGTTACCGCAATCCTGCATTTTATCAGACACAGCACTGAGTTCAATGAAAACATGTGGAGATGTTGACAGAATGCCCACAAAAGAAGGGCGCCAACAGTGAGAGGTTTTAAAAGCAAATACTATACAAGGCCTGAGCAGACGACAGCTTGATCACCAACAAACTTCTGAACAGCTATATCTGATATCAACCCTTATTAAGCTACTCCATATAAATTAGTTAAAATGGTAGCTGATAGGTCGCCATACATACATCAGAAATATTGTTTCAAAAAAATGTTTTTTTTGTTGGAGAGTGCTTACATAGCACTTTCCGACCTCTTCATGTACTTTTATGTACACGACTTGACACTTTCATACTGCATTTTCACACACCACTGCCAGAGGCTGCTACTGTAGGAAACCATGAGTATTAAACAAACCCATTCATAAGAATTTGCAGACCACTGAATAAGTCACCAGGAGCAATCTGGGATTAGTCCAAAGACACTTAAGCATGTGACAGCAGTAACAAGGGTTGAACTTCCAACCTTTAGATTTAAAGATGTAGAGATGACCAAGTCTACCAGTGAGCCACAGCCACCCCAACAGTAAAACCTACTACTGGTTACATGTGTCAGTCACGTGATATTATGACGAGTGATTTTTATCAAGATATTTCATCATGTGAGAGACAATTATGGCAAAGAATCTGTTGAATAGAAATAGAAAGATAGAATAGAAAATTGAATAGCCTTTCATCAAAGAGACCTAACGACCAGAGCTGAACCAACTAGTTGATTGACTGGAAGAAAATAATACGATAAAACAGTCTAAGATATTTGTTCATTTTTTGTTTCAGCCATTCTCAGCTTCAAGCTACATCTACAGTGTGACATTTTAAAAAAAAATTCTGATCAATTTATAATGATTCATGAAAAAGTAACAGTTATCTTAATCAAGTAATTTCAGTCCTTTTGAAAAGCATTGGTCTGTGTTATTGTCTCTGAAAGCTTAGAAATGTGTAGCAGCAGATGATTTGCCATTCTGAGAGATAACTGTCATTACCTACAAATTCATTGAGAACACAAAAATACATTAAAGGAAAATTGAACCTCAGGACAAGCAATCTTTAAACTTGATAAAAATAATGCATACCACAATATGTTTGATGAGTCTAGTTTCCCCCAAGCAAAACAAGGTTTTCTGGTGCCACATGAACATTACCAAAAAAGAATGCCAGAAGCCAAATAATGAATAAAAGTAGAAAAGCTCACACCACAATTTCTGCTCCCAGTCATCAAAGTTTGAACCAATTACTGCGTGAAGTCTTCAGCCTTCGGCTGAGCTTGTTTTGTGTTCAACTGTACAGTTTGTTTTTTCCACTTGATTTTCCTTGAAAAAACTTCAAGTTGTGAAACAGTTTCTTTCCAAGAGAATTTGGGATCTCATTACAGCTGATTGGAGCATTGTAGACACTGACTGAGTGAGGATGTGCTTTCTCGAAACAAACATGGATTATTCAAGTCTCCCTCTCATTCTCCCACTCCTCTTGGTTATGCAACAAGAGAGCAGATCAAATAACGACTCCTCTCGTGGGGAGCTGCTAATAAGATCTGCTCCTCTGTGTATTTAACCTACATTTTCCATCAAAGGCTTCACCTCGAGTTGCCGCTATGACAGATCTGGAATGTGAACCTAGATGAGAAGAGGTGAGCGCTCGACAATTTGAGGCAGGGGTTAATCATACGTCAGGCTTCTCTTTGAACTTTCCTGTGTCTTTAAAATACTCTGATTATTTTATTGACTGCCCTGACTGGCAAATGACCTTTTCAAAGATCAACCACAGACAGAGAAATGTGGGCGAAAACGAAGCGAAGACAGGAGCGTTAACACACTCCTCCAGGTCTGCTGCTGACACAAAGAGCGAGGCAGATGACGGAACATGTGAAGGAACAGTTGGGCCAATTGCTCAAGAGAGATCCATTGGCACTCACCATATTGCACAGAATACGGTGAGCACCTAAATCGCTCGAGTATGTCCCCATGCTTAATGTGCTGCTCTTTGTTTCGCTCATGAAGCTTCATACTGGAGATATAACGTGGTCATCAGCGCTGGGGGAGGATGACCTTCCTTTGTCGACGCGCCTCTCCTCTGGTTCCAGTGCAGATGTGAGGCTGGGGAATAATAGCGATGACCTTGGCTGAGCAGTTTACTGCTGAGGAAGGCAGTTAAAGCCGTGCAGATGACAAAAGGAGTACGTGTTGGAAAACAATACACTCTGACAGTTCAAAGGAGGCCCTTAAATATTTCATTTTTTTTTCCAAGCAAGCAGCGGGCTGTGTGGCTGAGAGAGGCTTCTGTAAGCTGGAAGTGCAGATGGTTAAAGGACTGGGAGGTGAAGTCAAACCAGTTTGATTGCAATCTAATCTATTTATCTGAATGCAAGTGATATCTTTAGAGTTTATTTTATTAAGAAAGACTATTAAGTAACAATAATCTACTTGAGGTTGATGCAGCTTTGAGTTAAGCTATTTTTTAGCTTGAACAACCATGATAACAAGGTTTTTTAAAATCCCACCTCTACAAAATCTCATCATTACTCCCACTAAAGCCAGCCTACACCATCAGTGCCTCTTTAAAGCCTGAAATTAAGTCATAAAATCACAGTGCATGAAGCCAAAATTAAAGCGTTCAAATAACCTGTCAAGTTAATAGCTCATAGATTGATGCCTCCAATTCTGATGAGGTTTTTTTTTTTTTTTACACTTCATTAGTTATCGATGCATCTAAGCAATGCTTGTGATTTTCTTCTTAAAGCTGGCTTTCATTCCAAAGTCGGGATGTAGCTAAGGTTTGGTCATTACTCATTAGGATGACCTGCTTATTCTGTAGGAGTGCTAGCTAACTAAACAGAGCTGAACACGCTAAACAGCGAACGCTGACTCTGAGCTAACCCGGGCACAGTTTCGCGTTCAGCAGAGCAATAGATCTCTGGAGATCTTCATAAGCCAACTCTGCCAACCTCGGCATTTTGTTTAAGGAGAGGCGAGGAGGGGGGTATTTTTAGCCTTTCTTTACCTTGGGTCTGTGATAAATTGAGACCAAGCCTTCACGCCATTTACCGCACTGGAACGAGTCATTGAAATAACTTTCCCTGCGCTACTCTTGATACCGCGTTTGACCCTGTTTGTGTGATAGGAACAGGCTCGGATGGATTGTGTGCCTGTAGAGTGTGTGGCGGGAGGTGAGAAAGCGGCACAGGCCTTCAGAGTAGATTCTCATCGGTACTGTTGAAGCAAGAGCTGGGCCACTTCAGGTCACAGAGAAGGTATCCATCACCGGGCCTGCCACTGCATCACAATGCACCCAGGTGGGTCACATTCAGCGCTGAAACACCCTGTGAATTCAAGAGATATCATACTTTGCTGCTTCAAATAGCTACTGATAGCTTAGTGGAGGAAGGAGAAACTGGAGGGCATTAAAATATCACTTTTTGCATGTGGATTGAAGCTGCCACTGACGGCTACAAGCCATAATGGATGCTTAATGCAGCATCAACAAATTTAATTTATGCTCGGCTCATCTGGCCTGTGCTCTTGGTCGGCGACGCTGAACAAGGCGAACATCTGTAGGGCTCCCGTCCTGTGAGGCTCAGTTAGTTGGCGGGTTGATGGCTGATGCAGCCATTACTCAGAGCAGGCTGACGACTGGCCCAGACAACCATCTGCTGGAGGTACGCCTCACTCTCCTTTCAGATCGATCTCTGTCATGAAACTGTCTTCTGGTGATCTGTACTTGTGTGGAGGTAGCTTTTGCTGGTTTCACACCCTTCTCAAGCCTTTGTTGTCGATTCCACACATTGCCTTTCACACCATATGTTGTGGTTTTATTTTCTTTCCATTCTCTCAAACTCTAACCCTATTTCTCCTTCTCCTATTTTCATTTATCTCACTGTATTATCAACCAATGATTCCTCTCCATCAATCTTTCATTTTTATTTCTCTTTTTTTCCTCTCTATCATTTTCTTGAACTGTTTTTTTCAAGTACCTCTGTCTTCTTCTCCTCTTCTCCACATTGCCTCCTTGTCTTCCTCACTCTCTAATAAATGACACAGTTGTTAGGGGGGGGGGGCTCTGTTGGAGCTCTCCTGAAGACACAGCAGGTTGTTCGTGATGGAGCATCTATTGCATGACTTAAAACCTGCCTGGGAAGGACTAGAGTTGATTTTAATCACATTCTGCCACGAAAGCAAAGAGGGAGATAAGCAAGTCAAGACACACTCTTTGTTCTTTGCTAATCAGCTATTTTCGATGTAAAGAGGCAGTGAAGATGAGACTGGACGAGTGGATGTCCATGGTGAAGATGCAAACGCTTGATGGCAGTATGCACTAGAAAACTCCTTGACCCCTGACTGGAATACAAATTAGAAATGAGAATTTCTACCCAAGCAGCTAACAGAAGATTCTTCTATTCTTGGTTTCTTTTCTCAAACAAAGGTTATCTCAAATTGAATGAATTACAAAAGCAATTTTAAGATCACTCAATCTGTCTATTTATGTGAGAATTAACAGGCAAAGTGACGAACGGGAAAAGAGAGACAGGTGTGATCTGCAGCAGGACAGACCCAGGGCACTCTGAGCCTGAGGGGGGGGAACACCATTGAAGCAGCCAATCACTTCTCTCAAACCTTCAAGGACAATCTCAGTCACTCAATGTGACACAGGAGAGGTGCAGTCCGGGGGCGAGAGGAACAAGACGGACAGATTAAAACAGCAAGGATAAGAGCCTATCTACGCAGCACACGTCAATACGGACTCCAGCAGCTGCTAATTTAAAATGGATTCAACATTTCCCCACTCATTATCCCTTTAGCCTGCTATGGACAGATCCTATAGGTTCAAATCAACCAACGCTCCCCCTTCCCCTCTTTGCGTTTAACCAAAGCCATTTTCTCATCATGCTTGTTTGGAAAGGCTCGGTGATTTCATAGCTTTTTCCGTGGCTCTTCTGACTCGCTGTTTGTTTGATTACACAGTATTAAACCACTTCAGATGTTTTTCACGGTCCACTAATTGCCATATGTGCTGTATAGCACCTGCTGCTGCAGATTTCATTCGCTTTGGTGTGGGACAGTTGCCATTGGTGATGAAATAGGGGGTGCGGTGGGCATTTAAATCAACCCAACCTGTAACATTATACTTTGACTGAAATGTTAAAAAAAAAAAAACAGATTGATTTTACCAGCTCCAGGCCTGCTCGGAAATCCTGATCCGTTGACTACCTTGCTGAAAATCTGGATAGAGAACCTATGCAGGCATCAGTTTTCCCACAGAAGTCTGGCCTAAGAGCACTAACGCTGGTGCAAGTGAGCTCTGTCTGGAGACTTTTTGGCGCTTTATGTTTGCTAAAGGGGCTATAAGCTGACTGGGATCCCCTGTGGCTAATGCACCAACTAAAGACAAGTGCCTCACGCAACCTTGCTTCAGAAAAACAACAAATATCCCTTTAAGTGTGGCAAGGATGATGCAAATAGAGACAAAGGCCCGGTTGTGCTTCATTAACACAATCACAGCTTTAGTGGGAACTAGATAACGCCAACAATCAACTACTAATCTGCTTTATAAGCCAAAGATGTGAGGCAGGGTTACATAAACTCCAGGAAAAAAAACAAACAAATGATGCCAAAAACAAGAAAATGACAGTAAATGATGGATCAATATAGATGGAGGAGCTTAATCTCAGGTGGCAAAAGTGGCTTTATTGAGCTATTATCATTTTTATAGTTTGCCTAGAGCGCTGTGGATATTTTACTATACGGTCTTCAAGGGGACAGTCCAGTACAACATGCACTTTTCTGTTAAGTGAAATTTGCAGTCCTACGACATCTAGTTTCATTTTTCACAACAACTCAATGCTTTGGTAAGAGGTCTCTATCTCTGTGTGTCACAAACCTCCCCCTCACTGCACTGCCTACCAGCCTTTGATGTAGTCCGGTAAATCAGGCCGGACATTTTTATTGTTTATGCACATTTGGTGTAATTACTCTTGTGTGCACCAGTAAACAATCTTGAGCCACGGAGCTTTTTATGAATTATACTACATGACATACTAGTTAAAGGGGGCTTTCACAATGCAGAGAGTATGATAGCATTAATTATACCATGCACTCTCTGATCTTTTATAGGACACCAGCAGCAGGAGGCCAGCTCATCAAAGCACCATCATCTCTCCTAATGATATCAGTTCGACCAAGTGCCCATTAAAACATTTAGTGGGGATAGATGGCCTGTGAGGGCATGTGGGAGGTGCTGATTCATCTGCAGCACATGCACACACACCCAGTGTGAGTCCACTTTACTCACATTCATGCAGAACACATGCGCGCAGGTTTAGACAGATATGCTGTGATTCTTTAAGCAATAGTTTGATATATGGGAAAAAATAAGACACTTGAGAGTAGTTAAATGCACAGGAAGGCAGCTGAGTGTGATGAAAAAATCATAGGGAGACATTTCTTCTAAGAGAATGAACAATCAGCCCTGGTCTCATTCACTCCGCTGCATTTTACTCCACACAGGTGATTAAATATTTACCAACAGTGGGTCTCCTAAAGAGCCATGGCATTTTCAAGGGACCAACAGTCCAGCTTTGACATCAACCCAACACCTATCCTTTAATTTAGGAAGAGGAAAACATGGTTTCATTTGTACTAAGATTTAAGAGCGCTCCTGAGTCTTTCAAATGACTCGAGCATCTGCGAACTCCAAACACATCTCCGAGCAGCTGTCTGTCAACCAAGACTGAATTTTAAATTTGGCAGCAGTATTTCAATTTTCAATGTGTGTCTTGATCTTCCCATAAATCTTGACCCTTTGAATTAAAAAAACAGACCTTGCAGTTTCATGTTATGCAAGAGTGACCACTTTTTTTTTGGCCAATGATACACGCACATGGGTTGAACAAAGCAGAGGGAGAGAAATTGGTCCAAAAAAAGAACTGGGCCCTCATTACAAAGCGCAGTGTGATCGTGCCATATCTCAAATACCCACCAGGCATCATTACAACTGCAAGAGGGGCCAAAGACAGAGCAGACACAACAGTGATTCAACACAGTCCTAATGAAGCCCTTAGAGCGGGGGAGAGTGAGGGAGAGATGAGTGATGGTGACATGATGAGGGAGTCTGATGGGATCATGAGACCAGATGAGAAGCAGAGATAAGGATTTATGATGAGATCGTATTGCCATCAAAAGTGGAAGTAAGAACAGTAAAATAGTTTTATGTCTGTTTGCCAATGTTATTATAGGGGCCACTATTAAAGGTTACCGTTTAAGGGGAAAAGGACATTTAACTTTTCTAACACAGTATAACTTTGCAAAAAGTGTTCTGGGAGTTGAAACTCCAGAGGGTGTAAATGTGTAGGTTTGAATGTGTTGGTAAATAAAAGTGGTGGGAGAAAAAAATCGATACAGAATAGTATCGCAATATTTTGTGTGGTGATGTATCGTTTCGTCCCATCTACCAAATATCGATTTTTCTGATTAATTGCTAATATGAAGTCCAATCTATGATAGTGGAAAAGTAAAATCAACTTTGTTCAGTGAGGTCGGAAGAGGTGGCATCATAGAGCAGGAGAAAGTTTGCACAAAAAATATTTGTTAGGTTTGCAGGATGTGCTACATGAAAATAAAATACAGCATAAATAAGACAAACATAAAGGAAAGCCAAATGCTAAATTAGATAAACAGTTGAAAAAATGTAGGAATCACAATACATTGTATCACAATACTCACTGTATTTCAAAATGTTAAAAATCTCAAGAATAGTGTATCATAGCCCAAGTGTAACGATAATATCTTAGCGTGATAATATCGTTTCATGGGTCCATTTGTGATTCCCACCCCTAGTAAATAAGATCTGTATGTACTGCAGTCTAATAGCTCTTATATGCTTAATGCAAAAGTCAGCATTCCTCTTTTTATTTTTGACCACGATGATCAGGAGAAAAGTCTGAGCATGTGCTTAAAAATGATCCCACAAGAAAACTGTAAAGCGTTGATTCTTTCTGAATAAGCTAAGATTAGATAACCCGACTCTTCTTTTAATATGACAGTTAAAGTATTACCATAAAACTTCAATCCTACCTCTGGTTTAGGGACAAAGGCCCGTCCAGGGATGGTGAAACAGCTGTGGACTGTGCAGAGGCACTGTGCCATAATGGACAAACGGCTCCTCTGTTTGCTGCCTGTGCTGGCCGTCAATCTCTGGATGGAGAGGAAAACACGACTAATCAGTGATGCATCTCTGGTGAGGTTAGGTGATGAGGTCACATGTTTTCAGTGGTAATGATACATGTCTGGTTAAAACTCAACAGGACAAAAATTGGAGCATAATGAGCATATAAGTGAATCCTAATTAGGTTTTAATGGGTCTTTAACAGTTACGTTAATTAAGCAAACATCAGCAAACCCTGCTGTGAAGGATTTGAATAGCCTCAATAACAAAAACACTTTGGTTTAAGTTGTGAATAAAGTGCATTATTGATTAAGAAATAAATATTTAATTTTAACAACTGAAGGAATTAGCTTCGCGATAACGTCATGTAATGATGCTATAGCTAAAAAGTAATGGTGTTCACTTAGGTCTAGGCCACTTTGGCGAAGATGAGCAGTTAGCCCATCATATCACGCAAAGCATCAAGCAAAGCCTCTGTATCTTATAAGATAAACCTTAAAGTATGGCCATGTTCAACAGACCCAGGCTCCATAAACACAAGCTCCAAACTCAAATGGTAATACTACCTACTCCACCGCATGATCCCTAAAGGTCCCCTAAACACAGTAAAGGGAAGGTGTTAGAAAGAGGACAGGGAAAGCAAAGCCAAGATGAAGAGCTTGTTTGAACTCAAACGCACTCTTGTGCAGTTCAGCTGTATCTTCCTACTCCCTAACTCCATTACTCATTTATTTGACTTTTAGTTAGGACAGTCCCGTCTGGGTCAGAGATCTCTTTTTAACAAGAGAGACCTGGCCACGTATGGCAGAAACACAAAGTTTGAACATAAAAACATTCAGACTTATACAAAAAAATCTATTTCATGAGTCAGTTTAACATTTGCATACATAAAGTCTGAACTCTAGACTTTTCACAAAGGATTTAAAAACATGCAGACTAGCCAAGTTCTGCTTTTTCAAATCAGACTATCGACTGTTTCAGAGCAACACATGCAGATTTCTTCTCCAACTCAGTTCAGACTCAAGGAACAACAATTCTCACAATGTCCAATTAATGATAGTTTTGAATTTTAACCTTCAAAATTAAGAAGGAGGAAGGATAGTCTGGAAAAGCTTTATTGACAAAGACTTTGCACACCATGATACACACTCTCTAGGTTGTCAAGACTTGAAGCAAAAGGCATTTGTGTGCAACACATCACCACAATCATAGACAACTAAAAAGGTCAACTCGTTTTTTTTTCACGTAAAAGGAAAAGCAGCACTTGTTTCTCTCATCAAATCTGAGTAGAACCTTCAGCTTTAGAAACATACTCAACCTGCTCCTCAAATACAAATTGTCATCAATAACAAGTGTTTAATAGAGGATGTCAACTCAATTTCTCAACCGTCTTTTGAAACAGCCAGAAAGGCTGTTTTTGCTTTTCTTTACATGATCTATCTGCATCAAGAACAATCTCTCTAATGAAAGACCAGCGGAGAGATGAAACAAGAGTAGATTATGAAAAAGGATATTGGATAGAGGATTGGGAAAGCAGAGAATGGGCGAGAAGCCTCTTTGTATTGGAGTTCGACTTCTGCTAGGTGAGACTGTTTGCTTTGCCAACTACTTCTGTACTTTAATAATGTCTGAGGAAGATAAAAGAGGGAAAATAGGAGATGAACAGTTTTTCCAACTATTGTTTTGACCTTGGGCTAACATTATTTCTCCTGAAACAGATTGGATGATTGTTCCTAGCATCTCTTTTACAGCCTTTTGCAAACTTTGTCCATGCACTCCCAATCCTCCATATAATGAGACAGTTCAATGCGCTACATCCCATTCCTCGATGATGGACCTCTACATTTCAATTTTGCTGTTTAGCTTCTGATGCCAGCTCTGCTCTTTTAAGTTTTTCTTTTGATGTGCCTAAATAACATTAAGTTCCACCCCATTTAATGATGCTTTTTCCAAGCTTTTGATTTTAGTTTTCACACGCAATTATACAATTACTTAAGTGTTTTTTTCCACAGGATTCCAGCTAATATTCTCTTTAGAAATCAGAGCATGCAGTAAGGTTCACCCACCTCTGCAACTTCTTTCTGGAAAGTGAGTGTAAGTCTGGTGCGTCCATAGACAAAAGGTCCCGTTCGGTTGGCTATGTTCTCTAGCCATTTGATCATAAGAGGGGTGGAGACGTTAAAGGGGAGATTCCCTATGATGTGAAGATTTGGTGGATCTGTGAAGACACACAAACACGCTCACAATTCAATCTCGGTGAATTCACTCAACACAACCTGACATCAGCTTTCATCACTTGTCTCTTTCACCTTCCTGCCATGGCTTAGAAATATTGTCTGGGAATCCACGGTCCATTCTGTAGGTGAGAATGTCACCATGGACAATCCTCAACCTCCCGGGTGCTGCCTCAGACAAGAGCTGTGAAGATGGATGGGATAGGAAATAAATGAGAAAAATGACAAAGTGCTCCGAAAAGACTAGATAATCGTAAATCACTCTGCAGGTGGCTAATGATGCTGCAGTTTCTAATGGATTACATCTTGAATGTGTGTTGTTGAGTCAGTATTTTTGGGCCTGTTCAGTTTACCTTTAGCCCTGGGATGAAGCGTGAATCCTTCTCTACGACTAGCAAGTCTGCTGCCCCTGCATTTAGGATGGACCGGGTGAGACCACCAGGACCGGGACCCACTTCACACACATAGGCATCCTTTAAATTTCCTGCTTGACGCACAATTTTGTCTGAAAAGATGAATGGAAGAGATAGAAAACTTACAAATAGTGCGTTTCATTCATGTCTTTGCATGCAACAGTAAATAACTACGCACTAACTTCAAAGGACATGTCATATAAATCACACTACACACTCCAATCAGATGTCTGGATCCCAGTGTCGGGTGTCTAAATTGAGATTAATAGCGTGTGATGTTGCAATATCTGTCTGCCTCTGTGTGATGCAGCGATACATTAATCTAGCAGTCACCTTGCCGAAGGACAAGAAAGCAGATCAGACCTGCACTGCATCACTGATAATTATATTAAGGCTCAAGCTCTGCAAAGGCTGTAAACAATTGACTCAGTCCATTCACATTAGCAGGCGATCTACTCAACCTCACTCACAGAGAAAAGCTTGTCGTTTCCAATGTCTCAAGACAAGGACACGTGAAACTGTGCAATCAAGTGCACTGACAAAACACACACTGCACACTGTGCCACAAGTTTAGACAGCACAAAAAAAAGAAAAAAAAAAGAAGCAGGAGCTGGCAGGTGTTGGTGCACTGCAGATGGAGGAAAACACACACAAAGTAAGTGAAGACAAACCTGTGAGCCTTAAGTCCAACAGGAAGTTCTGAGAGAGCTGTTTCTCAGCTCGCAGTTTGTACAGCTTTACAAGCTCGCTCACTGTAGGTAAGGGAGGCAGACGGAAAGACGCCAGTTTCCCTGAAGCAGCCATCAGTCGTATAAACACTGTGAGAAACATAAACACAAACACATTAAAAAGTGCAAGAAACTCTATGATTGATCAGCTCTCTCAGCAGCAGTGATGCTGAGAGGCACAAATGTCTACAAATACTTCAAAAGGGTAACATGTGACACAGTTTTAATATGCTGCCAGACTTGACATTTCTATGGAGTTGGAAAGAATGTTAAACCAAGGATGACCTTTTCATATGCAGACATAAATCAGATACTATTTCATTGCAGTTTTTCAACAAAGACGTTTAATAGTCTTAATTCAATCCCAAATTTAAACTTTTCCTTAAAAAATGTTTCAAATACTGTACATGAAAGTGATCATTCTGATTTTTTTCCTGTCTGTTTTGACTGGTTATCAATTCCAGTCACCTTTTTACCAGGTCAGCAGATTGATTTTCAACACCAAGCCCAAAGCTGAGGTGGGATTACTGAAGAGATGACTTTGTTGTTGTTGTTGTTGGATGGTGTACATTTTCCCCAACACGTGACCTCGTGCACCATCTAGTGGTTTTAAACTAGATCTCTGAATAACGGATGTCAGGACACAAAACATCCAACAGCTTTTCCTTGACTTCATGCTTTGACCACACACATAAACACGAGTGTTTCACATTTCAGCAGCTATCACAGCAAAGTGAAAAGAAATTATTCTGTTCAGATGCAATTTTACACATAAATAAATAACTAACACCCGAGAGCCAAATAAAGCCGACAGTTACATCAAATCAAGTAATTAAAAACTGCGGAGAAGTGATACCCACACACAGTTTGTAGCATTTGCAGCTAGCACTAGCTGCTAGTTGAAATGACAGATAGCAGATTTTACGGTGTACGACTCTGACATGACACGGGAGACTTGACATACGGTTATTGAAACTTAGACAGGACAAAGAACAAACTATGAGCAACACATTAAAAGTACAAGGTTGAATATGCACAATGGTTTACCCACGTTTCTCACTGGTGTCGACTTTCTCTGTTGCATATCCGCATTCGTCAGGGAGTTGACGTCGGAGTGTCCAATCAGCTTGCGAGGATGATACAGTCGACAAATCAAAGTGGAGTAGGCGGGATTTAATGTTGCCCTTGAAACCGGTACATTGTTGCTGTTATTCTGCTTTATGCCAACAGAGGGCGACACTTCAGTTTGTATATGAGGGTTGTGCAGTACTTCAATACACAAATCTTCCAAAGTTTCCTTGGTTGATGTGAAATAAACACAATGTATAATATAATATAATATAATATAATATTTTGAAAAAAATCCTTTGTTTCATTCACAAATTCACACAAAGCTGTTATATATTGAGCATTACATCAAAATCATAAGATGTATTAATATTTGGACTTACATAATTTTAATAATTCAATTCAAGCTTGGCCCTTTAATGCCTGACACCTAAAATTATAGCCAGAAAATCCAATTTTTTTGGAGCTGAAATGTTTATGTCACTTACTACTGAAAACCAAAAACATCAAAATGTCCTTAAAATTTTACAAATATATTTGTTTAACTTAGCTGATTTGTTAGATGTTTTTGGAGTCTGATAAACTACAAGAGGACATTTTTATCATTTATCAGACTGTATTCAGGTGTTAGTAATTTGTTGATCATATTGATTTGATAGAAGTATATAAAAGTATGTATCAAATATAATACAAAAGGCATTAAATGGTTAATCAAAAAGGACAGTGGGAAAGTACATCTTTAAGAATGAGATCTTCCTGGTTTCCAATCCCACATTACTCCTGAATTGCAATGACAAAACATCATAAATTAATCCTTGACATACTAATAATGGTGTTACAATTGAAACCTCTCTACAAGAGCTGATGAACAGCTCACATGGATGAAGTCCACTGAGGAGTCATTGTCCAAGTGTTTTGTCATGCTGGATGATGCACAGCTGTTGTTTGAAACAAACCATGTGGCTCTGTGGTCTCCCCTGACTGTGCTCACGACCCACACTGGGTCACTGGTGTCAGAGAGCAGGATGGAAATACCCTTCCCCTCCAGGGTTTAGTGGATGAGTGGCAGGTCTGTTTCCCCCTATGGCTGACCTTGACAGAGAGCTATGGAACTGAAAGAGAAACAGAGGTGGGAGGTTGCAGGACATGGGTCATGCTGTGTCTGCTGATGTGAGCAGGATTTTGCAAAGTCACCTTCTTCCAAAACTTATCTATGGAAGAAGTTTAGAGAAACATTAACTGTTGGTCAGACTTAAAGGGATAGTCTGGCGTAAAATTAATATAGGGTCAAACACACCGTAACACCTAGTTAGACACCCCCTCGAGAGATGAATGTTGCAGACCGCTTGCTTCTCTAGTAATACCAGCTTTAGTAATGACCGCAGGATAGCAATACACAGTGACTGAGGAACCATAAACAAACATCAACCAAAACACCACTCTATAGCTACAATAATGCTTAGAACAGCACCCAACTTCATCATCAGTACATATAGGGTCCCAGCCAAAGTACTGGTCACCAAACATCTTTTTAGCTTTGCCTAATATTTTTAGCAAAGAGACTGAACACAAGTCACCTACTCTCTTCCAGCAGCCGCTTGTTTGTAGCAAGATCTCCAGTCCATTACAGACTACAGCGGGGTTGCACAGCTCAAGGAAGAACATTTATGATCATTTCTTTATCATTTCCTTGGAGTAATAATCATCATATTTTTCATTTTGCACTGCAGACATGGTAGTTCTTCTGCCTTAGCGTCTTGGTCTGATTGCATTTCCATGAAGAAATGAGCTGTGTATTGCTATCCTGCGGTCGTTACTAAAGTTGGTATAACAAGAGAAGCAAGCGGTCAGCAACATTCATCTCTTGAGGGGGTGTCTAACTCGGTGTTACGGTGTGTTTGACCCTAACTTAATTTTATGCTGGAATATTCCTTTAAAGCTCTTCACCTGGACTTTGACTCGTCTCACCACAATCAGCATCATTACTAAGCTCAGCACAGTGTCAATATAAATCATGTGTCAAAAGTGGAATTACACTGTGTTTTTATGTCACAAAAACTTGTAATTGGACTAATTGGACACATAGTCCCTTTATGTATCTGTACAGCAATGATTATATCACTACTGCATACAGAAACATGACAAAGAGGATAACTCAAGGTCAGTGGCGGTTCTAGACCAAATTACTCCCCGGGCGAGCACCCCTCCAAGTGCCCCCCCCCCCCCCCCACACACACACACACACACAAACACAAAAAGAGATAGAATTTTGAACAGATAGTTTTGTATTACTATGTAGTATTATTATTATTATTATAACAAAAAAAATAATATATTTCTCAATTGCAGAAATCCTTCAATAGAAAAAAAAAACAATCCTGAGGGCCATTTTGAGAAGGGCCCCCAGATCCTGAGGTTTTCTGACGTGTTAAGGTTTACAAAACAGCTGCTATCTCGGCCTCTGTAGTAGATAGAAACAAAATTCAAAAAGTATTTGAGAGCTTAAACATGTGGCTTTCAAGAAAGCTCTCTTTTAGTTTTGCGAACCTTCATCACATTTTTGAAAACCTTGAACAAACAAACTTAAATGAAATGAAGCGGCTGTATAAATAAAAGTAAAGGCTCTGCACTGGAGAATGACAAATAATTTGCTTTCTGTTAAACAAATGGCAGTCATGATAAAGTGTCCATTCAATACAAATGTAACTATAGAAAATAAGGTGTTGAAAGGGTATACAGCTGCCCCAGTATAGTGCCAGTACAAAAGCAGAACTAAAAACTAAAAAATGAATAAATAAATACGAGGCTGACAGTGTGTTCATCTCTGTTCTCACCCAAAGTCATGCAACACTCACAGAAAACGCTGATAGTGTGAGCCAAAGCACTCCATAAGAAGAGGTTGTTCACACTGCTGGATGTTTCTCCTCTGAAGCTTCTCTCTGTCTCCGTCATTGTTTACTTTACTCATGAAGCTCATCAAGCACGTAGCAAGATCCGAGCATGAACCCGAGCGCTTTATTCGCCTATCAAAGGCAGACGGGTACGGTGATTTCACTCACCGCGACTCCAGAAACGATTAAAAACTACAAAATGACGTATCCGCGCTCCCGCTGATATGCTGACATGCGTACACAGAGCAGAGCTGTCCCCCCGCGACTCTCTACCCGCCTCGTCTCATACAGTCTGTCAGCCTCTGTGCAGCACCTTCGGAGCAAGCAGGGGCGCCTACAGCAGCGGGGGGGGGGGGGGGGGGGGGGGGGGACCTGTTTGCTTCGTGAATAAAAGAAAACAAGTGATGCAACAACTCTGAAATAAATCTGCTTAAACTAACATGATATTACCCTGAAAATATTTTATTGATTAACCTGGATTCAAATGAAAAAGGAAACACATTCTTCTTGAAGGGAAATATATGAAATACTATTTAAGTGAGTCATGTGTTTTTCTGTTGCCTGAGAAGTTGTAGAAAGATCTTTTTTTTTGGAAACAAATAAATGTTACCAGCCAGATTCAGGATGTCATCAGAGAACCACTTCCTCCCAGCAGCTCTTAAGTGTGTGTGTGTGTGTGTGTGTGTGTGTGTGTGTGTGTGTGTGTGTGTGTGTGTGTGTGTGAAAAATAAGTACAGGAAATGAAACATAAGTAATTAACATTTTTGGGATGGTAAGTCATCGCTGTTACGGAAACATCAGAAGAAAAACAAAGACTGAAAAACTTGAAGGTATGTTATTTCCAAGGCACTTTAGAGGAGCAGACTAACACCATGAAACAAAAAACCATGATTCATAACGACCAAAACTATTTAACAGCCAGACAGTCCAATTAGATGAATAGAATAACATACATTTTACTCCAATAACCTGCCACTTGAGACATTTGTAGATTGTACTGTAGCCATTTTTATTTTTTTTACACATCATACTTTGAGGAAACTATTACTGCAGTTGTAAGATGAAAATCAAAACCCCTCCTTTGACATAGTTTTACGTCAACCCTAGAGGAATACAATGGTATTATTCCACAGAAAGGCTCAACATTGGGCTTCCAGTCATAATCATTGTGTTCCTCTTTTACAAGCCTTGTGGTATTTTTGAGGTAGCTGTGTGTTGTTTTGCTAAATGACTGTAACTTTTACATTTTAGTTTTACGATAAAGTGACAACAGTTATGAGCAATGTTTCCTGTGAATAAGCAGAAATTAAAATTCTGTCAGCCAAAGACGAGGAAATTAAAATGGCTTTCTTGGAAAAGGTTTGAGGTCTTGTTTTTTATAGAATGAAATTTAAAAAAAAGGTCTTTTCACAAGTGAGCACCATAAACAGATGAATAGCATAATGTGTTACAGGTACTGGTGCTTTTTTTATCTTAAAGGTACAGTGTATGTATTTAGAGACATTACTATTTAGTGACTTACAATCATCTGAATTTATAAATGTTTTTTGTTAACTTCCTTGAGTGTAGTTAATGTTCAAGTAAAGCACAAGTTATTGCTATTTATGCATGAATTTATTATGAAAGCAGAATGATTTATTTATCGTAACTTGTGAAAAAACACTATGAATTTATTCAGCACACATTAAATAAATCATCAGATCAGGAACTTAATTCTCACTTATTCTGTACATTAGCGGGTAGAGACCATATTAGCTGGAAAAATTCATGTTTATTTTATGACCATATGTTTCCTTCACCACTCTGGTTTAATACGAAAGTGAACACATACACATATTGATATTCAAATAAATGTTCACCTTTTTTACATGAGTGATGATGATTCTTCCATTTATATATTTGAAGACTGTTTATAACCTTGATTAAATCTTTATTTTTTATTGTTCATTTTCTGTTGCATATCCTGTTTTTCTTAATATTGTGACACTATACCATAAATTCTATGTTGTAAAGCCTATTAAGCTGTTTTTGTCAAATAAGCGGCCTTAAAAAAGTAGTAAGCTTGTTGATTATTATGTTTTTTTGTGTGTGTGCGTGCGTGTGTGTGTAAATGATACCAATCACAATTAATATCCTACATTTGTTTGTGTAAAAACATTGAATCACCCAATGTTGGTCAATTATATGAAAAATCATAAATATTTGTAGATATTTGAAATTTAAGATATAATCAGAAAAGCTAAGCCAATGCATGGTCATTATATAAAATAGTATATCTAATTCATGTGGTCCATGTATGAAATAACTGTGATCAAACGTTCTTTAACTGATGTGGTATTGGATATGTCAAAGGTGAGCTCATCAGATCTTCATCATCAGGTAATTGTTATAGAGTGGTAGAGCAGTCAGTCCTCAACAGTGTAAGTGCTGATGTAGGGTATAACAGTTCTGGGTGTGTAAAAAACAAAGCAGTGGTAAAAAACAGACACACACACAGAGCAGAAAGTGTGCCATAAATGTCTGCATAGTTTGGGTGTCTGCATAGTCCAAATAAAACAGTGGAATAAACTGCATGGTTGGAGCCAACTGAGTGATTTAATAAATATAATTCAAGTAAACATTGTAAAAATGCATTTTAACACCCAAGATTGTGTGATTGTGCGTCATTCCTTCTTGTGTGATATTACTTTGTCATAATATTTCTTGAAAACATTATACCATTAACAGAAGCCACAAACACATGCCATTTGCTGCCAGTTTAAGATGTCCATAACTTTCTTTCTTTGCTTTTCTTTGGCCTCTATTCCTGTTGCTTTAACCTCTTCAGTCCCCTCATGGCTTGGGGCCAGGAAGGCCATGTTCCCTTTTTCTGACCTGGTCTAATCTCTCTCTGCTTGGACAGCTCATTAGAATCTATCAGTGGTCCCAAAACTGAAATTGACCCAGGAGATCTGAGGTGAAGTCTGCAAAGAAGCGGAAGTGAACAGAGGGTTGCTAATGTTGTTGGAGTATTTTGATGACTGACACGACTGCTGAAGAGCACCTCAGCCATTACCTTGCTTGGGGGGCCCTTAATGACAAGGTAGAACTGTTGTTGGGAATCAACATTTGATAGTCAGTTTGAATTTGCAGTCAAGGAAGAGGGCAAAGGTGATGCTGATTACACCAGCAGTGGACACGGTGAAATCATCACTTAAACCAGAATCACATTGTCTATTTCCCCCATGTCTTCTTTGATGAATCCTTCGACACAGATTTAAAGTGAAGCTTCCTTGCTGGATGACAGATCTCATTTCACACTGCAACATTTCATCACCCATCTTGCACTAATTAAATCCAAGTGCTTTGCATTCTAATCACATCATAAGTGTGGGAATGGCGGCTACTTCAACCAGCCTGCATTTCTACCATGATTCATAACAACCACAGCCTCAACGGGCTCAGACAGGACCACCATCCTGTGGGCATTATATATCCGCAGTGAAATCATAACAAACCTCTTCCTCACTAGACCACACCACATGACTTCATTTTGGGTGTGGGGATTATGGCATTCAATCAAAATACACTTCTCATGACCTCAGTTTGAATAGATCGTCTTTTTTGATACCACATGTTGTAGGATGACTTCAACATTGTGGGGAAGAGGGCGTCTGTCATATAAATGTGTTGTGTTTTGGGGGATTTTTGTAATTTGATCTACTTCCAGCATAAGATTCAAGATTTAAAAAAAGGGGAAAAAGTTCAAAATTGCACTTAAGCGAGTTTACTCTCAGATGACTTTAGGTACACAGTGTAACTGGAAGAGTAAAGCTGCACTAGGAGACAACATGAAAATCATGTGTATGGCTGTGTATTGTGTGCTTCTGTCTATGAACTGGCTCCTGAAGTGTCCACTCTGAACATTGGGACTGAACATTACGTCAGCCCCACACCCACATAATCCAGTGATGGCTGTGTGTGAACAAAAATGCTCTTTGGTCAGATTTGCATTGCATCACTGACAAACCGCCAAAGACAGAGTGAATATCAGTGAATTATGTCCTTATGACATAATTCCTTGGTGAGTTTATCTGTTGATCAGCTGCTGTGTGTATGTGTGTGTTTGTGTCTGGTTTCCACTTAGAGATAAGAATGTGATTGTGTTCACCTTCCCTCCGGTGACTAGACTTTAGCTTGTGTAAAAGGATGCAGCTGTTGTGCACCCTTTTCACTCCTTATGCTTTAGTCATACAGTAACTATGGAAACAAGTTCCTATAGCCTAACTTAATTCATACAATGTTATCTTGTAAAAGAGTAATCTGTGTTTGGCAGGATGCTGGCCTGTAAATGTTTCTGGGGTGGTTAAAGTAGCAGAAGTAGAAGCACAAACCAACAAATATATCACAGCAAACAAATACAAGTATGCAGTAAAATGTCAGTACTATAATACTGTAACACATAGGTACCCTGGGTTATGAAGAAATTAGGGACAAAGTAAAGTGATTGTAATTATATTTCTGCACTTTGACTTCATTGTTATCCTCACACAATACAAGATGATATCATGCCATATCATACCATACTATACTGTACGATGTTACGTTGTGTTGTGTTTCCATACAGTACAATAATGTATGTAATGCAGTACACAACGCTGGTATATTATTACCTCATGTTGGTACAGAAAGCTTTTTAGCATGCTGTTGTTCAGTTACACATGCAGCAGAGGTATAGTGTTGAGTTGAACTGTTAAATGCTCATTTTATGTGGACTTCAAAGTTTCTAATGGTGTTTCACTGCCATTTACTGCTACACAGGTAGGTTAGGGTTCAGGTTTGGCTATTGAAGGCGAGAACACCAGATAAACATAGTAAGAGTGAACTGGTCATAGACTAGACAGCTAAACAAAAAGCTGGAACTTGTTAAAAACAATCATAAAGCTAAGAAATAAAATCTTCTTATGTTCATAGTGGTATTGTTTAATTTGATCCTATGATATTTTCATACTACCCCTATAGTAATGTAGTTATTTGTTAAACCACTTACCATAGCCGAGGTCGAATCATACTAGAGAGTTGGACAACAAGATTCCTCCACACATCTTTGCCAGAATATTTGGACTTTGAAGCATGATGACTGAGACGCAGATGCAGGGTTGTTTCAGCCAAGTTAACTGTT